AAAACATGTGTAATTGAGCACAGGAATGCACATAAACTCTGAAGAATTAATCCAGTGTTGGCCTGATTTGAAGGCAAGTTTTATAAGCGTTGAACAATAGAGAAAAGCATTATTCTCCCTTTTGCTTCGTCCTGTTGATCCTCTCCTCAGAGTAGGAATTGGGTGGCCTGCACAGGGCTGTAAGAGCACAGGCTCACGGGGTGGTTGAACATTTCCTCATTTTAAAGAAGCAGCCCATATTCCTGTCATGAGTAACTGCACTACAGTCTGGGAATTCAGGAAACCGCATTGCAATTCAAGTCCAAAGGAAGTGCTGTCATCTCAGACGCCACCCATGGCAAAACTAAATTACTTTGCCACAGCTGATATCCCTTAGGTGTACACAATTTCCAGATTGTAATGGCCACCTGCTTCTCAGTACTTACGCAAAGATGTCAGAGAGCTGACAAAAGAGTTTTGCAGGTGTCAAGGGAGAACTTGCCCTTTGTGTGGAAGTTATGAACTGCATTCCGGCCTCCCACATCTGGACAACGTGGCAGTCCCATCTCCTTCAGTCCCAGAACTATTGCTAGGCAGATGCAGAGTCACTACACTGACTTTGCTTCATCTGCATCTTTCCAACATCTGCAGCCTTATGCTTCAAAGGATGCTGTGGCGCTTGTTAACCATAAGTCATGCACTGTGTTTTCCCCAAGTGTTTGGGCTTCTGTGGTAAAGAGATATAAGACCAGGCTTAAGACTACTGCATTTTTGAGGGCTTGGTGCAGTGTATACCTGGCTGAGCAGCAGAAGTTATAACTATTCTGAGAGATCTCATTTTGTGGTGGATCGTGATTATTACTGCTGCTTGAAAGTCGCTGCAGACACATGAGCAGCCTGGAAACTGTTTTTAGACAGGCTGCTCTTTGCTCAGCACAAGAGAATCTGATGGACCTCAGTGCCATAACTGAAAATTAAAACCTGGGCAAGAGGTGTTGGTGTGGGCTCTAATACGGGAGGAGAATAACAATAGAGATGGTGTTTCCTGATTTGTGATGAACTTAAAATTAGCTTTAAATGTCATCATACTCATAGAAGAGAAGCTCGCTCTTTGCAAGTGGGACTCCCCTGTAATTGGTAACGAAATGATTTCATTTTCACTAGATCCTGCTTCAAACATTTTAAAGGGTATAGCTGGGCTGCAAAACAATGAAAAGAGATCCCTGTAAAAGAGCTTTGTGCCTTTGGCCATGTTTAAAATAATGATTTTTTTTTTTTCTGATGCAGTTTTGACATTTCAACTAGCTGTTTCGTGTAAGCCTCCATTATATTACTGAAAGAGGTACCAAACTGAGCCAGGCTTTTTTTTTTTTAAATCTGAAATTAGTTTTTGAATGTAAATCCGGCCCCTCTAGAAGATGAACATAATATGTTGATGTAAAACAGCATAGTTGAAGTTTGCCCTCTCATTTGGGTTATGAAAGATGGTTTCATGCTCCGTGGTTATTAGCTCAGTTTTCTTTCCTATGCAAAAGTGTTGTATTTTTAAAGCGTATAAATCAATAATTGAAATAATTCCTTGAGCATGTTCTGAGCCCCATGCTGGCAGCAGCAAGGCATGTCCTTTTTTCTCCTCTGTTCTTTGAGTTTTAAACAACTTAGAAGTGTACATGTTAATAACACTGATTCACAACATTTATGAGCATGAAAAATGCAACATAGATATGCCTCTAGCGCATCCTTTCATGTGCTTTATTTTGCAAAATGTTGTTAGCATTCTTTTTATTTTAAGTGCTGGTTTTCATATTTGTACCGCTCATATGCTGTTTCTGTTCTTACCAAAACTGATTCTTCTCTTGACACCTTGCTGTTGTGTCACTGAATGATGTATGAGATCTGAAATTTCTCAGAGGCCCAAAGTTTATCCAGGAGGGTCTTGGTATTCTTCTTTTGCGCATACAGAAATAAAATGCAAGTTTTGCTTAGTTCTCAGATAAATTTGGAGCTGTGTATCTGGTACCCTTATTGTTTCTCTTCACCTCTAAACTTGCCAAGCCTTGTTGATATTGATGAAGATCAGTGGTCTTTCAGCTAATCATCAGTTAAAGTGGGTTCTAAAGCCAGAAAGCAAGGCAGTATTGAGCCAATGTCTACCTGCAGTGCTTAATTAATTTCTAAGTGATGTTTCTGACTCTTTTGCTGCTGGTTTAACACAGAGGAAGATATTTGATATGTAATATTGGGGATATGCCACCAACAGCCCAAATTCAGATTTTTCTAAGCGTTGCCCTACGCTATTTACAGGAACTCATAATGTATGTGGCACCACCTGCCATCACTGATGGTGTATTCTGTAGAATGAATGCCAGCCCCATTTGGAAGTCTTTACTATGGCATCCAGCTCATCATCTGCTCTGGTTCACTTCAGCAGGTGTGAAAAGACCTGGACTACCCTGCTGTGAAGCTTGGAAATGACAGAAAATGTGGCCAAAAATGCCCATTTGGACACAGTGACAGTCAATTCACTCGGAGCCAGTTCATTAGAGCCTGCACATTGCACTTTGCCAGCGAGCTGATCTCCCACATCTAATGCCAGCTACATCTTTCCCTCAAACAGCTGACATGTGTGCAAAGGCATCCATTCCAATTCATCAGTTGCTTCAGCTTGTACTCTAGTGTTACATTAATAGCTATCAAAGGCTTGCTCTTTCCTCGCTTCTGACAATGTAGATTCTGCCTCTTATTGTCTGGCAGGTCTCCAGAAGAGACAGAGGTCTGAAATCTTGTGTATATTAAGATGTTCAAGGCTTTACCTCCTCAATTTTGAATTGTGAAAATGACACAGTGAAGTTAAGTTGTTCCAACTTACCTGTCTTAGAAATTTCACATAGGGTGTTACAATACAATTGGCATTAATGTCCTGAAACTTTTTCACATGAAGCTTGTCAGTTAGAGGATTTGTTTTTCCTGCAATAGGTTGAATTTGTTGCATGTCCACCATAATCAGCCTGTTCGTTGTCTGGCTTTGGAAGTTTCAAAAAAAAATGTTTAGTCCTGATAAACTTCAAGAGAAAGGACCTGGGGTCCCCTTCTCTGGAGCTATTCAGGACTCATCTGGATGCTTTTCCATGTAGCCTGCTGTAGGGAACCTGTTTTAGCAGGAGGATGGATTAGATCATCCCTAGAGGTCCATTCCAGCCCCTACGGTCTGTGATTCTGAGACTTCACTGGATCTGAAAGTGGTACTGAAGGGAAAGCAATTTTCACTGTAATTTCATTCTCACTTTATAGACGCTCAAGAATATTAAATACTCACCTTGTTCTTTACTATCTTGATTGTCACCTGACATTGATGCCATGTGTGCAGTAAGAGTTAGGAATAGCCTGCAGATGTCCTGAAGTTTGCTGACATCAACCTCCTATATCACAAAGCTTTATCAGCAGCTTCTTTCACCAGTGGTGGTGAACTTGTGTGTATGAATTCAGTCCTTGCCTAGCTGTGTCACAGAGTGACTCCAAACATTCCACGGCCAAGGAGGAAACAGGACAAAAGGGTAGATTACAAACTTCTCACTAAAGTATAGTCCTGATCGTAGTATGACTCCTCTATTAGGGAAATGAGAGAGAGAGCCCACCACTGAAATTTGCTCCTGATGTACACTTAGCAAGAAAATGCTGTGCAAACACATCCAATCATGTACACCAGTCCTTACTCCACAGATCATCTTTCCTCATTTCCTTGTGCAGCAGGACAAGTGCAGCCTTAGGTTAGCCTCAGTCCCCTCTTTGTGTCCCCATGAGACTTTGCTCTCACAGAGATGAAGTTTTCTCAAAACAGAATTTCTAGGGTTTTGTCACATAGTTGGTTTCTCACTCTTAATACACTCAATAAAAGAGCTCAGGCCAGAGTTTGCAGCTTCTGTTTTATGAAGAAATTAAGAAATGGATATAAATATTTTATTCCATCAAAGCAAGCAAGAAGGTAATAGTATTAGATATTCCTTTGCAAAATATAAATTTAATTCCTAGCTCCCTGACTTAGTTGTTGGTTTTGAAGTGTTAAAATTGAGGGCCATCTTTTAACATGCATTGGCACTGTGCTGAACACCTTTCTGTGTCCAAAAATCCATCGTTAATGTAGCTTTAATGAACTTATTTCTTCAACATTCTCACCTCCTATGATTATTGAGACTCATGTAATATTTATATATATTTTATTAACAAAGAGCTAGCTTTTCTTCTTTCCAAGAAGATCAGGCAGCTGTATTCATACAAGATTCTGAGACTAGCCTGATAGAGAAGGGTTTCTTTCTTTTCAAAGAACGAGGGAGGGAAAATCATAAAATGTGAAATCTACATGAAATAGTTTTCTATACATAGGAGTAAGTGCATAGGAAGGGACTTCATTACATTTAATGTAACAACAAAAGTAGAAAACAGGTTCCCTAAGGTATTTTAATTAATTTAAAAGAAAGAAAAACAACACCTGATTATTATTACTGAATCTTAATTAGAAAGTCTGTAGAAGCAAGAAGGTAAGGATTTTTAATTTTTGGAAAGAGTAAGCAAGGGATGAGAATATAATTATCATACTTAATGCTCCCCATGATTTTGCTGCTGCCTGCATGTAAAAAAATGTTGCTGTAAAAGTTTAGTCTTAACTTGAATCTCATCAGTGGCACCTAAGGGGAGAGAGGTCTTTCTTCTGCAATAATAGATTATTAGCTTATCCATTTTAAATTACGGACACATATATAATAGCAAAATCAGATGTTTTTGGACTCAACTTTAACAAGAAGAAAGGGCAGTAGCGCCAATAGTAAATAGGATGTACTAAGCCTTAGAGGCTTCCATGTGTGTGGTGAAACTGGAGTTTTCTAAAAGGATTACATGGTCATAAAGGAGAGAGAATTGACTTTTTGGTGATAAGAAAACACAGAAATGAAGAGTTAGGAATTTGTTAAATTTTGGATAATGTTTGTTATGTTTTATCTCTTATGTTCTCTTTCTTCTAGCTACGAATGTCATGGCTTATCCGTGGTGTCTTGCTGGGAAATATATCCTTGGTGCTGGTTGAGAACAAGACAGGGAAGGAGCTGAGCAGGACATTCTGGCATTCAGCAAACAACGAAGGTTTGGGAATATGGCAGTGGTTGATCTTACCTCTCCCAGATATACTGGACAGGTACGAGTCTCTCCCCATCATTCTCCTTCTCACTGATCAGTCACTTCACCACTTGCTGCTTGGCAGTGAAGATGGCCAACATCACTCCTGGAAGTATTTCCCTTATGGAGAGGGAAGTGCTTTGCTCCTGAGAGGTGTCTTCTGAGAAGGGCAGTGAAAATAGCTTGCGTAGTTAGCACCCAATTTTAAAACTGAACGGTGGTTTTGGTTCCCCAGTTGGTTCACTGGTTGTGCAGGGTGTAACTTCTGCGTCTCCATTTCACTGATTGGAAATAATCATTCTCCTCACGTGTTTATTTGTGTAGTGTGTCTCAGTTCTCTTATGATTTGCTAGAGTTGATGTGAGCTTTACAGTTAGTTTTTGGGTTTTTTTTTCTTCTGGATAACAAAGTCCTTAACTTCTGATGCCTCTAAATCTGAGGATGAAAGACATGGGAGAAGCACCTACTACCGAATCAGACAAGGATGCTTATGAGCACCTTTGTGTTAGCTGTAGCAGGAGGATCAACATAATAAATGGCTGTGTCAGTTTTGACTGTAGTCTTAAAGGTTTATCTGGTAGCATATGCTTCATCTTGTGGCATATGCTTATTTACAGAGTGTTGTTTTAGCTGCTTCTTACAAGTTAGCTTTAAGGGAACACTCTGTTGCTCCTTGTTTATTTTTGTGTGCAATCTGGCCTATGCTGTTTAGAGAGAAGACACAAACATACTTCACCTCCTGCTGCCCTGCCTTTAGGCGGTATGATGCATCTGCAGGCTGTGTCATGAGCACTGGTGTCCTTTGTCTTTTGGGGAATCTGTGCCCTAGAAATAATGGATTTCATTAAGGATTTGCCTCATAAGAAGTTTGAGCAAACACTGTGTGAATATGTCTTTTATCTTGCTGTCTCTGAGGGCTGCATGTAGGCAGGGAATACAACAAGGACACTACCAATGCTTCGGTCTGGAATGTATAATTAGTATGTGTGCATCAAAGATTTTAAAAATATATGCATTAGGCTTGTGCAGTCACTGCTGAAGCTCCATTTGTAAAAATACCTGGTTGCTTCATTCTCTTCAGCTGTGTTTACTTTCAAGACTGGCGTATTTTGCCATTATTATTTATGTGATTTGTTTTCTAATGTTGCCATGGGAGTGTTTTGTATCTGAATTATTCTGTACTCTTATACCACTGTTTTCCTTTAAATTCTCTGTTGTTGCACCATCAGACAGAGGATACTTTGATGTTAGGAACCAGGCTAGAAATGCTTCATGTGAAACCACAGTTCCAAGTGGTGTACAGTGCTGACTATTATTTATAAGGTTATGACACCCTTGTTTCCTTATTACTTTCAGAGAAAGACAGTTGGGTTCACTGAGAAAAGAGCTTGTTGGCTGTTAAGACTTAAGAAAGGAGATCTTGGAAGTTTTGTTGTCCCTTGAAAAGTTTTTAATCCTTATTTATTCACAGAAATTGTGGTGTTTTAAAAACTTTTTTAAAGTCTGATTTAGTTGAAGCCAGTTCTTCCTGTGAACTGTGGAAATACTGCAGGCATCTTTCAACGTGACTTCATTCAGACTTCATTGTGAAGTCTGCTTCTTAGGAAATCTGGATTGGTGCATGCATTAGGAACAATATGGAAGTGACACACCAAAGTGGTGCTCAGGAGATGGCAGTATTGCATTTATCCTATGTCATTTATGTTTGGAGATAAATGACAGACAGTTTTATTGAATTGCAAGAATTACTTAATTGATGTGAACTCTGCGCTGGGACTACAGAAGGTTTACTGTTTATGTCTTCTGTCTAATTGGTGCTAGTGTCAATAGCTATGAGGGTCTGCATTAGACAGAAGGAGGCAGGATATTGTAGATATTCCTGCAGGAGGAGCTGAAACATTAAGTCATCCCACAGCAGTAAAGCTCTTGAATAGAGCATACTAATGTACCACTTCCACTCAAAATTAAAGTGCCATCCATTTTGACTGGGGAGCTGAGTGGAAAGTGTTATTAATAACAAGATAATACGCCCTAAAACTGCTCAAAAGCATGCTTGTTCAAAAACTGCTTAGCCATTATTTCTGCGTTTGGCTTTTCGCCCTTCAAAGAATCATTATCATAGAATCATAGAATGGCTTGGGTTGGAAGGGACCTTTAAGATTAGGAAGATTTCCAAAACTATTAGACCACTTCTGTCTTTAGAAGCAGACATTTCTTAAATGTTTTACACCCCTCAAGTTCCTGGGGGAAAATTATATTTTGGCAGATAAGCGCAGCTAGAACATTTCAGGTGATTTGGCAGGAACAAAAAGCATGGAGGAGCATGACAAAGAAGCTAATTTGGGACTGAGGGACATTAAATTTCTAGCATTAGCCTGGGGAACTCTGGACACATCCTTAATTTCAGGGAGTACAGTGGGCAGAGGATTGAGGATTGTCCTTCCTGCCATTTGTTCCCCAGGAACACATCCAGTTGAAATTTTACTCTGTAAAATTTCGTTTACTTTGGGAAATTTAAAGATGCTCAAGTCCTGGCTTTTTACATCCTCCCTTTTTTTGGGGGGGTGTTGGCAAAACAGTCTTGTTGGCAAAATCAGCTCCTGCAGCACGTTTGGGTGAACAGAAATGTAATTCCAAATGCTCGGTATCTTCTGAGCACAGGTGAAGAAGAAAAAGGGCCCAGCTTCTACTCCTCCCCGAAGGACAGTTGATCTGCAAATCAGATCATACACAGAGAGTAGAGAAAGCTAGGAAATTGGTCGTTTTTATGTAGTGATGTAACACTAAATATTTGGGTTGAGAATAGCATAGAGAACATTATCAAAGAATTTATGTGGACAAATTCTGCTGCTTTTCCAATGTTAAATGATAAGGCTCCTGAAGGTTGTCCTTTTTCAGCGTCACGGAAATGCAAGTAGGCAACACAGCCTTGAAAGCTCTGTGATAGTTAGGACTTGATTCTTTTACAGTTGTTATAGTTAGTAAACGTGAGCTTAAATTTTAATAATGGTGTCATCATGGGAATGCGACAGCAAGAACAGAAGCCTGGTGTAATTGCAGATGAGTGATTTGTACAGCTAACAATTAGACGTGTGTTGTTCTCTTAACAGTATTGTTAAAGTGTATCTCAGAGAAGAATATCTCTTGTAGATTGAATGCTAGCACGTGTAAAGAAGTGACACTCCAGCACTTACTACAGACTAATGCTGATTATCACTAGCCCATCTAGCAACTGTATTGCTAGGTAGAGTTAAGGCTAAGAGAATTAGCTCAAATAGGCTGATACCCGACTGGAAAAGTAGTGCTCTGATTAAGAAACAATTTCTTGATTACTGCTCTCTTAGTGAAGCTGAAGTAGGCATGTGGAAGGAGACACAGTGAATGTTCTGAGGGTCTGTCTGCCCTCTGGCTGAAGTTCCCTGGAAGTGGATGCTATGTGAGCCTAGGCAGTTGGACTGGTCCAACTCTGGACGCTTCATACATATCTTCTCCCCTACAGCTGTAATTCGCTTAAATGTTTGAGAGTAAATTCTGGTAAAAATAGCAAGTATTAATAGCCTTCTGTCTGCACTCAGTGCAGTCCTCTCCTCAACAAAATGGAAATACAGACTCAGGTCAGTTGGAAAGCTTCAAAAATCATCTAGTTAACTGCCTGGCCATTTCAGTGCTAACGAAAAGTTAAAGCATGTTACTGAGGACATTATCTAAATGTCTCTTGAATGCTGACAGGCATGGGGCATCAACCAGCTCTCTAGGAAACCTGCTTCAGTATTAGATGACCCTCACAGTAAAGAAATTTTTCCTTACATGCAGTCTGAACCTCCTCTGGTACAGCTTTGTGCCATCCCTTTCATTCTATCATTGGTTACCAAAGAGAAGAGATTGGCACCTCCCTCTCCATTTTCCCTGCTCAGGAAGTTGTAGAGATCAGTGAGGTCACCTCTTAGCCTCCTTTTCTTCAAACTACACAAACCAAGTGTTCTAAGCAGGGATAGGCTCTATGTGCTTTTACCTGGGAAGCACATTCAGAAGGTAAAAAATAATATTCTTCTGCTGCCATTCTACTGACGAGAGTTTTAAAATTTTGTTCTTCTTGATAACATTTTCCTAAACGTGGGCTGAGAAGTTTTACTACACTGGAAGAGAAAAATGTGGTTTAAACTGGAAGTCTAGATAAGAATGTAACATTCCTAAGGATTAAATTAAAAAATAATTATTAAGAAATAACAGACTTCAGTTACTCTAGAAGGAAATATTCTGCTGCAGCAAGTCAAAATTGGTGTCCAGATGATTGTACTTTCTTTAAACTGCTATCTTTACCCATTCCAATCTTGCTGGCTCACTGGTTTTGTCTGAACTGCAGTGAAGCTCATCAGCTTCTCATGGTTATATTAAAGCAGGATTCCCTTTTGGTCCTCAGGATTGTGATCTTTTGTTCTGTCTGTCTCTTTCAGTAGCTCTGATCTCAATGGCAGCTGGGGAACATCTGGCTCATTGCTGCAGTATAAAGAAGTCATCTCACAGTCATACCACTCTTATATTTTGCCAGCTGTGCCAAAGCACTCTTCTTGTCTGATCATTTCTTCTTGCGTTGCTTTCCCATCATACTCCTTTCTGATCTTATTTCTGTTAAAGTTCAGGATGCCAGGTTTCTCATTGAGGAAGAAAATAAGAGTTCTTGGCAATATTTTGTGCTCAGAGACACGATTGTCTCATGTTATTCCTGAAGTTTCTTCCCATTCTACCGCAAAGAACCAAGGATCCTTCGTACAAGCTAGACTCCTTATACATTGCCTCGTCTGTATTTATTGGTTGTACGTTCTTCACCCAGAATTCTTTATTCTTTCTTCCTCTATGGATCCAATGAGTAGTCCCACATTACTTGGTTAAAAACAGAATTAGTCTTTAACATCTGCATCACTGCCTGCTGTTCTATAGCATTAACTAAGTTTGCTGCTGTTCTCTTGATATAGCTATTCTGGCTGTTCTGTTCTGAAAAAGTGGTTTTTGGTGACAGTGAGTACCTGTGACAGATTTTGTATGAGTATATATTGTGTGGTTGCCCTTAATAACACCTTTGAAACTTAACCTTTATTACTGGCTAGTTCTGCCTCTGTAACTGAGACTGTAACTGTTAATATGCTTATAGTTCTCCAAATAATCCCATTCCACCTGAATATGTCTTTTACCCCAAATAGTAAGTTCTTTGTGAAGTAACAATACATCATTTTTAACAGAGGAGTTAATGGGAACCCGTATGTGATAAGGGTCACTGACCCGAAACGTTTCCCTTCGCTAAGTACCTCAATCTCAAGCAGGTTTAGCTGTAATTATTTTAGCTAGGTAGAGAGAGAAATTGGTTCCATTGGAGGCAAAACAGTACAGGCACACTGTGATTGCATCATTGCATGGGGGGTTGACTATTAGGAGATTAACATTCAATCTTGATCAATAATCCCTGTCTTTACCATAAGACGAAAAATTAATTATTGCTATGAGACATTCTAAAATAAGAGCAGATGGGTAGCTACCTGGAAATCTAACTGGCCGTATGAACCAAGAGAATATCTAGGTGGAATTCAGAGTTGCTGCTGAAGGAAGGGAGCTGCAGAGAATTCATACAAAATTTGCTGAGGTTCTCAATATAAGGAGAATGATTTTTCTCCTCCATGTAGCAGAGGACGTAATACACCTGAAATCTAACATTTCTGTGCAGTGAAGACCTAAGGATAGGTGTCTTAAGCAAAACATTTTGTCTTCATGGAAGCTATGTAGATGTATTCTCATAATTTTGGCTCTTTATTTCCCTCGATTTTGGGAAGGGGACATGGAGCACAAGGAGAAGCAGTCTTCTGTTAGTAGCAAGGAAAACATAAGGGAACGAAAAGAAGCAGCTGAAGGATAACCCCAAATGATATTGTTAGTCTCAAATACTGAACACTCTGAAATAGGATCTAAAGTTTATGAAAAGTGAGGAAGACTGCAGTACAGAAGGTTCAGTGCTGTCCTGTTTCTGTGTCAATTTTAACTTATTTGGAATGTACTTGGTGTTACCTTTCAAAGAACAGCTCATCTGGATTCTAATTTCATGGGTTGGGCCAAAGAAACAAACCAAATGAAAGTAATTTGTTATGCCTTTGGTGGCATTTCTTAACTGTGATTCTGAAGTGTTTCGTCAGTAGTCACCCCTGAGTGGTTTTTGAATTTATGTGAAATTTGAATCCTTCAGAAAGCCGAGCTGATGCTCCCCAATGGGAGATGTGAATTAATTTTTCTTGTCCACCTGGTACAACATTTTCCATCTGCCTTGAACAGATTATTAAAAAAATTTTTAAAAAAGACTACGTGTTCTGTTTACAATTCAGCTGATGCTTAGCATTACTTTATGTAACTTCCCGATTGTCAGACATCTAAGGAATTTTTTTTTCCTAGCTGCGTTGATCCAAATGTGGCAAAGGAAGAAACAGAAATATCCACCAGTCCTCAAGTAGCAATTTTTCTAGCATCAAACTCATTAAAACCCTTCATAACAGCCATATTTCCACTCTTATGAGGAAATGTAGCTTGCAAGCACAGCTATCTGATCAGGATTTGGATTCCATGTGAGGGTGTTGCAGGAATTTAATAAGCAACAAAACTGTAACAAAGCTGTGAACACTGATTTTGCTGCTTATTTATAATAGCCTCCATGAATGGCCTTTCATGGCCATCCACCACATCCACAAAGTGCGTCTGCGCTGCATGGGTGCTCAATCAAGTCCTGGATGCACAGTCAGCATAGCCCACCTAGGGCTTTGTAGAAGTAACAGCGAGTCACGGCCACCTACTGCATTACACTAAGTCACTACTGTGGCTTGTCTGTCTGGTATTTCAGTATCAGCTTTCAGCAATGCCAGGGGGAGTTGTTTCATTGATTTCAGTAAGCATGGATCTAGCAGAAATAAGAAAAAGGAGGGGGCAAGGGAATGAGATCGTCTGTCGTTTTTTTCCTTCTCACTGATGTGTGACATTTCCATCTTCAGTTTTGATTAAATTTCCCTTAATTAGCCCATTAAGCTAAAACCACTAAAGCTAATGATTGAAGTGTTGGTTAACTGATGATCTTGTTTCAATGGAATTTGAAAGACATCATATTTCTAAATTAATAGTGGCATTAAATTGGAGAAGAGAAAAAGATGAACTATTTGTTGCAGTAATGCTGATCTCAAGGGAAGGCTTGTACTGAATCTGCATTCATGTTAGAAAATTAAAGAAAAACCATAGATTAGTAGGCAACCACAGCAACACTGGTGGTCCTGACAGTGTTTGACATTTGCACAGTTTTTCTATTTTGGGGGCTCTTCTATCTTTTTCATCACTGGTGAACTTCAGGAAATCTCTTATGTGTTCTGGACTCAGTGTTTCTGCAGTGCAAATTGGCAAGGCTGTCTCTTAAAAAAGAATTAAAAGCAACCTATTACATTTTTTCTTGGGCATGTTAGATGACATTTCACTTCATGACAGAATTACTCTTTTGTATCATGCCTTCATGCTTTTAGGAGCTGGACATTGGGTAATCATTGTAAGAACAACCATTCATTGTCTGGACAGACAAGATTAGGATGTGTTTCACATACAGTTCAGCCATTTCTACTTCTGGAATGCTAACTTACATGAGAAGGAAAATCAGAGCACACTTTGTCCAACAGCTCAATCAAAACACAAGGGCATATGGTCCCCAAAGTACAAATACCTCTGAGCAGAAAAGCATCACTTGGGTGTTGTTTTGTGAGGTTAATTCACTGGTGAAGGAGAGGCAGATTTTAAAACTGCTGGAGGCAACAAGTCCAATATGCAAACATTGATAGCCACCAAAACAATGAGAGAAAATGTTTTAGATGAGTAACTGTAAGGGATATAAGGGATGAGATTCTGTGTAAGAAAATTCTTGCTGGTTATTAGATTCTTGCAGTCGTGCAGGAAACAGGATTTGTGTAATTTTTTTAAATAAACAGGAATGCTACTAAAAAAAAAACCTTTTTTCTTCATCTGTTTGTCATCTAAACTGCAACACCTGCAAGAATTCATAATGGCTAAACGGTTATATCCAAAAGATAGAATAGGAGCCATCAACAAGTTGCCTACGTTAAAGAGACCCATATATGGCTTCAAATTCTCCTGGTGTAAAACATTAAGATACGAAAGTGAATGTATTTTAAAGAACATCTCTTTTTCTCTTGCAGCTTGCATCATGAAGCTTGCTGTCTTCATGTTTTTCTAAGTATTGATACAACTTCTTGGCTTTGTATCTGACTTCCATGTCATTGTCAGTTGCTTTTATAAATTGATTTCTGGTCTCAAGCACAGTGTTATGACTTAATGTTGCAAACGTATATCTGGAGAACGTAGTTTCATAGAATGCCTTGAGTTGGAATGGACCTTAAAGTCTATCCAGTTCCAACCCCCTGCTGCAGGCAGGGTTGCTAACCACGAAGTCAAACCACATCCAACCTGGCCTTGTACACTTCCAACTAACATGAACTTCTTAAGCTAAAAGAAAATACAAATAAATAAAAATGCCATGGTCTGTATACTATCAAGTTTGAAATATTTGCTTGAGGATTTTTTTTTTATTTTTTTTTTTTTTTTGTCTACCAGTTGACTTGTAATACCCATGAGGATGAGTTTACAGCAGTCTTTTTATTTTGGTAACATAGAAATGGCAAAAGCCTATTTACTGCAAAATCCAGATGAGAATGAGGGTGATTTAAGGTGCAGCTTCTACTGGGGAAGAGGATGATGAGATTTGCTGTTCCTATGGACTAGACAGTGTCAGCTCCCGGGATTGTTTGATAACTTTTGTTTCCCTGTAGGTGGATCAAAACCAAATACATAAATTGATTTCAGCCTTTGACTGCTAGATTCTTTTAAAAACTCTTAAATGACTTCAGGAGTCCTAGCTTACTTACTTTTCTTAACGCTTCAGGGTATGAATCGCTTATGAGAATAAAATCAGAATAAAATCAGTTTAATGGTTTGGAATTTCAGCTTAAATCCTGAATCCACCAACCAACAAGTACTGGCACCTCGTGTGCTTCTCAAAGGACATATATATATTCACGTGCAGCTCCCATCCTCAGATCATTTTTGTTTGTTTGGGAGTTAGGACTCTTTCTCTATCAATTTAATATTTTTGTATGTGAAAAGAAAGCCTTTTTTTTCCATTCTGAAACTGCTTTAATTTTGAATAGCTCTGTTTCATCCCCCTACCAGAGAGATTTTTAATCCCTGTTCTTCCAATCTCTGCAGGTTTTGGTTTCAGATTATTGCTTCATGGGAAAGAGGATCCAATGCCGTTATTGCTTTTGACAATGTCTCCCTTAGTCTGGACTGTTTTTTAACAAGTAAGTTTTCCTTCTGTCTGCAAATGGTGGTTTGTCTTTTATTTGCCTTGCAGCTGAAATTTGGAGAGGGATGGAAATTGTGGGGAAGGGATTGTGTGTTGCTGCCTTCAACAGACTCTTGGAAAGAAGTATGTGTCTGAAATATTTGTGCTCAGATAATGGAGACCATTCAGGCACATATCTTATTAGTGGAACTGACTGGTGAATTGGTTCCAGGTTTGGCAGTAAATGGATGGCAAGACATATGGTGTCAGAGAGCCAGCTGCAGCTACAATAGTAGCATCACCTATCCAGGCAAACTGATGCAGAAACCAGTCTGTAATTATAGAGTTTGACATGACCTGGTTTGTTGTGTGACAGCTTTCAAAATGAATGACAGTTGGACTCTGTCTCAGAAAAGACAGGCAGTCTGTGATTGACACTGACTTTGCAATAACATTCAGCTCACTTAATTAGTTAAATTAGAACAATTTTTTTAGTTGTGTTTTGTTGTCGTTGTTTGGTTTTCTTTGATTTGGACTGATTGCATTTAGGTCTGAATCAGAAACTAAGATCCCCACTCTCATACCCTTGGGAAAATTTTGGATTTGGATTGAGACTTTGTGATTGATCAGCCTCTAAAATAGGTTCAGCCTATACCTCTGCTGCCAGATTCACCCCATTTAGATTTTTATTGAGCAGTTGTGTCTAGCTTATGCATACTGAGATGCTTAAATTATAAATGTGTTTAATTATCTGATGCTCCATTCTTTGAAACAAAAACTGGCATAAGGATTGCTGCTCATAACACATGAAACTTCGGACTTGAGTTGAACTGTACAACTTGACTACTTGTTCATCTCCTGGGCTTGAAGCTACAACTGTCATTTTCACTGAATTGAAAATCTCTAAGCCACTTCCTCATCCAACAACAGCCAAAGTTTCATTTGCTTTGTGTTAGTTTGCACTGTCTGGGTGTGTGTGTATTTCCTTTTATGCAGTTGTGCATAGAAACAGTGCACCTCAGGTTCTGACGTTGTAAAGAGATCTTAAAGTTAGGCTGTAATTGAGAAAGATTGTACACATTTTAACTGGTTAAAAGAAAAACTTTCTAACAGCTGCTAAAGATTGTTTTGTACTTCTGCATTGTGTCCTCATTCACTTGTTTTGTCCACCACCCATTCCTATTTATTTTTAATTTGTCACAGTTTCCATAACAGCAATTGAAAGTCAGTCTGCCCATTCCTTTTAATGCTGGTGTATCCTGTGACTGCAGGCTCTTATTCTCAACAGAAAAGGCTCCAGCCCTTAATTTAACTTGAGCTCTGGATTACACGCTGACTCAGCACAGTGGTGAATCAGTCTGTGACTTCTTGTTTTCTAGTCAATGGAGAGAAGATACCTCGAAGTACTACTCCAGACTCAAGCAATTTGCTCACCAGTAGAAGAGGCCCGAATAATTTTGGATGGGAACAAAAACTTCTGGGAAATCTCCAACTCGGCACCGCCCCCATTTCTGGTCCAGCAGGTAATGGTCTGAACAGAGAATTATTTTCAGACAGCAGATTTCCAACAAGTGCAGATTTTAGTTAAATGGAGCTAAAGGCAATATGACTTCCCCTCCCCCTCCTTTCCTCCCCCCTCCCTTCCCCTCCCTAAGGCTTTCTTCAGAACTTTTCCTAAGTTTGTTCTAAAAAACAAAAAACCTAACTCTATACAAAGCAATTACCTTTAGCTGTTAAAACTGTAACTGTAATTTTGATTGCAAATTTGTGAGGGGAAAAAAAAAAAAGAATTGCAAGATTTATTTGATCTCATGATTTTAAAATAGGAAGGAATCAAAGCAAATTAACTGAGTCCAGAATGTGGTAACTTAAACACTCATCTCTAATTAATATAGGCTTGATTTGAAATATCGTAACTACTCCTCTTTTTCTGTAATGTCTTCATTCCCCATTTGAAAAAGTATAGCAAGGGACTTGATCTTAGAAACATCATTTTCAGCTAGTCAGAAATGACAGTCCTGTATACCTGGTTCTCTCCTGTTCCATGGTTCCCCTTTCCAGCTTAGCTGTAATGGCATGGTACAAACTGTTACAGGATTTCCCTTCTTTTCTCATCACATCACTGTGTCCCAAGGATTTGCCTCTTCCCTCTCTCATGCTTGCCCACACATTTTCAATATCTGTGCTGTATGCATGCATTTATATTTCAGTCTATTCCTTTTACCTCTTCCTTGCCAGTTTTTCTTACTGATTCAATTCAGGTGGTTACAACCAACCTGGAGGTGCACCACAGACCTACCTGGAGAAGGGGGGCTAACCATGGAAATACAGGAAAGAAGCATTGGCTACAAGTGCCACCTTTAGCACTGAGTGCAGCTGTTCCTCCTCACACGGTGCTAAAGTTGACAATTACCTGACAATTTGAAATATGACTCTGCTTAATTTAGAAGAGTATGGTTGGTACACGCCTACTTTATGTACAGGAGTTTGTTCGTGCTGTCTCCTTCTCTCCCATTCCTTTATTTTAAAATGACTACTTTAAAATCTGTTCTCTTCTACGTTATGTTTCACTTTGCTACCTGCAGTGTACTGTTGAAATACATGCGCTAGTGTTAAGTCAGTTCTGATACCAACAGCAGTCTAGCCAGTGTGATCAAAAGCTCCATACAGTCTTGCAAGCCTGATTGAAAAGCTGGACATATTAGCCCCAGCAGAGCAGCTGCTGGTACATGAACCAGCAAGTTCTGGTAAAGTGACCTCCAACAGTGGAAAATCTCTGCAGTGTCTGCCAAGGGTTGCACCAAGAGGAGTTTATTGATATTTTCTGTACTGTGTCATATAGCAAGAAAAATGCAGGAGCAAAGGATTAGGTAGGGAGAATGAGCCTTTATGAGAGGATACTGGGCTGAGTTGGACCTGTATATTACGGTTCTTTCATGTTTTCCTAAATGATCTGGACTTACATGCTTGCCTGCATAAGTTTGCAAACAATAGTAAGCTAGGAGCTGTTCAGGATAGAGGGGCCTTGCAGAGGAAGCTTGCTGGTCAGTCACCAAACACAGTAAGTTTAACAAGAACAAATGACAGGTTCTGCACCTCTGGGACAAGGTGGTCTCTATAGTACCGAATCACCCATCACCGTGTTCCCTGCTCCCTGCTCTCAGTAAACAGTGCAGATGCTTGTTTAGTCCCTGGGCTATGCATTTTACCCTGGTTTAATCTTATTACTTTCTGCATCCTGTAATGCATTTAAGAAACCTCAGGCAGAGTCTGCCAAGGCCATTGCTTTCATGGCCTCATATTTACTATTGTGCGAGTGAAACAACAGCATCATCACCACCCTGAAGTCCTGAAGACTGCATTGACCAATATAAGCTCAGCCAGAAGTAATTACAGCTAATGTGATCCTTGGCTCATATGATGCTTCACTGGCTGTAATACTTCCTTCTTAAGAAATCATATTGAAACTAGGAAAAAAACTCTGTTTCTGTAGCTAAGGAGACAACAGAATAATAAAATGCCTTCCTCAAGTCTATGAGCCAGCTCAGCCTACGCAGCTAGGAGTACAGTCTGAAAGACAGGCACTGCTTCGGTTACCTGACTAAATATGCAAAAAAAGTCCATTGCTTTTAAGGGTAAGGGGCTGGATTTGCTCCTTTGTAATTGAGAACAACCTCTTACAGACATTGACTGTGCTAGAATATCCAATTTCAGCAGAAGAAATAAATTGTCATCACTGCCAACGTCACTGCCCCCCCTTTATTCTCAGGCCCTGTACTGAGTGAATTACTTCAGCCCTGCCATTGCTTGACATGGCTTGGCATGTCTCTGTGATCCATACACAGGAAGCCAGCAAAAGGCTTGAAGTATATAACACAGGCACACCATAAAGTATCTTGAAGCTTCTAGAGATCTATTAACCACTGGCATTTACAAAGGACTGGCCAATGTGCTGTGTGGAGAATAAGACCCCAAACTGCTACAGTAGTGATGTACTTCTCTCAAGTTTCTGGATGATGACCAGGGCTGACACACAAAAAATCCATGTAGATCTGAATTTGCCCAGTCACTTGCAATGCAAGATAGACAGCCACAAGGCTATGGACAGGTTTTCCTGTTCAGTTATTTAATTAATGTGTCATTTACTAGAATACCAGCTTCTTGCAGGAAGATTGCAAGTGAAACTCGGTTCTGGAAGAAGCCTGACAAAAAGTTATAAGAAAGGCTGTTTAGAGTATTAAGTAATACCAGAGTATTGAAGCAACCACATTTGTAACTAGAACTTTTGACTGAAATTTCAGATGAAATCTGCACAGAGGTTGTGCAGATGTAAAGCATGCTTACTTCAGCTTAGTTTTTAAATTTCTTCGCTATTAGTTTAAGTAAAACTGACAACTGCTCAAACCACAGCAGCTCTCTACAGGGAGTTGAACAACCAATTAAAAAGCCAATTTAAATCAAACCAATGCAATTTCCCTTTATAGACAAGACAAGAATATGGAAAATTCAGGCACAGAGAGATACAGAGAGCACTAATGAGGAATTCTAGGTAAACAAATGACTATCATGGATATGCAAGGGGAGAAAATAGGATTCTCAGTAGGCAGAAGGAGATAACAAGAAATGGAGCGCTCAAGCTTTAATTAAAGATTTCTGATGCTTCTGAGTAGGCCCTAAATGCCATGAGGATAGCCTCTCTTCTGATGTTTCAGCGTCTCATCAGCCTGCTGACAACTTACTTGTGTCAGGGTACATGGTACCAAAGTGGTGGGTTGTAAAATGAATGAAAAAATGTTAAGCTTTTTCCCCTCAAATCTTGTACTGTTTTGTGCCATCCGGTCTGCTATTGTGAGACCATGGTTTCCTGCATGGAAGCTGTCACCACGTAGTCTTCTGGACTGGATTACCATTTTCTTCAGCTCCAGTTTCTTCCCCACACTCTTGGTGGTTGCAAAGACTTTGGGTTTTTTGCATCAGAGAGTGTCCTGTTGCAAGTACTTACATGGTTGTTTCTCGGAAGAGCTCTGAGTCACATTAGTTAATCAGATGAAGGAGCTGAAAGGAACAGCAAAGCGAGTATTAAGTAGAAGAAAATTTCATTTGGTTGCTTTTTGTGCGCAATTATACTAACTGAACTGTTGGTGTAATGCAATAAAGGTATCTGCAGAATTGTATTTTTGTATTAAGCATCAATTAACACAGTGAACAAATGGCTTAGTACTCTCCTCCTCAGCAAAAGAAGCATTCTGAAAGTGATAGAAAATGTTCAGAGATGGATGGGTAGTGGGATCTCAGATGATGCAGGCATGAATTTCTTCATTGCAGTGTTTGCACTTGCTTTCTCTAGAGGATTAAAAATGGCAAAGGTACAGTACTGAGAAGCAACACAGCAAAGTTAAATTGGAATTCCTGCTCTCTAGAGTTAAACAAACCATTGGAATAAACAGATTTTAGGCTTAAAATTTAAATCTGCCTTTACTCTTTAAAAACAACAGTTTAAACTGTGCAGAAACTGCTATAAATCTGAGGAAAGGTTTTGAAATAATTTTGCTGCCTCCTCCTGACCTGGTCTCTGTTATCCATCTTGTGTTTCTATTACCCTTTGCAATTCTAAATGAGAAAAAAAATCCAAAAAGTTATTAGTATCTCCCGCTAAGCAGCCTTTATGGAAATTAGTTTTCTTCATGCTGCTCTGTTAGTTACTGCTTCCTGAATGTAGCAAGAAACAAACCGTTCTCATCATTGTTCAAAGCCAGCTCCTTGCCCTGTCATACTGACCACAGAAAGTTTCCTCAAAGGATGCCCTGATGGTGTTTCCTTTATCTAGATGGACATATAAGAAAATTCTAAAACAAGAAAGAAGTTATGTGTATTTACATGAAATGGCACTGAGGTGTGATCTGATATACATTCGTAATTGCAGCAGCTCTCGTTAAGCTGAAAAATATGTCCAAGTCTTCCATTGCCTTCATCAATGGCAGCCAAATGTCACTGGTCTCCTGTTACAATCATAGAATGGCCTGGGTTGAAAAGGACCACAATGATCACGTCGTTCCAACCACCTGCTGTGTGCAGGATCGCCAACCACCAGACCAGACTGCACAGAGCCACATCCAGCCTGGCCTTGAGTCAGCTTCTGACTTCCTTTATGGGTCAGATGTTTCAAAGGAGTTTGTGAATGCTTTTACAAACAGATGAAGGAAGTGTTCTGCTTGTCCATGGCATTGTGTTCATTCACAGCTGCCTTAGTGAAATGAAGTCCCTGAGGGACAATTAACAGAATTAATTGCTTCCATAATTTTAGCCACTGGGGTTTTTGTGCTCCCAAAATGGTAGGCTTTATAACCCTTATTCACTCTTTTTTTAATTTTTATTAGTTTAGTGGAAGTGAGATAGCCTCTTGCCTGAATAGAGGTCGTGGCAATGTGTCCCTAATAGTGCCCACACATAGTTATATTGCACTGATGCATTTTGCCACTGCTTTACTTCAGATTCCAAAAGATGCCCAGCACCATGGCGCATAGTTTGTGATTTCCTCAAATCACAGGAAAGCTTTGGTTTGGAACAAGTTGAACCTTGGTTCAAACCAGCTTAATTTAACAAATGCCATTTAATACATTTAGATCCTTGAGGTATAGCTAAAATGCCAGCGGCTGTTTTGTGATGTGGGGTTCATATGCTGCATATGACAGTCAAATTGCTTTCTGTGTTAGCAGTACAAATGCGCTTTAGGCTTTGTGCCTCTGTTTTCTTTTCTTTGCTGTTTGTTGTTATTTGCAGCAGCGCTGCCTTGGGCTGTGAGTTGTATCAGAGCCTCAAAATAATTAATCATTTCAAGTCTTGTGGGCTTTTGTTCTTTTTCCTTTGCTTGAACTACGCATCCATCCCCTTTGCTGCAGCTGAAATCCAGCACTGTTAATTGCTGTGCATCTTATGTACCCAGCCAAGCAGTGCAGAAATGAGAATTTTTGCTCTAAAGAAGAAAATAATTGTCAACATATGTAAATATATCAGTAAATCTAATTGGGAAGAAAAGTTGGGAAGAAGGATTTTTTTTTTTTTTTTTTAATCTATTTTAATAGGGGTAAATGGCATTTCTTGCACAATATTTTTTTTCTGGGTACTTAGCAGTGTATTGGGAAGCATCCCAGGCAGCTTGAGGAGGGCAGGTGTGTGGGTGAGCAGGCAACAGACCAAATAGTTCTTTGCCAAATTTCCCATGAAAGTGGGCATTCTATCAATATATAAATTATTCACTGAAATGTAATACCCCAATTCTGAATCTCAATTCATTTGTTTTTTTCCCCTACACTAAGCAGGCATTTCCAGTTCTTAAATCCAGTTAGCATCTTGCAACTGCCCATGGCAGAATCTATTAGGGACCCTGCATTTGGCTTCCTGTTAACTTTCATCATGGGAATTCTCAGCTGTTTCTGGAAATCAGGCATCTGTATGTTGTATGAAGTCAGGCAAAATTCCAAAGCAGTGCCAGCAGTGCTCCCCATCACACACTGCGGATTGAAGAGGCAGTGCCATGCAGTGTGCAATGGATCGTGGTTGTACGCGAGTGGGGAAAAAAAGAAGTGCTTCTCAGCTGCCTGCTTAAGGAGTTTGGGATCAGGGCTGCTGCTGTAGTCTTTGGAGATGAAAATAATGCTTTGGATGGAATTAGGGTGAGCTGCTGTGCTGTGGCAGGCAGCAACACATTGAGGTCCTGAGCTCAAGAGACATACTGCAGTCATTTTGAGAATCAAGAGAAAATCTATACATTACAGGGAACGAATGAGTGGTTATTCTTGCTCTAAAAAAGAACAGTTATTCTTACTTAAAAAGAAATGGTGGGTTATCTAAGGTAGGGAGTACTTTGAGTCTGTTTTAATACCGATTTAAGATTTTCAGCTACTGTTGTTTCTGCAGATTGAGGATGAGATTTGTGAAACTTAAGAGAGAAGAGGAAGGGAAATGAAAGGTTTTTTATCTGTATCCAAAATTGTAATTGAGGCCTATCTGTGCTATTCATGTTGAAATGAGGGGCAACTTCTTCCCATGCTGCATTCTATTCCATTTAATTCAGCAGCAAAGCTGTTAGGTGTTGGAATGGCTTCTGGTATAAAAAATAAAAGTGGAGATAAACAAGAGAAAAACTACTTTTTGCAGGTCAGAGCAGTAGTGACAAATGAGGATATCATGCAATACCTGACTGTAGGCTTTTACTGAAACCCTTGTTCCCTGACATCAGCTGCAGTCAGACATCACTTTGGCCTGGCTTTTTCCAACTGTTTTGGTTGGTTTTTATTGTGGATGTCACCACAGCTCTGCTGCTTCTGAAGTATGTCTTCATTCCTGCCGACCATCTACATGAACTGAGCAATTAGATATGTTTGCTTGCACAGAATGCAGCAAGTGCAGAACCACGTAGGCTTTAGATGCAGTCTTGCATATTCCACTGTGTCAATACAGCAGGACCGCTATTGAAATCTAAGATAATTCCTTCTGTGCTCAGTCATCTCCAGGCTCCTTATGTCACACCTCCAGTCATAGCATATCTCTGGCTTTTTTTTTCCAGATCTCTTGTGCTCTGCTTTAAAAGTCAAATTCAGAGAGCTGAGATGAGCATTCACTAATCTTGTATCACCAGCATGGTTTGGTCTTACACTGATACTGCCTGTGCTCTGGAAGAGAGCATCTTACAGGCTATCGAAGAAGCAGAAAATAGCAAACATTTTCAGTTCAAGATTTAGTGGTATGATGTTTACAGCAGGAGGGCATTTTTCTTCTGTTCTTTCAGGGCACTGCGCTGGTTAAGGAAACAGAGGATCATTACAAAGCATTTTGGAATAAGATGTAGTTAATTGATCCCCTGCCCATGGTACCCAGTGAGAGTCAAGAGCTGCCTCTTGCAGGTGCAGCCATGCCATGTGTTGCACTTGTGACAGTCTATAGGGACTTCTGCCATGTAAGCAGATAACTAAGGATGGAAATTTGTTTAAATGAAGTAAATTGTAAATACAAAGCTTAACCATAGCAGCAGTATGCACATGCTGTGGTCTGTGTTAGGTTATATCCCTTTCCATTTTCCATATAATTCTCTCATCTTTTGGGTATGTTGTCCTCTTGAAGGTCACCTGCTGCTACCATTGGGAACATTTTTGATGTTTCACCAGAGACATCCAAATGGCTTCTTATTGTTCCAAGCAAAGACATTTACCTGTCTGCTTTACTAAACATATGTTTCAGTGCAGGTGGCTTAGCCCACTGGGATGCTGCAATGTTAAATTGCTGTGATAGCTGACAGAAGGTGTCTCATCTTCCATTCTGTGTGAAATTTCACTTTGTTTTTGATGATGGGTTTTTTCATTGTTTTTTTTTTTCTTTTTTTTCCCCCAATAAAAATAATAAACATAAGTAACTTTAGGTATAAGGCTGTAAGTTATTTGCAGAATCAGAGCTACTGAAGCATTTTGCATAGAACCTTCAGGCTCGCTTGCTTTCTTAGGTGCTTTCCCTTCTTGCCTGTTGTTCATGAAGGGGAGTGTACTGGTGTCCGAGGAGGAGAGGGGAATTATTCCATTTGCTATCTACTAATTTTAAGACTTTATATAGCCATCCATTGCTGAGGGATTTGAGAAAAAGTAAAATAAGTGCATCTATATACAACAGTAGAAAAGTCCCTAGAAGGTCCTTGGAGGGTGGTCTTGAGGAGAGGTGATATAGATTTTGCAGTAAGACGTAAGAGCTTATTCTCTCAGCAATGCTTAGATAGGGAAGCTTTCCTAAAGCAGTTTTGCATTACTTCAGGAGCTGCCAGGGCTCAGTTATGAAGGTTTTTCGGAAGTACCAGCCACTTTATTTCTTGCACTACTATCAAATTGTTTGATCCATTTCATGCATTGAAAAATGAATTTAGTCCGTCTCCAGGATTAGTTTGTGAAAACTTGTGGTTGGCTTTACTACTGTGTTGCCTTTATTTCTGACAGGTGAGCTGCCACAGCAGCAATAATGGTAGAAGTGCTTGCCTTTCTTGTCCAGACACTTGTTCATTATCAGTTCTGGACCAGGGCTGCTCAGAAAATAGTGTCAGATACCAAGAAGCAGAATCTAGCTAATGTTCTCATTTTCTGAGCTAGTTAGTTCTGAAAAAGCCTGCATATGTTGTATTGCAGTAGAGAAGGTTGGGTGGCAAAATGCTACCCTTTGCCAATGCTAGAAGGAGAATTGGCTGACCCAGCATCATTTATAAAAATAATATTTTCTTTAGACATGTTCCAAGTCTTTTGCCTTTAATGGCAGTTTATTATACTGCCATGTTCTCTGTCACTAGGATGAACTCCAATAATAGAGTTCATTGGATTGTGTGGATTTGCTTGTTAACAAATATGGATGATAAATCACGCAATGTGCACCAAAAACTGCCCAGTCTATTTATTTTCCATCTAGAGGTTAGTTTTGATTACGAAGGCAATATTTCCTTATTTATGATCCAATATGTTGAGGTAGGTATTGTAAGAGCACTGTGATCTTGCAACATGCTGGCATCATGTATTCAAATTAAAATTCAGGTTTGTGAGGCACAAATCATCAAAGCCATGTTCTAGAAATCTATTTGTACTGAGCTGGTCTTTCCATTTGGTGAAAAAGGCTGCAATGGATCTGCATTGATTTACTTCCAAAGATCTGAACTATAACGTGAAGAGCTGTATGCTTGTTCTACAGACCAGTTAGGTGTTCTGACTTCTGAAATTTAACTTGAATCTCATCTAAATCATTATTCAAAAAGTTATCAGTTTACTGTTATGTTGTACTCACTGAGAAATGTCATATTTACAGGCTTTTATCTAATTAACAGCTACTTTCCCATACAAAATAGGTTCAATGGTCAAATATAAATATGAGCTGAAATGGCTAAAATGCACACTCTTGAAGTTAGTGCATTTTACTTCTGTTCTACTCTGTTATCTTTACCTTTTTGAGCCTTAGAAAAAGTAACATGATTGTAGCAGTTTTGAGAAGTTTTAGATGAGAAGCTGTCAAAGCTGTACAGTGTTATGAGACGTTTGAAAGAATTGTGCAAATATTTGTTCTGGCTAAAACCTCAAGGGCCAAGTTCTTCTCTTGATATGGCAATAACAAAGAGTGGATGAAGAGCAGAGCAGCTACTTGATCTTTGTGTGCTCAGAGCATGGTTTGCCTACGTTCTCATTTCAGATCACTGGCTGTTCACAACATGTGGTGCTAGTGGAGCCTATGGCCCAACACAGAGCCAATGCAATGATGCCTACAGGAACTCCAACCTCAGTGTGATTGTCGGAGCTGAGGGGATTCTCCAAGGCATTCAAATCTGGAGAGTACCAGCAACCAACACATACAGGTAAGGGAGACATCTGTTGCTCTTATAACATGTGTTTGTGTTAGAATTTCTCCAAGCTGTGGATACGTGCTAGACGTGTATGTGTTGTATTCAGAAATTTAGGCAGATCTACTTCTCCTTGATTTTGTGATTTCCAGTCTTTCCAGTTTTAGATTTGTTGTCCAGCAGATGCTACTACCTAGTGAAATGGAGAAGAGAAGAAACAACTGTCCTGAAGCACATAAATATTCAACCTAAATACCTTAGAGGATGGGAGAGCTTTATAAGTAACTGAAAAGTCAGTATTTGACCTCCCTGAGCCAAGGTCAATGCATCCTATATGCTATCCATTGAACTTTGGCATCAAAATCAGTTTTTCTCACTCTTCATCTGATATAGGAGGTACAACTCTGTCAGCTTTTCTTACAGGACAGATTACATCAGCGTCTGCTCTGTTTTGGAACTAGATATAGTAGGTTGAGTCTGTATGCCTATCAGCACTGTAGAATTGATTTTGGAAGCCAGCCACCAAAGTATTAGGCTTTGACACTGAGAGTTAAAATGCTTAAATCCCCCTACAGAGTTGTCCTTAAAGGGAGATGATCAGGTACAATTTAATGCAACTTAAGCTGATTTTTACCACTTTTCTTTTCCTATTTTTGCTCCTGCTGGGAGGAAAGGTGCAGAGCTTAGCCCATTGTATCTGAATAGCAACATCAAGCCATAACATGCACCACTTTGTCTCAATGAATCAATTATTATCTAGTGTATTTTTAATGCAGCATTCCCTATTGAAACTAATGATAGTGTCATGGATTTTGAAGCAGAAAATTCTAGTGTAGTCTTTGGACAAATTTCAATTGAAACTTACTGTCACCTTCTCTGTTGTTTTTTTGGTTTTTTTTTGTTACTTTTTTTTTTTTAGTCTTATTGAAAAAATATATATACTGGGGGTAGGTACCAGTCTCTAACAGAAGTCTGCTGCAAAGCAGTTATGAGAAAGTGGCTAGGTTAGGCTATGCTCAAGTTCTGCTGGAGTGCCTGTTACCAGAAGGATTGATGATAATGAAGAAAGCATTCATGATATTTTACTCAACTATCAAAAATGAGTTGCCTGAGGTGAAAAGAATTTTTCAGGACCAGCATTCAGTAAATAAGGATATAAAGTATAGCCCAAAAGAGAAGAGGCAATAAAATTACAGTATTGTCATTTCTTTAATATTGGAGGCCAAGAAAGAGCCAAAATTTTAGTGCAACTGTAGGCTGATTTTTGCTACACAATACAAACCACGGGTGAAATGAGGCTCCTGCGGGAGGGACGTAAATATTTAAGGTCCTATAAATGACCTAACAGGCTTTTAGTTCAGTATAGATAATAAATGGCTAATATCATTAACTAGATGACATTCTCTTCTGTGCTTCCTAAGGCTGCTGTAGAGAATTCACAGCCTGAGGAAAGGAGGCAGCAACTGTGGACCTAAATTATCTTGACATATTCCTGATTCAGAGCTGCTGGAGGATCAGGAGGGACCCCCACAGCATAGCACAGCTCTAGGAAAACATCAAGTTGCAATATCAGCAGTAGGCTTTCCAGAGTCTAAATCCACAGCCTGTATTTAGCTTTCCCTTGCAGGCCTACTGCACTGCGAATCCTGCAGGTCCATCTGCTACTCACCTCCAATTTATTTGACCCAGAGATAAAATCCTCCAGCTGGCTGTTGGGCTCTTTAGAAAGCTGGTATGGTTCATCAGTGCGTCTTGCACTGTGTAATGCAGCACAGTGAGTTACATATCTAGTAATTGAATAAGCTGAATATAGATCATGTGAACACAAGGCAAAATATGCTTTATTAACTCTCAGAGACGGAAAGCTTAACTTTTCACAAAACTCTGCTAACATAAGCTTACCCCACAATCTGTGAAGGCCTGGGTAGGCTGCACACACTGTACACTGCTTCATTTGAAGTTTGCATTCTTATATGCTCCAGTGCTGATGCAGACAAAGTAAGCTGGTTCAATACCATGAGGTGAGCATTGTATAATAATAATAAAGTTAGGCAGTATAAAAGAATATTTTTTCTATCTAGATTGTCTTCAAAGCATTCAGAAGACTTTGTCATCCAACATCTATGCCTATGATCAACTATGAAGAAGCAAGCTGTAACAAATTACATTTCATCCATTAACCAAATTTATTCATTTTTTAAAGCAAGAACCTTTGGTCTATTTTTCTGTATGATCATTTGGTGTCACTTCCACAATTTTCATTTCTCTTGTCCCTTCTTGTAAGGTAAAACAAAAACACAAGGCTGTGCTTGTACTGTCAGTGCCCTATGCACATGCTGCTCGTTCCTGAAGTTTTTAGGAAGGTATGCTGTGTTTTGCTTATATATTCTCAGGTAATGTGACTTTCTTCAAGGCCAATGTGGTTTAAGTGTATCCCTCCCATAGAAGAAAGTCTTGCCTAAGGAGAGGGATCCTGCTCTCACCTGAAGTCAAGATAACCCATCTGTTTAAATAGCAATACACATTTTAAATATGGAATGACTGTTTCCCAAACCTGCCATTTATTATTTGTTTGCAGCCTTTGAATGAGGCAGAAATGGGTTTTCTCAAATTTTGTGATATCATTGCTTATATGCAAAATCTGTTTATGCACAGAAAAATATGGCCCTAATTGCAGCCGATTAACTGTGCCAGCTTGCTGTGCCTGACAGCGCACTTCATTAAGCATTCCAAAATTCTACAGTAAATTTAGCTCAGTCTTCAGGTTCATGCAGTGTCTCCTCAGGGGAGCCCAGTACTGTGTGTTTATCACTTTTTCTGCTGGCTCCAGTGCAGCCTTACTGAGAAATGATTGCTTTGGTTACCGAGAGTGGCATGAACACAGTCGTGTCACGTTGCAAGGATCTAATCTGCTTTATGAGGCACTTGATGCTCCATGTTTGCTATGACATTGAAATTGCTCCAGGCTGGCTGCCTCGTAGTGGTGTCATAAGGTGAGTTCCTTTCGGGGCAAGAGCTAGCTGAAAGTGAGCTGGTTGTTCCCTGAGGGAGGAAGCTGACCGCCTGACCTGGTCAGGGTGCTCATACACACTGAGCTCTGCTGGTTTGTTCTGCTTTCAGCCTGCAGGACTGTGCAGGGCAAAAACCCATCATATGCTAAAGGATAGGAGTTAAGGAGAGCATCCTTAGTGGAATAGGTAGGAAGACAAGGAAAAAGTTTGTATCTTCAGCCTTGCATCACTGTTTACACACTCCAGGTTGAATTTTACTCTCACAGAAATAGCTGGAAGTCACTGGAAAATCACCTATTTATTTCAGATCTAAACTGAGCTAGCTTGGTTTGCCACCATTCACTTGCTGATGAAGTCAAGTGACTATGTCTTTTGTTGCAGCAGAAATGTGTGTTTCATGATATTTATGACATGCTTTGCAGTCTCATGGTAAAAACTGCTTCAAATGTGTAAGATGTTTATGTACATAGAAAAGGAGAGGGAGGATCTGAGCAGTCCAATTTTTGAGTATATCAACGATAGTAAGGACTTCTGAATCTTGATTACTTGGAATAAATGTCCAAGTGCCTTACCTGAGACCGCAGCAGCCTCTGCGTGCAAACTAGCTGCTCCTGGCTGGAGACAGTGTGATGTTCATGGTGACTGTGAGTTAAGCCAGGAGGCTTTTGCCTTCCCTATTTACTGCCAGTAGTGTGCCCATTTACTGTTTTTCATTCTGTTCCTGGAAGTTTGAGAACTGTTTCCCATCTGGTCTACTGTACTGGGACCGGTGATAGTCTGCTTTCTCAAATTTCCCCGTCAATATTGTGCAAAAGGTTCTATTTAGCCATATGTGCTGTACTCATTAGCTCTACTGCTTCTGATCTTTGCAGCGCTCACTGCAAACCTCTTAAGGGCATGCCTTCTGGGAAACAAGATATGTTACATATACTAAAATTTGAAACTACAGGGACTTGCGCAGTGTGTCCTCAGCAGTGTGAAAGAATCTGTTTTGCAGCTACCCAAGTTCGTAGACTCACACAGAACAGAAGACTTCATTCTTCAAGCTTTTTTTTTTTTTTTTTTTTTTTTTTTGTATTTAGTGTTGTCAGGTCTTTGGGGCAAGGTCCTGTGACACTGTGTACAGTTCAGGTGTACAAAGCACTCAGTGCCCATAAGTCATTGATATTAGCTTCCACTTATCTGGAACAACTCAGGTACCACATTTATATGGGAACTGCTGCATCGCAGCCTGAACTTCTGATTGATCACCTGAGCCACGGGAGCACAGGTGAAGGCAATTCAGCTGTGCTGCTGGAAGGGGTGGAGCCTGGCTGCACCTCTGCTAGACCTATTTAAGAGCTGGCTGCCAGTGGGGAAGGATCTCATCTGGAGATCTCTCCTCTGGAGTTTTGCAGTGAGCCCAGGGTGCAGGTAAGCATTCTATCTATTCTCTTTTTGTTATTATAACCTGCTGAGCTAAACTCTCTGGTTTATTTCATAATTATAACGTCTTTATATTCATTGATTGTATGCACGTTCTTGTGTTTGTTTTCCTGCAGCATCTCAGGTTATGGAGCTGCTGGTGGGAAAGGAGGGAAGAACACCATGGTGAGATCCCATGGCGTGTCTGTACTGGGAATTTTTGACCTCCAGAAGGATGATACGTTGTATATCTTGGTGGGACAGCAAGGAGAAGATGCTTGCCCTAGTGTAAGAGATTGTCCTTTTTACTTTGTTGTAATGCTTACAAACTGGTGGAATTTTGTCTGTTTACAGAGGTAATACTATAGGCTTCTGATTAATCTGTGTATCTCAGAGCACCTGTGTGGATCTGCAGAGGGAGAAGTCAACCCTGCCTTCCTTTCCTCTGACTTCACAGAGCTTTGGCTTTGCTCTGCTGTTCAGTCCAACCCTACAACTGCCACAATACTCTGCAATGGGAAATACCCACCTCACAGTGCCCATTGGTGTTTATTTTCTGTGGGGGATTGGGAGAGACAAATGAATTCCTGATGAGACAGCCCTGATTTTCGTGGTGCTAGCTAAGCATTGCTGCAAATATCTAGATGGAAAGGAGCAACTTCTGCCATTTGCAGTACTCTGTTGATCTTTTAGTATACTTCGGAGGATTTGGGATTAAGAGATTGTTATGAGTAGAACTAAGCCTTATCTGTTGGAATTTCACCTACAGGCTTGAGCTGGGCATTTAAATGCTGTGTGTTTCTCAACTTTTGGATGTCTGGCATCCAGGAAGTGAAAGTTTCTCTGTCTGTTAGAGCAGAGAAGGTTTGAAAGATGCAGACAAGAAAGTGGGGTTTTCAAGGCCATGTGCTGAAATAAATAATGTTAAACCTGGAATTACACGCATCTACAAACAAACCATAAATATGAAGCCTCTTTGAAATAAGAAGTGCCCTAACTCAAACTTCCATCTAACATCTATAACTAGGGCATTCCAGCTCAGTGTAATATATGGAGTCATTAAATTTCAGGTCTCTGTAATCTCAGTGAGAATTTATTGAGTGCTAATGTAATTCTTTCATTGAAGCAGAGAGATTGTATTGACTTGTAGAAGGGACCTTTACTAGATTGGATTGTAATCAGTTATGTCTTCGCTGTGAAGGATTTTTTTTTTTTTAATTCAGTTGTAATCTAGTGGCCCCTCTGAGTCATTGACTTTGTCATCATATTAATCATCCCCACCCAAGTTCTGGTCAATTAAGGGAAGGGTAAAGGAGAGGGGTTGTTTTGCTCCGTAGACAAGTCCACAAACTCTAAGTAGATAGCATTCATTTTCTGGCGCACTGTTTTCTGGTCAACAGAATAGTTTGTAACTTGAGGAAGATGCTTTTATTAGGTCTCCCAAAAGGAAATACATATGTGGGAGTAGGTAGAAACATAACAGTTTTACTGTACAACTGTTTGTGCATTTTTTCCTTAAAATGTCATTAGCTTAGTGAGTAAGGTGTACATAACAAGACAGGGTTACTCAGGTGAAACTTATAGGAAAAAAATAAGCAAGAAGCAGAGCCTGTGACTTACAAGAACTCAAAGCAAAACCCATCTTTCCATGCACTTAATGCCCCAATTTAAAACCGAAGCAGGAGTTATCGTTTTGTTTTGTTTTTAGATTGTAGTCCAGAAGTACTTAGAAACAATAGCTTAATGTTGTGTTTGAAATAAGTCAGTGAATTCAGTGATTTGCCTGATGTGGAAGGTTCATTATGTTTGGAGCTAAATGGTGGAGGGGAAAAAAAATGCTGGATAGGAATTGTGGGGGTTTTCTAGTTAAATATTTTCTTTAATGTTGTGTCAACATTGCAGTTGAAGGTGGCATAGCAGTTCTTTTCATAGGCTTTGAACATCCTAGCTCTGGTAATTGCAATATTAGTGCTGCTGGATTAATCTACACTGAGCTCATCGCTACTGTGCGTGCTATGACTATTTAGGTTAGCTCTGGTACATGTGTGAGCCTCCAGTACACTTCAGCTCTTGATAAACATGGTTTGAGAGGGCTGAGAGGCCATAAAGCTTAGAAATTTATTTTCAGAATTCAGCCCTGCTCTTCTGTTTGCAGACCAATGACGTTATACAGAAAGTCTGCATTGGAGAGAACAATGTGATTGAAGAGGAGATACGTGTGAACAGAAGTGTCAATGAATGGGCAGGAGGAGGTGGAGGCGGGGGAGGTGCAACTTATATATTTAAGGTATGGAAACATAGTCTTTGTGCACCTTCAGCATGAATACGTACTGCCAATTGCCTCCAGTATCACAGCCTGAAATAGCTATTTTACACACCTGTGAGAAAGGGACCACAAAGAACTCAGGGTGTCCTTCATTTCCAGATGATAGAGAGGTAGAGAGCAGAGATGGCTTTTCACATGCCTTAGAATGGCTTCACGGTATTGCCATGCTCACTTTAGTGGCTTGGAATTGGCTTTGCAACGGTTGGAAACAGATTTTTTATTTTTTTTTCAATGCAAACTAAGATTCTGAAGCATAATACCTACAGCAAAGGGCGAATTCCTTTTTATTTGAATATGTCATTGTAGAACATGAGACTTCAGCTAGATATTTAACTTAAATGATGTAACAACAAGAAAAGCTGAAGGTAGTCTGTGTGTTTTTGTATGGGCAACTCTACAGCTAGAAGCCATCTGTACTGTTGTGCCTTGTCTGAGATGATACTCTTTCCAAACACCAGTTTCACCCTGGTGAATAATATGTTTGAACAGACTGACTTCTATGTACTTTTGTGTAACTCTGCATGTTCAGACAGTTTCTAGTGTAGCAGTCCTTTATAAGTGCAGACATTATAGTGCACTGTAGGGCATTACACATTAGCTGTTTTGCTTGATGAAGCTTATAACATGATAACATTACATGATTTATAATTCACAGAGCTGCCAATTGCCTCTGTTCCCTGTAGATCTGGTAGAACTAGTGCTATTCATTAGTCTTTTGGATGTTGGTGCCTAAATAATGCAGTGGTAATTTATATTTTCAGCAGTCCTAAATGCCTGCTTAGTGTAAGGTGCAGTAACAAGCACATGGTTGAACTTCCATTTGTGTGTGTGACTCAGTCTGAATACTGCCTTTACTTCTGAACTTAAGATGGAGAATGGAGAACCAGTCCCCTTGATAATTGCAGCAGGAGGTGGTGGCAGGGCCTACAGAGCCAAAACAGACACATTTCATCCAGAAAGGCTGGAGAATGATTCCTCTGTTCCAGGGCTGAATGGAAATTCAGGAGCTGCAGGTAAGAAAAATTTATTCTTTTTAAGAAAACCATTGTGAGTATTTGATTCGCCCAGATTCTGTGGAGGTGAAGTGAAGCTTCTGAAAACATTCAGAGGAGCCTGGAAGTACAACAGATGTGTAGGATGTACCCACAGTGCAGGATACTTGGCCTAAATAAGGATATGAGAAACGGTGGAGTGCTGGTAAAATAGTGTTGGATCTCTGATAAGCGAAGTTTGTTATTTTGATCATGGAATTCAACCTCAGCAATTCTATGATTCTATGAAAAAGACCTTAAAGATCGTCAAGTCCAACCGCTACCTAATCATACTACCCTAACTCTAACAACACTCTGCTAAGTCATGATTGTTGAGGGAGTTTGCTATGATGATAAGACCATACAGCTCTTTACACTATTTTAGATATAGTTTCTTTGGCTTATGTGAAAGGAGAATAATTGTGTGCTAGCTAGGAGTCTCTGTGAAGAGACCTTGTATTGAGCAATCTACAAAGTTGAAATTGAATCACAGGTGACTATGTTTTTAGAGCAGAGTGGGACAGAATCACAGAATCACCCTAGTTGGAAGGGACCTCAAGGATCATGTAGTTCCAACCCCCCTGCCTAGCAGGGCCACCAAACACACACATTCAGATCAGGTTGCCCAGGACCCTGTCCAACCTGGCCTTAAACACATCCAAGGACGGGGCATCCACAACCTCCCTGGGCAGCCCGTTCCAGGGCCTAACCACTCTCCTTGTATAGAACTTCCCCCTAACATCCAACCTAAATCTTCCCTCCTTCAACTTGGATCCATTTCCCCTAGTCCTGCTGTTGTCAGCCCTTTTGACATGTTTTTGCATCCCTTCCACTGAATTCTTTTTGTTCCACGTTAGAAACAACATTCTGTTTTATGCAAAGAGGAAGAGAACACTTTGTAAGCTTAGAAGCATGTGCTTGGAGAGTAGGTAGGGATATCTTTTGACATTTTCCACTGGAAATACTAGTCCTCATATGATAGGCAAAAAGAAGTGCAGGTGGTTAACATGATCAAAGCCCTAAAGTAAGGTCACTGTAGGACTGGTTAGAAAGGACATCTCTTCTAACCACAGAATGAAATTTGTTCTTTCAGCTGAGATGCTTTGAGTAAGTGCTCATTCAGTGGATCCCTAAGGTGTTTGTTTTTTACAAAAAAAGAAAATGACCTTTGCCTATGCTTTTTCTCTTCTGTTAACCACAGGTGGTGGAGGTGGCTGGAATGATAACACTTCCTTCCTGTGGTCAGGAAAATCCTTGCTGGAAGGTGCTACTGGAGGAAGATCCTGCCCCCAGGCCATGAAGAAGTGGGGGTGGGAGACAAGAGGGGGTTTCGGAGGGGGTGGAGGGGGGTGCTCCTCAGGTGGAGGAGGCGGAGGATATATAGGTAAAGTGGCTTCGTGTTCAAGGTGTCCCTTCCCCTCCTTTAGTGCTAATGGTCAGCAAAAGGCTGATAGATAATTCTCCTGTAGCTAGCATATTTGATTGTTACGTAATAGTATGTTTGTGTGTTGCCTTTTTATCACTAGATGAACGTATGGCATTTACTCTTAGAGCATAGCCAGATGTCAGTCCTTCAGCTCCAATCCTGGCTTTGCAGTCTGGAAAATGTGCCATCAAGATCCTTCTGTGATTCTTGAGCCATCCATTTTTGGGTTATAATGCTAAAGCAGGAGCTGTAGGCTGTGTGCTCCACTGCCAGCTCCAGTATTTTGAGTACTTTGGAGACTGGATGCCAGATTTGATGCTGGGTGAAGGGTGCAGCTGCTTCCACCCTGCCCTGCTATGGGAGGGCCTCAGTCCTACACAGGTGGTCTCTGGGGGCAGAGCGGCTCCACTGCTCCGTGGTTCCTGTGCTCAGGCTGCTAGCCAGGACCCCTCTTAATGATGGTGGTGTTGACTTCAGGCAACAAGGAACTAATTTCATGTGCGTCTCAGGACAGCTGTCAGATGGCATTATGTTGATTATAACTGGTGTGGACCAGATTCAAGATCTCTACTAATCCTTAATCTCCTGGGCCTCATAGTTTCTTCAGCCATCTGCACTGTGGTGGACTTCTTAACCCCTGGTTCTCCACAGCTTAAATCAAGTCCATGATACACTTGAAATTCTGAGAGAAAATAATGAGTCTAAATGAGTGCATGCTTTGTACCAATGTTTCTGTGTAATGCTTCTTTTCCCAACAGAATGCCTCACATGATATAATTTTGCTTTGTACTGAAGGCGGTTAAAGAAGAAAAGCCATTTTTGTAGGGGGTGGGGGGATCTTTGCATGCTTGTACAAAATACATGGACTGTGCTATGCTTCTGACTTGTTCCATGGATTGCTCACACTTTGCTCCTAGTATGTTTCATATGCCCAAGCACAAATGAGCAATTGAAGAGTAAACTCCTCCAGTCCCCATTCCTGGTGGACCACCCTGTTTTCAGGGTGCAAAGGAGAAGAAGGATTATCAGATCACTCATTTCCCTCTGCTGACACATACCTCGATCAGCAAGGATACTGAACTGAGCACTGGTGTTTTCCAGTCTCTTGGCCACACTGAAACTGAGAAGGGCTTATGTGTTTTCACAGCATCCAAATGGTTAAAGATGAAATTCTTACCTTAGTTTACAACAGCTTGCCTAAAACAGAGCTAAGATTGTAATAATCTGCTGCTATAAATTGAAGTTCTAGACCTGAAAGACTAGTGTTACATACCACAACTCACTAGGTAATTCCTGTATTTTCAATATTTTGATGTATTCTCTTATCTCATTTGGATGTCTCCCTAAATACACTGAAGCCACGCATGTTGTAATGCTTATCTGTATTTTAGTGCTAATGAGCCTCGGACTGTTAAGGTAACTTCTGGTTTGACATAGGTGGCAATGCTGCAGAGGACAATGACCCAGAGATGGATGGGGAGGATGGTGTGTCCTTTATTAATCCCATTGGTACTTTATACACTCCAGCACTTAAAGGTACTCATGTTGGTCTGCAGTCTCCTCTAGTGGTTTTCTTTCATGTTAAGACTAGTTTGCATCTGTAAGACCCGTCAGAAAGCTTTAGATACATTTTATTGTCATTCTAAACAAGAGGGAGAAAGGTTGCTTAGCCAACCCAGTTGAGTATGAACACTTCCCAGAAATATTGCTACTCCAGCTATCTCTAGGCCTGTGTTTGCCCAGATGTCACTGGGTGTTTTCACTGTATTTAGAAAATATGGGAATATCTACGTGAGCAGAAAAAGTTTGCTTAGGAGCAGCCAGAAGTGTTTTCAAATGCAAGTGGACTCTGAACTGTTAGATTCATCCAAAAAAATTTGAAAATACTGCATGGTTTGAACTCAAAAAGAGTAAAGGCTAAGAAAGAGTGAGCCTCACTGCCTGCTGGAAGATTGGGTTTGCTACCCTGGTTGAACTGCCTGCTGAAAGAGAGCCAGAGCACCTCAGCTGGTTAATGTAGTTGGACATTATTTTCTATGTGAGAAAAGGACTGCGGCCATGGAAGGTGCAGACAATTGTTTCTTAGATGGGGCTTCCTCTGCCACAGCCAGCAGCTGTGACCACAATGCCTCCCTTTCTGTCAGTGCCCGAGGGAATGAGATGAATGATCTTTCCAGTATTTAACGTTGCTTCTTTCATCCGTTCCCTAGTGACAGAGGGGCATGGAGAGGTGGATATTAGGCTGCATCTTAACTGCAGTCACTGTGAGATGGACGAGTGCCGTGTTGATCTTGAGACTCAGAAAGTCATTTGCTTTTGTGAGCCAGGCACAGACTTGGCTGAGGATGGTGTGTCTTGCATAGGTAAGTAGATGATAGGCTGGTAACATGTAACAGAAAACACATAGTCAAAATCTGTAGTTTGGACTGTAAAAGCATCTGGAAATCTTATCTTGTCTCTCTCTTAAAAGTGGCTTCTGTTGTATGTTATCTATCTTATTTTCTGCTGGTATTGGCTGTACAGTTATTTTGCTCAAACACAGGCACATCAGTGCAGAGGTATGGTGCAAAGAGCAGCATCTCCGGTTTGCTTTATAATATATCAGTGGCATACTGGGCACTGAGCATTGTGAGCCAAATTTTATCCACAAGAGGCAAAGGGTAGCAGATCTGGTTGCAACAACAGTCACTTTTTGCTTTGAAATCATGAAAGTTTTCTCAGAAAAGGAGTCTTTCAGTTAAATTTCCAGGTTATTTCTCTGAAGAACCCTGAGGTACTGTACAAGTGAAGGGGAGTGCAATTCCTGTGGATTTGGACACAAGGTGTGTGTGCAGGATCTGTAAAAAAAAAAAAATTCTGCGTGAGAGATCTCTGAGGAAAACAAAAGACAGTACCTATACTTGCCTTACTACAGAAACCGAATGCTCAGAACTCCATTACAAGCTTTTATTTCATATTCTTGCCCAGCAGTATAGCAAGTGACTCCAGGCTTTTGGGATCCTGCTCTCTGTATTTTTACCACAGGCACCTGTAAAGTGAGTAAAAGCACGGTCATTTTGCAGGGTGAAGTAAACCTTAATAGATGGTCATTGAATGATCCAAGCAAGTGTGCAGCTAGGGAATACTCTGTAGTGCATATGTTATCAGTTTTGTGTGCCTGGACTAGACGCATTTAGGAGATGATATATTGCAGTCCTTCTTCTGCTCTGATTTGGCATTGATAGCAGTACTCTAGACCAGGCTATTTAATGTTCTTTCCATCTCCCCAGCCTCCTACCCCCAGCTTTTATGGTCTTGTTTTCATACACGGGGAGTGCACGTGTTAATTCCTTGATAGCAAACCATCTGTTTTAATGGCTTGGTGTTAATTGAGGAAAAGTAAAACAAAGAGATATTTGAGTTTATCGATCCTGAGATCGTCGATCATGTCAGATGTTGCTCCTATGCTGTAGGAGCAGCAGATAAGTAAACAGAAGGAAGAGCAGAAAAATCTAGCTGCAGAAAAAAAGTGTCTGCTGGAAGATTGTGTCAAATGTAATTTCTTTTCCTCTTGTCTCCATTGCAGCTGAGCCAACAGTTCATCTCCCTCTCTCCTTGGTTTTGTCAGTAGTGACCTCAGCATTGGTTGCTGCCTTAATTTTGGCTTTTTCAGGAATCATGATAGGTGAGTGTTTTTCTGCAAATGATATTTGCCTTGTGATGGCTGGATCTGAGCCGAGAATAATCGGGCCCTGGGAGATGCATTTTTTAGCTGCTGCTGTATGGCACGGTACCTTCCCACGCACACTCTTTACCTTGGGATTTCTTTAGTTGTTTCTAACCACATTGACCAATTTGAGGAGTTTCAGTTACTGAGTGCATATTTGAAGAGATTTTATTGTTTGTGCTGTGGTGTAAAGTTGCCAGAACAGAGCTGTCACTTTTTGTGAGAGCTGCTGGTTCTTAACATCTAAAAGCAAACCTCTTTATTTGTGTGCCTATATACAGATTTAGCTCCTTAATGTATGACATCTAAGCTTGAAATTCTCACAAAGTTCACTTTATACAGCCTGCTAATTTGTAGAGTGTGGATGTTCTTGGCATCTCTATTTGAAGTTTGAAAAGGTATTTCTCACCCTTTCATTTTCTTATTTTAAACAAGACTTTTCTTGCATTTGGTTGCAAGCAGAACAGATCCGAATCAGGGAAAATCAATGCTTCAAACCACAGCTCTGCCACCTTTCTTTGTCCACACTGTGTAGAATTGAGAGGAGGGCAGTGACGTACCCAGAGTAGCAAATGGCAACTGGTAAATTAGATTTGCACAGCTGTTGCAGTTTTAAGAGTTTTGGAAATTATCAGTTGCACACACACGGTCCTGTACATGTGCTTTCTGGCCTGACAGTGCCCCTTTAAAAATTACTAATTATATCTCAGAGTGTGGAAGAATAATCTGGTATCTGTCCAACCAGACTATCATTTTCATCTCAGCAAAGAGCAGCAATTTTAAAAAGATCAAAGCAAAAGCAATGAGGAGGAAAATGGAGGACAGGGAGGACTTGTGGATAGGTCGTTACATCCATCTGCCTTTGCCAATGAGTGTTTATGCTTTTTAAATTCTTCCTCTGAGGAACGTCTGTTGGAGTGGATGCAGTAGTTTTTACAGTCACAGTGTTTGGGCCCACTCCAGCTCCCAAAGAAATCAAGGTAAAGGTAATACTGATTTAATCTGTACAAGATGGGCATCTTGCTTTGAAAAAAGTACATGCAATATCAATTACTATTCCAAGGAATATCCACAGGATGTCTTTTTTTCGAGGTGCGATTTCCAGTAAGATTTCAAAGGTACCAGTGAAGCGGTTCGAGTGATATAAAACTATTATAAGCTGATTTCAAATTTAGTCCAACTATGTTGTTTAGAAACAGGAAGTTTTTCAAAACAGATTTATTTTGTATGCAATGTTTTATTCTGAAGTAAACATTTAGTCTATCCATTTGGAACAACGTAATGCAGTAATTTATTTCAGGCTCTTAGTCACTTTTCTATGATTTAGGAAAGTTGACTGTAGCCAGACTCCCTCAGGTTTGAATCTGGATTCATAATTGGAAAGTCCAGCTAAACTGAACAGGGCAAAACAAAAACCTCAGGCTTGTGAAATCAGAGATTTCTGCAAGTGAAATTCATTTTGCATTTTCCAAGCAGTTAATGAGCAAGCTGGATTCTTCATAAGGTACGTAAGTCAAAGGTTCCTGGGTAACTTCAGATTCCATTTTCTATCTGTAATTACTTGACGTGCAGAAATACGACAGTATCACTGTCTGTTTTGATTCACTGGAATTTGACCCTGCATCTTATTCCAATGAGAGATACTGCATGGCTGCCCTCATCTCTCAGAGGCAATCTGCATTGCTGGTTTACCATGTTCTCTATATTTAGTGTATCGTCGGAAGCACCAGGAGCTACAAGCCATGCAGATGGAGTTACAGAGCCCAGAATATAAGCTGAGCAAACTGCGTACCTCCACTATTATGACAGACTACAATCCCAACTACTGCTTTGCAGGAAAGACCACCTCCGTTAGTGACCTCAAAGAGGTGCCTCGCAAAAACATCTCCCTCATCCGGTAAATTCATCTTTGCCTTCTCTGTGATCCACATTCATGTGGCATCACTCTGCTACCATGTAGCTTTATACAGAAATCCCAAGATGAATCAGGAGAGCTTGGAAGACATAGGTGCTGCTAAAGCTGTGCATGCAGTCTTCAGTGCCCTGTAGCTTCATTGTGTTGTTACCATGTTTTCTCTTTGCCTATGTATCTTGCTGGACTACATCTGGAAGTTTCTGGTGTACCCTGTGCTGCTGCCTTTGTCACTTGGGCTCTGAAAGGACATCTGAAAGTGTGGCAAACTGCAGAGAGCAGAGGATGCAGCTGGGAATTGATAGGGGCAGGGATGTTGGGCTATCAGACAGGAAAGTGAATTATGAGCAGTAGACTTGTAATCTGTAAAAAGTTGGTCAGGCACAGCAGAGCCGATACCTACAAAACGTTATTAAAGAAGTGGTTGTGTTACAGGCAGTCCTCACTGTGGTTTCACTGCTGAGACTGCTCTCAACAGCGTATATTGCCCACACAAAAACAGAGGATAGACACTCGGTGCAGCTCTGAGGTCAGACCTGGCACTACTGGGATAGTGCTTGTTGTGGAAGTGAGCACCTCTTAACCCAGACTGAGGTGCAGGAATGTCTCTGGGAGTCTCAAGTTTATGCTGCCCAACATACAACTCATGCAGTGTTAAGAGGGTCCCAGGATCTGGGATGTAGTCTCATTCCCTAAGAGTTCATTGTGTTGTTAGGAGGTGTCACCCATGTGGTATTGCTGTAGCACCAGTTGGCTTAGTACTCAGTGAGCAAAGACTGAATAGGCAGGTATGTAAAATCTGTATCACAAGGACACAGGACAGGATGTGGTGTGATTACTTTTTTTTTTTTTTTTTTCCTTTATCCTCCTTATTCGACATAAAAACATAAGCTTCATAATCAGTGCTTGTTACAATTCTCAGCATGAATTTGTAGAGCCAAGTGCTTTGCAAAACACTGTTATCACTGTTTTCTTGCTGAGGTATTTACCTAGTCACAGAACAAACCAGGAAAATATCGTTAGTTTGTGAAATGTAGGTCTTCTGAGAGTCACTGTGCTTCCTAGTTTCTTGTTCAGTATCTCCTCCACTGACAGAGCATAAACATGGGAACTATTAATTGGGGTGTAGAAACACCGAGGCTTAGAGACATCTTTTTTGACCTGCTTTGGAGAACCCACCCACTAGAGCACTGGCACCAAAGCAGTAGAAAATGCTGTCTATTACACTTTGTAGTACCAGCAGTTTGATTTTGCTGGAGCAGTTTGCTTCTGAGGATTGCTTTCTCTACCAATCACATACATTTTAGGTCCAGGATCAATTAATCATACAAAGGTTCGGTTTGCTGTGTAGTGCCAACATCCAGATCTCCCTGTTCCACTGCCATGAAAATTGTGAGCCCGTTCTGTGAGCTGTGACCACAGTGTTATGATGTATGTTCTCTGGAGTAAAACCTTCTTGTCTTCTCTGGTCTGTCCAGGGGTTTGGGCCACGGAGCCTTTGGTGAGGTATATGAAGGTCAGGTGGCAGGGATCCCCAGCGACCCCACTCCCTTGCAGGTGGCTGTGAAAGTAAGTGACAGCGTATGAGTTATCATGATGGTTTCATGCACTTTTCACCCAGGAGTCCCAATGCATTATAAAAATAGAGATGAATTAAGCATTACCATAGGATTTGTATAGAAAGGTTGCTGTTCTATTGCAGCACTTCCATTCATCACAGTGGTACAGCTTGTCACGCATGGGCTTGTAAGACTTAAAAGAAATTGTTTATAAGCAGTGAATAGACAAACATTTCCCGTAAAGCTGTAGTATTCAGCAAGAATGAGAAATAAGCCCTCTGTCCATCCTGTGCATGCTACTCCTGGTGTGGTAATCTATTCAAAGCCTTTGAGTCAGAGGGACAGAAGTCTTCATGTGGCCAGGAGCAGCTACATCAAAAAGCCTGTAGGTGGGAGGTGGATTTCCATGGTTCTCACCACTCCATTACGGGATGAATATGCACTGAGTGCATAGGTAAATCTTAAGGGAGTCTGGTAGGGTTCTTCAGGCCTTCAGCAGCTTGCCTACCTTGTTTTCTCCTAGATGTTACGTAGCAGCTAAGTCTTAAATAGTTCTGATGGGAGGTAATGGTATTGCCCTGTCGGTGAGCTCAGGAGCTAAGGTCTCATTCCTCCTTCTGTACACAGTGGAGTCTCATATGTTAGCACTGTTGCCTGTGTGCTCTGGGATGCTTCCTTTACCAGGAGGAGGATGATAGTGGTTTTTATGTGTCCTGATCTGTATCTCTCACCAAGCTTCACAGTCTATTTTTATAATGGTCTAGCTATTATTAGAACAAGGGCTCTTTCAAGAGAAACAAGGATGGCTGCAGACATTAGTGCTTTTCATTGTGTCAGATGTTGGACATCTCTCAGTTTAAAATGTCTTCTCCTTATCAACCTGTTCTTTCTTTTCCAGACATTGCCTGAAGTGTGTTCAGAGCAAGATGAGCTGGACTTCCTCATGGAAGCTCTCATTATTAGGTGTGTATGAATAAGATGAACAAGGATTTGTGTAGAACAGCACTGTAAGCAAAAACATTCCGAATGAACAGATGTCATTAACCCAATGCTGTTGTCACATCACCTCTCAGAGACTGAGTCCTGGAATCCAAGGAGGTAGTTCCCCATCACATTAAGGCCTGGAGAAATAAAGAAGTACTAGAGACTTGGCCTTGAGGAATATGCCTCTATGTAAGCTGATCCCTGTGTCAGCATGTTATTTGGAACAACTCTGCCCTAGCCCAACTTGTGCCCTGGGACACAAGAAAATAGGAGCAGACATTCTCTTAAGAGACATTCAGTGCTTCATGTGACCCACAAGTCTTGCTGTTGCACGAAGGGGACACAGAATATAAGGAAACTGAAAAGCAGCTAAAAGCCATTCCTTCCCAACCTCCACCCTCTGTTGCTGCACTGTGCAGAGTGCAAGGGGAGTATTTTGGCTTAATCTAGTTCCCCTGACTTTAAGATTTGTTACTTATTTTGAAGAAGGGAAAAAAAAAAAAAAGTCAGACACATTCCCCACAGCAAAACATTGTGATTCTTTCCTATAATCATGCTTTTTTGGATCAAAGCTAATCCACTATTGAGCCTCCCTCTCTCCACAGCAAGTTTAATCACCAGAATATTGTGCGTTGTATCGGAGTGAGCTTGCAGGCGCTGCCCCGTTTCATCTTGCTAGAGCTCATGGCTGGAGGTGACCTGAAATCATTCCTGAGGGAGACACGGCCCAGACCGGTAAGGAAATAGAAAATTGAATTGTATTTAGTAAGCTGCTGCCACAAGGCGAATGTGTAACCATAGAAGGGCTGATCCATGCAGCTACCATTTTCCAGTGCTTTAGAGTCAGAGCTTTCTGTTGCCAGAAAGCCACTCTTGAGGTCAGGGCAGAAATGTATATGCAATAAATGTTGCTGGGGTTATGCAGAGGAGCTTTGTGGATGGACTTTGCTATATAACACTGCAGATCCTATCTAATGAAACAGAAATATGTTGAACAAGTAATGATGAAGCTGATGTTTAAACTGTCAATCAAGTGCATTTCTGTGGATATCTGTCAAAAGTTTTGCATAGGCAAGTAGATTATCTAACCCGGAGCTGTTGAATTAATAGCTAGTCCAGCATTTTAAAGATTTTCCCTGAAATCAGCATCAACGTGAAAAGGGAGACTGAAATGCATGAGAAATATGTTGTGACTTCTAGAGAAGAATCAGTACTTCAGAAGAATAAAGTTTGCTCAAAGCGACTGGATTAGAAAGGCGCCCACTTAAAACTTAGTGCCAGGGCCCAGCTTCATTCTTTGTCTCTACATTTATTTGACAGAGGAAAAAATGCTTGATATTATCAGCACAAAAAGATATATACTGGCTCTGACAGATTTAAGTAAGAGTCTTCCTTGATGCATCTGGAAAGAGATAAACTTAATTTCTTTTCCCTCGCAGTCTAGTTTTCAGGCATATAAAATGGTATGTGTTGCCCAAAACCACTGCAGTCTTGGAAAGGGTGCAGTAAAGTGATTTCTGCTTGAGTAAAAAAGTTAAACACAGAAATTCAAGGTGCTAGATGTCTGAGTCTGAGCAAGCAGTCTTTATAAAGAGAGGCTGGATTTCTGTTTCACTTAGAGGTTCTCTTGTCAGCTCGTGCAGATGGATTTGGTGGTCAGTGAATGGGGAAATTCATGTATTGCAATGTGGACTCTGCTTTCACCTGGTGCAGGTTGAAATGGCATGGGCCAAAGTGTGCTGCCTGGTAGGTGTGCTTTTCAAAACTGCCAGCACAGAGTGTGCTGTCTGTATAAAGTGGCAGCACAGACTGCAAATGTCTGTGGCTTTCTGCAATTTATTTTCTTTTCCATTTTGTGGCTTGGGAGCTGTTGTTTTCTCTTCCAGGCATTATTTTCTTGCATAGACATGGGGCAAGGGCATCCATCACTTTGTAATGGAATCCTCTTTTTTGCTCTTTAAGAGAAGCCAACTCAGCAATGATCAGGGCCTTGTGAGGAAGCACCAAGACCATTAGTCCTGAGCAGCAGGAATTTTGACCTACTTGCAGTAAAATGAACCTATAGGTTCATTATAGGATGTAGCCATGGGAGCCTTTGCATCTGAGGGGTTTCTTTCTGTCCACACCTACTCCAGCCATGAGTTCCTCCTTGCCTGTCTGGGCTTTCATTTCTGTCAGTAGTAGCTCTGTGCTGTACCTGTGAAAGCTAATGTCAGAAGAGGCAGAGGACTTGCTCTAGGCAGCAGCATACATTATGTCCTTACTATTGCTGCTTCTCCTGTCTCTCCTTCCTTTCGTCTTCTCTCCTTGTCTTTCTCAATCTCTTTGAGTTTATCTGATATTGACTTGGGGGTGAATAACAGGGTAATTCACTGTCTGGCTGCCTGGGCAGCTCCTGAGCAACTCTTGAATGCTGTGAAATCACCTGTGGTTCATGTGCTTCTCTGCTGACTGGAAAACAGGCAGGCTAGGAGACTCACTGATGACAGATGGGCTGTGTGCAGGGTGTTATTCACTGTGATGTACGGTATCCAGCTGTGGAAGCGTGTTTACCTTCTGCATGTACTTGAAGTGTGATAGTACCCATGTACTACATGTTTTGCTCCAATTTATAGGAGGGAAATGAGGTTCTTTTAACATCTATATACCTGGTGTGAGATTAAGAAACAATGGTTCAAATGTTGGTCCGACCAGTTTATTGCAGATCTTAATTAAGGAGATGGGGAAGGGGAGGATGGACACTATCATAAATTAGGGAAATGGGGAAGGAGGGTGATAGAAAAGATAGGAAAGAAGAAGCAAGGAGTCTTTATAGGAAGCAAGAGAGAGATAGTCGCCCCCATGGATCCAGCGTGGTTGGTAGTTTAGTCATTGATCTTCAGTAGTGGTGGGTTGTCAGGCATTGTTCTGTTGACAACAACAACCATAACAGTGACCAGGGCCATGATGGCCCCTTTTCAATGGTTTCAAAGCGGTTGAGTCAGCTGTCTTTGGAGTGACAGCTCAAACCCAAGGTAGTTGAGTCAGCTGTTCTTGGAGTGGCAGCTTCTGGCTTTGGGATCTCAGCGGAAGCTCCTTTGTTCCTATCTCCCTGGCCTTGCCAGCAGATAAGAGGGAGCAGGGAGGCACTAATTTGTATCTTGCCTTCACAGGATACAATGGCATCATCCCCCAGTCTCCCATAGTAAACAGGAGTTATTTGGTCACAGGCTAGATCTTCCGCCATTAAACAGTCCTGAGCACTATCTTCTGAAGGTAAACAGCTCCAAAGAAATGCTTTCAACTGTAAAATTGTCCACACAGTGATGTTGATTGCCACATGGCAACACCCAGCTCTCATTTCCTAGAGTCTTATCGCAAGAAATACCTCAGAAAGCAAGCTTTCTGCTAAAAAGCCAAAGAAGGTTTCATACCCCACACATATTGTGTTTGAGTGTAGCTCTGTACTGCTGGTTGTATCTGTGCTCTAATCTGAATGAGCCCTGAGCTCCTTTGTTCTTCCTTTTGCTGATTCGGGACAGGCAGAGATTAGGCACAGGAAAGTGGGGTTCAATTTTTCTGGAAAAGGGGGAAGGGAGGGAAAGGGAGAACAGTGCAGTCAACAGGTTTCGATGAGCTATGCTTCCAACAGGGATTAACTGAACGCACAAGACCCAGCTGACTGATTCAGTAGCAAAGGTGCAGTGCTTACTGAGCTTTATCTTTGCATTACTCTCCTTACTTGCATCATTTCTCCTTACTTTACTCAGTTTTGTATTTTCCAGCTGCTTTACTTTCTTTTACCTTTACTTTCCCTGTGCGTTCTGCAGCCTGTTGCACAGAGCCGTGATTACACTGAACAACACACAGTTTCATTCCCCTTTAGCAAGCTCCAGCCTCACCCAGGGAGGTGTCACATTAGTGCTTCTAGCATGCCTGCTGCTCTGAGCAGTGGTGCTTGGCAGCTGGCATCGTTCATTCATCTGGGGAGCAAAAGCTGTGAACAGCTGTGAAGTGAATTCTTTAGAGTCTCAAGGCTCCTTCCCCTGCAAAATGAATCCAAACCATCCATTCCTCAAACAAATTGCATGGCTAAAGTGTCCTTGGCTGGGCAGTCACATCTGTTTTAGGATTGCATTTAGCCAAATAAAAGGTGGAAGAAATTCATCCAAGGGGTGGGGGGGAGGGGGGTGGGAGAGTGGGAGAAAATCTATATTGTTCAATTTAGCTCGTTGTGGCTTCATTGTACTGACTTGCACTATAGCTCAGATCTGGAGACAATTGCACAGTAAAGACTGGGGCTTTTTGCTCAGTTCTTGCAACAAGATTTTGAGCCTTGCTCAAAAGTTAAGAGAATGGGTAGGCTGAAATATGCAATTCCCATGGATTGTGCCCTGAAATGTGGGGAAAAGGGGCAGCTGCAATCCTCTTGCTGTAGCTGTCTTGTCTCCTAGCTGGTGAGTCACTTTAACTTGGAGAGATGAAAAAGATGAATTCCCCCTGTCCACAAATGTTGGAGGCAGGAGGAAAGGTTTTAATGCCTTTAGGAAATTCTACAAAACAAAAGGTTCAGAGGGAGACTCAGTCAAGGCTTTTAAAAAATGAATTAAATATATATGCAATGTAGTGAATAAATAAAATACAGGCAGGTGATAGGTAGTCACAAATTATTTTGTTTTATAAAACCACATTGAAAAAATATATTCTGTGTGAACAAAGCCTATTTCCATCATTAGTCAAGTATGGAGGCTAGGGCTTTCCTAACCTCTTAAGAAGGTGTGAGGGCTTGTTTAGGTTTAGACAGTGTCCAATATTTACTGGCAGCAAAGGGTAGAGTTATTTTCAGTTCCACTCAGTGGTGCTTTAGAGCCAGTGATAAGGCTGACAGAGCATCACAGCAGTCTGGGCAGTGTTTCATTACAACAGGCAGGTTGGCACAGGCAGCAGTTCCCATCACTGGACACTGTGCTGGTTGGTGTGCCATGAGAGGAAAAACTCATGCACAGGTGTGCTTTTTGGGCACTGGGTGGGTGGTAGGTGTCAGCAGGGAGAACTGGAGAGTGGGATAGCATTGCTTAGCTAAGGCTGCAGATAAATGCTTACCCAGCAAATGGCTGCTGTGGAATAAGCAGTCGCTGCCACCTAGTTGTTTGGCGTCAGCCCTGTCATCAGCAGAAGTAATTTCCTCCTCCCCTGCAGGACTTGTGCAGGATCACTAATTCACGCCTCATTTTGGTTTCAGAGGCCCACAAGCAGGAGCTGTTGCTCAGCCTGCCCTTTTCACAAAGGCATCTGCCTTCTGCTGGCTAAGGCTGTAGACATCATCAGAGGGGCTGAAGAAAGGAGTTGGCAGCTCTCATCTTCTGTAGCCATTGGCTAAGCAAACCTGTGTCAGTGCTCTGAGGGGCAAAATAAAACCTACACAGATGTGGAGGAGGAAAAGAGCAAATGTGACTCATGCCATTACACAAAATGTCATTCTCATTGTTCAAGGTGACTGCAGAGAAGAGCAAGAAATAATATAAAGTAATTGATGGAGCGTCAGGTCTCCAGGCTACATATCTCCTCAAATGAAAATATTCTAAAAATTCAGAAATGTCTCCCACGAGAACTGGGGGAAATCCATTTATGTCATGCAAAACAGTGAGAGATTCTTACAGGGGATTTCTGAATGGAGCTAGAAAGTCAGATCCAGCCATTCTGATTCTGTCTTTCCGTAGTTCATGGATATGAACTCTCCCTTGTGCGACTTTTCTTTTTAATCCTTCTGTATATTAATGTGTGAGCTACATTGTGCATACTGGATGGACTGTTCTCAGTGTTCTATCAGTCACGAATCATGCTGTGTTCTTTAACTCACTTTCTCCTTTTGTCTTTTGGTAGAATCAGCTTTCCTCCCTCTCCATGCTGGACTTGCTCCACGTGGCTCATGACATTGCTTGTGGGTGTCAGTACCTGGAGGAGAATCACTTCATTCACAGGTAGATGAATGCATCTGTGTCAGCATGGGCATGACTTTCATAGGGGCCAGAATGACTCATAATGCCCTTGTTTGATATGTTTATGTCTTGCTGCACTCTAGTGGCTGGATAGATTTGAACAAGGTAGATAAAACCAGAGTAACATAAGCAATTGACAGAAATGCTGCTGTTGATCAAATTGCAGAGGTCTGTGGCTTTATCAAAGATCCTGAGCTCTTTTTTTCAGTGATTTTGCAGCCTGATCATGTGATAGATGTCTTCAAAGCTCCTCGCCATTGAGAATTGTGCTTAGTGTCTTCCTGCTCACTCTGGAACTCTTTCTCCCTCTCAAAGTAAAGTACAGCTAGAAGCACAGCATGTTGTGACTATTGCTACCTGCTTCTGCAGAACCGGGTTTTTGAGAAGCATCCAAAATTCTGCCTATGGCATTGTGTAGAGCCATGCAAACATGCTGGAGAATGTAGTTGGGGGGGGGGGGGGGCCAGGGCAATGGGAAGGCAGACCATGAAGGGCAGAAGGCAAGATGTGTTACAGCTTCCTTAGCGTTTTCTATTAATTTTTTTACAACCTTAACTTTAGAACATTTTAAATGAATGCCATAGCATTTAACATGGCCTGGAGTGACCACGTTTGCATTCCTTCCAACTCTTAACAACAGCAAGTAACAAGGGAAGCAGAGATGTCAACAGTTGTTCTTTGGCTCCCACTAATCCTGCACTGCTGTTGTTCATAATGAATGTGCATGGCCACTCTACCTACAACAGAAGAGCCCAGTGCTAGCATGTGGCTTTGCGAGGAGCTGTGTGAAGCTGTTGTAGCCAGATTGCAATTCACTTTTCTGAGTTACAAGGGGTGCAACTGGTCTCGGGTTTATTCTGGTCTCGGGTTTATTTCAGTTGAGCAGAGATGGAGCTTTACCTGCATCCACAGATTCAGGCTCTTTTGCATGTTGTTGTTCTTCCTGTCTCTGACAGTTCAATACCTGTTGGACAACATTTGAACAAACATGCTAGGAACAGATCAATGAGTCATTCCCCAGACAGCTTGATGCCAGCACTGATACATTGCTGAAATCAGCCTCATTGCTTGCAACTCCCTAGAAAAATTAATAGCTCCTGGGTGACAAGAGGCTTGCTGGAGGCCATCCTGTCGAAGAGATGTTAAATGAAGCTTTAGGAGGAAATTTTTTAAGAGAAGAACTTTTCCTGCTATTGGAATAGATTGAAATCACTAGTTACCTGTGAACACTGACTTTCTGGGTGGTGGGAGTTCTTTCCACTTCAGGAAAATAAGGACTATTCTTTGTTTTCTTTTTGCTTTGCAAAACCATGGAATGATTGATTCTTTTCTCTCTCTTGCTTTTTTTGCCTTTCTTTGTAGGGATATTGCTGCTAGGAACTGCCTCCTTACCTGTCGAGGGCCTGGAAGAGTGGCTAAAATTGGAGACTTTGGCATGGCCCGGGATATATACAGGTAGCAGATCTAAAGCCAGGTTATCCACAAGCAGAAGCTCACAAAAATGAGAAAGAAGTGTCTCTAAAGGACAGCAAGCTCATGTGCTGCTCTGTGTAACTCTAGCAAAGCGAAAGTGGAGACATTCAACCCCAATGAATCCCAGCTAATGTTTTTGTTGGTTTTTGCCTTCCACTATGCTTTAGGAGTGCTTTGGAGACTTTTACCACTCCCTGAGAGTCTATTTCTTGGTAATGAAGTCTGATGGCCATGGAAGGCATTTTTCCTCCCTCTTGTACTCTATCCACAATTTCTTGCCTTGCTGCTGTCTGCACTGAATGGCACCAATGTGCCCTTCTGCTGTGTGGTCCCCAACGTTTCTGCATTTAATCTTCCTGCTTGATACTACCCCTGCCCCTTTGGCTTGGTGTCATCAGTACATCTCCTCAATTTACTACAAATAAAGGAGGGGTGCAGAGGAAAGTTAGGAAAATGCAATCACCAAAACTGGAAGTGAGGACACAGAGTTAACTACTCTGTTCTTGTAAGAAAGAATCAGGAAGCCTTTAATGACCACAAGCAGTCAGGGCAGCAGTTTCAGATCTCATCTTCTAAACAGCAACCCCAGAAGCACAGCACCATGTCCTGCTGTGCTGAGGAATTGATTTGCTTCTGACTCAAAGGAAGGAAAGCCTTGTAGTCAGTCATTCGCACTCTTTATTCCAGAGCCTCAGCTTCTTTTTTTCCTGGTTGGGGATTCTTCTGTGCAATTACTAAGCCAGGCCTGGCTCTGCTTAACTTGAGGTCTGCCAGTATCACAGCCTGAGGTGATGCAAACAGAGTGTTACTTTCAAAAAAAAACAAGCATATCAGAACTGCTTTTTTTTTTTTCCTCCCCCATCTCCGTTTTAACAAAGAGCCTCTGCTCTGCCCACTGTCAAATGGGACTCTGCTAGGACAAAGTAACATCTGTCACACTCACACATCAGTTGAACCGACTGCCAAGATGAATGCTTTGGTGCCAAGTTTTCAGAGATGTCTCTGAAGTTTGCACATGTTTCAGTGTCTCATAGTATGCTTTGTGTGCTCAGGCTGTTTAGTTATGAACATAAATATTGGCTTGCATGAGAAACATGCTGTAGCTGCCAGCACAGGATTTGGGGATTCTAGGCTTTATTTTAAACAAAAACAACATAAAGACTGTTATACTTCCTGTCTCTGGAGCATAGGAGGTAACTTTTCTATCTGCTAGCTGACCATCCTCCTTGCTGCTCTTAGGTCCTACTAAGGGTTTTGGATCCCTCTTGCAGTGCTTAAACTGGGTACGTTTGGGAAAGGCTTTGTTTATGGTAGCTGGGGATGCTTGAGACCACCACCTGTGAGATGATGTGGAAGTCTTGCTGGGGCTGAAAAGCACAGCAGGAAGGATAGTCAAGTCACTCAAGTATGCACACAGATAAGAATAACTCAGTTTCATTGGATCAGGCCTAAGGTGAGGGAGATTGCAGAGCAGACCTTACATGGGCCATTGCCATCATTTTTGTGAGAAGAAACGGGTCTCTCCAGCATTTTCTCTAGTGCGCTCTTTTTCCCTAAATTAATCCCTCCTTCAGATGATAATTTTAATATTCCTCATTATAAAAATTCTGAGTTCAGGACATTTTTTTGAATTCCTGGCTGACTGTTTTGCTTGTTCTCTGCAGAGCCAGCTACTATCGGAAGGGAGGGTGTGCAATGCTGCCTGTCAAATGGATGCCTCCCGAGGCTTTCATGGAAGGGATATTTACATCAAAAACAGACACATGGTGAGCTTCCCTTACTGCTCCATCTGTGTTTATGTGCGTGTGTCTGTCTGTTGTAATTCACTGGGTAAAGTGTGAATGTTTTGTTTCTTGTTCATTTCCCCCTTAGACAAGCAAGGTCCTTCAGGGGCAGAAATCCTGTAGGACATGAGGGAACAGGCAGTCAGCAAAGGCAGGTGCTGCTGGGGCAGCAAGCAGGCGGGGAAGGAAGATTGAGGCAGTTGGATGTGCTGTGTTTTTGCTACAGGGAGGAATGCATTAGCTCCAAATGAAAGCAGTACACATGTAATAAGAGACTGCAAACAGGATCTATCCTGCCAGTTAAGGAGAAGGGTGTAACATTCAGCAGCTTTCACATTCCTCCTATCCCAGAGTAGCACCATGAGCTCTTGAATTTCCAGCAGCAAGATGAGGAGAGAAATTTAGTGAACTTGTGAACTGAAAGCAGAGGGCTTGTTCAGAAGAATCAAGTCCCTGGTGCAGTTACTTCTGCTTATAATGCATCTTGGCCTCACCTCACCTGCTGTAGTGCTGAGATAAAGCCAGGGGTGAAGGAGGAAGGTCGCTGGGGCTGTGGGGAGGTGGGAGCCCAGGCTGTGTCTGGAGGGGAAGGGGCTGCTGGTCTGGGCACAGCTCCTCAGCAAGCCCATGCAGAGGAGAGGATGGAGACTCCCTCTCTGACAGAGCTGAGCTGCTGCCTGAGTTTCCATTGCTGCTTATAGCTCTTCTGCAATTTCACTCAAGATGGTGATTCTCAAGCAGCCAGACAGATGAATGCTCTGGAGGGGGTTCCTGTCGCAGATGTTTCCCCTCAGTGATGATGGTGGTCATTCCTGTATCCTTCACTTTGATCTCTTCTCTATTCAGGTCCTTTGGCGTATTGCTGTGGGAGATATTCTCATTGGGATACATGCCTTACCCTAGCAAAAGTAACCAGGAGGTTCTGGAATTTGTAACCAACGGAGGAAGGATGGATCCACCTAAAAACTGCCCTGGCCCTGTGTATGAGATTCTAACTTTGATGTATTCATGCAAACAGGTTTCTGTTTTGAATGCTGTTCTCTTCTTAAAAGCTAATGACTTTTTAGATTGATTGTGGTTGATCTGCCTCACTGAGCTTGAGTGCCAGTGACTTCTCTAGCAATTAATTTTTCTGTCTTCTTCATGGAAGAATTAAGGCATCTGAAAAAGTAGAGGCCACTGCTTGTTTGCTCAAAGCTGGTGCACTAATTCTGTCTTAGAATAGTTATGAAACTGCAAGTGTGTAAGCTTGGTCACAGGTAGGAAAAAATGGGTTCTATTATCTGTTCTGCTACCCTGCCTTTAATGAATTCCCCAAGGGATTTCAGGTGGGTGAGTTATTTTTCTAACGGGTGCAGATTTCACTCTGGCAGCCACATTTCTGTAGTTACCAGTATTATCAGTTGTCTCACCCTGATGTCAGACCCCCTCTATTTCTTAGAAGAGTGGCAATGTGTGCTTATGGTGTCTAGGCTGCAGTGGCTTGCTGTTACATACTAACACAATCTACAATTTATGAGATTTCTTGTTCTGCTCTTTCAGATACCGCATTATGACCCAGTGCTGGCAGCACCAGCCAGAAGACAGGCCAAACTTTGCCATAATCTTGGAGAGGATCGAGTACTGCACTCAGGTATCTCTGTTCATTCATCTCCCATAAGGTGGGTGAGGATGTTTCTAGTTGACGAGCAGTTTGGCAAGCCAGAGTGTGAGACGAGGAGGTGGCACTGCATTTCTGCAGTCAGCAGTCCAGAGGGACTGATGCCAGAGGCTTGCATAGCTCTAGAAATAGCAGACCAAATAGCTCTGCTTATGCTTATGAAGGCACAGATGACTAATAAGTGAAAGACAGGCCAGCACCTGCATGTACTTCACGTGCTTTGTGTCAGCTGCTTCGTCCCAGTGTTTACTCTCAAGACATGGTCAACACTGAGCAGAAATGGTCCTGGCTTGGAGTACCTTTTCCAAGTGGGCAGCTGTAGGCAATTTTTTGGCTCTTACTGCATTGGAGAAGGTAGATAGGGGTAGCATTATGAGTGGGATTGCATGGCTAGGCGGCAGAGAAAAGGGTATGTCTGGTTTTCCATCTTGAAATCTGAGCTTTCCCAATTTTTGTTTTAACCACTGTTTGTAGTTCATAAGGAGCGGAGTAGTTTGGAAAACGTTTTGCTGCCTGCCTCAGAGTATGCAATTATTTGCCTCAGACAGCTTTCTTTCCCTCAATATCTGGGAGCCTTGATCAGTTTTTCACGAGAGTTTGGATCCTGGGATTGGAAGATATTTTTCTCTGTTACCCACAGATCGCTTTGGTGTCTGGTAGTAGTTATGAGTTGCCTAGACCACCATGTTTCCTTCCTTTTAATTTTCAAAATTGCTTAATAGTTCAAAACTTCTCTCTCTGTGGATTTCCAGTATTGCCTTCCCACTCTTCCCCTGTTAAATGGAGGCAATGCTTTCATGACTGAAACTTTCTCAATATTATCTGAGAACGTTATGAACTTTGAGATGATACAGCTTGCAAAACAACATTCCCACAGGAAATTTGGCTGGACAAAAAAAAAAAAATTATTGTTTTTGTGCTCTCTCCTCTTCTGTGTGAAGTTTTAGGGTTGCTTTTTTTTTTTTTTTTTTTTTTTTTTTTTTAGAGAGAGAGTTCAGTTTTATGGATATCTCATTGCCTCTCATGGCTAACTGTTATTTTGTCAGCGTCCTTTACATGGAGGATGTGGTCTTTAGCTGATGGGAAAGATGCTTTCTGATCACAGCATGAACGTGGTCAGATATCTCAGTTTTTCAGTTGAGTACAAGCGTGCATTATGGCAGCAGACTTGGAGAAATTCTCATTCTTCTCTCCTCCAGGACCCAGATGTCATCAACACTGCTTTGCCAGTAGAATATGGCCCGTCGGTTGAAGAGGAAGAGAAGGTAGCGATACGCCCAGAAGATCCAGAAGCAATTCCTCCTCTGTTGGTTTCCTCGCACCAAGACAGAAAGGATGAGAAGCAAACCTTGCCATCTCCACCACCCCTGCCATCAGCCATCACTGCAGGAAAAGCTCTAGGGAAAGCAGGATCCTTGGAGTCATCAGTCCCTGGGAAGGTGCAGGCAGCCTTGGGTGGGGGACATATCAACATGGCCTATGCCCAGTCCAACCCCCCTTCTGAGCTGCACAAAGGCCGAGGCTCCAGAAACAAGCCTACCAACCTCTGGAATCCAACCTATGGTTCCTGGTTTGCAGAGAAGCAGGCCAGCAAAAACAAACCTCTGCTGGAGAAAGAGATGCCTGAGAGGGAGAACTTAGGACACGAAGGAAACTGTACTGTGGGGCCCAACATAGTGACTGGCAGGCTACCAGGCTCCTCCCTGCTATTAGAGCCATCCTCCCTAACAGCAAGCGTTAAAGAAGTGCCTCTCTTTAGGCTCCGTCACTTCCCCTGTGGGAATGTCAACTATGGATACCAACAGCAGGGCTTGCCTTTGGAAGCCTCCACTCCATCTTGTGCTAGTGGTTATGAGGACCCCACCCTTAGAAACAAGAGCCACATATCCCAGCAGGGGCCCTGAGAGCCCTCTACCCTCTTGACTTTCCCCCCTGTAGTCCCAAGCCTTGAAGAAATATCCTGTTACCCACTACACCACGAGCAAGTGATGTGAGGCATTACCTTCTATTTGTGCCAGCTTGCTCTAGAAGTGCCACCTTCGAACCTGTAATTTCAAATAATCCAAGAGGCTTCAAATCACCAGAGCCCCAGTACGGTAAAATAAGCAAGGAGTAGGGAGGGAGGGTACAGGAAACAAATGTTAACTGCAAGGCCCAGCTTCCTGTTGCATTAACTCATCTGCATGGTTGTTGTCATGCCCTTCCTGTGAGCTTCTCTCAGTTCTGCGTTCTCTGCTTAAGCGTAAAGCCACGGCTCGCTGCCTTGGATGTTTCATGTCTGGGATTTTCCATGCCAAACTTATGGTTGCTGAGGAACACTTGGAGAGCACCTGTAACTGGCAGAGGTCAGAACAGGTTTGAGGAAAGCGTCCTTTGTCCAAACTGAAAAAGGAGATGACAACTTTGGATGGTGATGCAATGGTACGTTCCCAAGTTCCAGCTACAGTCTTGTCTTTGAAAGTCCTTGAATGCACAGCGGTTATGGTGTCACTGGCAGGGCAATAGGAAGACTGGTCACATTACATCACTTGCAAGAGACAGCAGGAAGCACAGAGGATGGGTTCTGGCTTGGAGCAGGGGTGGTGTTTTTCTGTGTTTTTTTGTTGTTTGTTTTTTTTCTCCTGTACTTAAATACTGAAACGGAGTAAAACCCATAAAATTCCTTCTGTTCTACAAATGAATGTCCTTCATCACAAACTTGTGCGTGTCAAGTGCAACCAAAGTGAAGCTTTAAAGGACCGTGGTTATGAGAGAAACTTTAACTGTGCCCTGAAGATGGACTGCCACCTGCGTAGCTCAGACATTTAAAGTAACCTTCAACGTACCCTGTACAAGCAAGAACAAGATAAAGGCAGAAGATGACATCGTGCCACAATCTAGATACCAGATACTGTCTGTAATTGAAGGGCCGAGAGCCCTTGTTTCTTTAACAAAATGTGTGTATGATAGTGGTTTAAAAACGAGCACTGCATTGACTCATTTTGTACACCTTGTGCATGACAAATATTCCAGTAAGTGTACTGTCAAACCATAGACGTAGGCAATTATTCATGTGTAAAGCTATGCGTTAGTAACTTCAACTTACGGTTGTAAGGAGCTGTTTTAGCATCAGTGCAGTCTGAAAAGGGCGTGCCTATCTCCATAGAAAGGAGCCTCCTGAAGCATCAGCAAAGGACTATGGAGGTGTTCTTCAGTCCAAGAGATTTCAGTGAAGTGATTCTGAATCTGGCCCTGGCTCCAAAAACCGAGGTAAGTCAGCTTCCTGTCTGCTTAAGGAAATACTGTTATTCACATATAAGAGCAATCTTCATTTAAATGTTCTTGCTTTCTCATTTTGAAAGAGTTGAAGCTCCTCATTGTTTTCTTTAGCTCTTCTTTGCATAGGAGCACACAGATTGTTTTGCTCTCTTATATGTCAACAAGGAGCAAGCCTGCCCTGTGTGCTGATGGGCATTATAAAAGAATACACAAGACAAGGGAAGTTGCGAAGTAGGCAGTAGTTGCACTGGTTTGGGCTTATTTTAATGTAAAAAGCATTAATAATGCCCGATTTCCTCTGTCAAGAAAGTAATGATTTCCACCTGAGCCATACTCGTTACTTTCCCACCTCCAATTAGCTGGGGCTGTGGCAGGAGCCACCCAACAGTTCTGCCTCACCTGCCTCTGAGCTGCACTTCTCTTGCAGTTGTGCACTGGGTAAAGAATTACTTGCAGGAGTTTATGCGGAGCTGGGGAAAGGAATTAAGAGGCTTTTTCTATGGGCAGTCCAGGACAACTCCAGAAAGTTGGCTGAGTGCTTTAAGGTAAAATTTGTAGATGATATTTTAGAGGTGTGATTAGTATAGAGACTGTGTGTGTGTGTGTGTCTAAAGAGCTAATTATTTGTCATAGTTGTTAGTGATGAGTTGATGTCTTATCTTCTGTACCAGGAGGTCTTTAATAGCATTTATTTAAGCATTTCTGACACAAGAAGTAGCAGTTAGTGTTGGTGTCTGTGTTCCAGTTTCTACCACTTTCATTCCAGCAAATTTATTTTATGTGTACACCATTAGCAGAAAATTTTTGTCCAGTTATTGTCCAGTTAGGAACTGTGAATTTTTAATCTGTCAGGAGAGATGCACCTGCCCAGATCTGAAGCCCCCGAAGGGGCTTAGGCCACTCTGAACTTACCTGACCAAAGAGCATGTAAATCCCAAATCCTTTCAGGCCTCTCCACACAAAGCTTAGTGTCAGAGAAGAAAAAGCTGAAGTGATTCTAAATCTCTTGCAGGTTTTTGTCTATCACTTTTTCCTTTTATTTTCTTTAAGCATTGATATAATTTTTTTGAGCTAGATAATGCAAATTTAAGTGTGGAACAACTTGCTTTCAGACTGTTTCTCTTCTTTCATTAGCATTCCTGTCTTGTGTTTTTCCTGCTCTGCAGTGGAAAAGCAGGAAGCAGTATGATCTCCAGGATGTACAGCATGAATGGGAAAACCCTGCATCACCACTCTCATGCTCTGCAAAGCACTCATTTCCCTGTGGATGTTATCAGTGTCCTATAGACATTAGGTAGGTTTTCTGATCCAGTGCTAATTTGTTAACTGCTGAAGGTCAAGTAGATTGGGCTGTTTATCTGCCTTTCTTGTTGTATTTCCATCTTTGGTTTTGCTACTGACCCTTGTTTCTCCATCGTGCCTGGAAACGAAGCAAGGCATGGAGGTGGTTCTGCTTCCAGAGGGGTGGAGGATGGACTGGTGGTGGGAGAGGGTATGCAGAGGTATCTTAGGCTCCCCTCCAGGCATGCTCACACCAGGTGAGAGGTCTGTGCTAGGCCATGAAGGATTGAACTGTGCATGTTTGCTCCTCTTACTGAGCCTGTCTGCTTGGTGACAAGAACCTTGATATAGGTATAGCATAGAACTGTCTCTCACAGCTGCAAAGACATCACAAAGTGTCTATCCCAAAGTTAAACCTGTCATGAGAACTGTCTGAACTGTCTGCATCTGGCTTCTTTTAGTAACAGAGCTTCATTAGAGGAATGTCTGTCTCACCTACAGCAGTTTATGCAACATTGTTTATAAAGGAAGGGCCTGTGCACTTCAGGGATACTATGAAGAAGAATGCTAATATATGGTCATTGAGTATTTTGTATTGAATAGTGTCTTTGTATTGTAAACAAGTGTAGTGAACCAAAAGGCATGAAGACCAATAAAATGGCTGTAACTGGCTTCCTGTGTGCTGGGTTCTGTAGCGACTGCACAACCCCCAGAGCACTGCTGCTGGCAATCCTCTATGACAGAGCTAGGAGACATTAGAACTTCCATGTGGTATTCCATAGCTGCTGTTTCACACTGTGCATGCCTGTGTAATCTGTACGTAGGAATAAAAGTAAGGGGATGTACGTGCTGTATAGATTTCAGGAAGCTTCTCTGTGCAGTACTATTCACCAGGCTTTCATTTTACTAATACACCAAGAAACAGATATTGGACCAAGTCATGTTCAGTATGTCACTCAGTTTGGTACATCTTCAAATATAAAGCACTGATTATTTATTTTATTTTTTTTTACATTCAAAATTTACAACTTTTATATTCAATTAAAAACGCCCCATAAGCTAGAGTACAATATGCAGTATTTTAAATACAGCCAAGGAAAAATAGCTACTGTAGTATTTAAAATAACATAATAGCAGCAGAATTCTGTCTAAAAATAGGATACTAACTTCATTTAAAGTGTCTCTTCTTTCAAGTAGGTAAAAGCAAGCAGATCATTTAAGTATAAGATGATCATCTGGAACACAGAACGACCCTGATAATAGTGAGATAACGGTGAGCAATTAAAACACATTACATGTTTAAAACATGGACAAGTGCAAGCTGTTTTTAAAAAAGGCTGATATGCAAGTGATGTCACACCAACTTATGTTACAGTGCGGTATGTAAAATTATCTTTAATTTATCCTAAGCCTCTTACAAGGAATTTACACTGGAAACTGTACCAAAGAAAACCAAAAGAAACAGAAATAATTGAAGTGTTACTAGCTTGCTTGAAAACCCAGCCCATAACACATACTGCTGGCAGGGATGGCCATGCTGTATTTGTACAGACTACTGGACAGTTATGTTGCGTAGCTTCTCTCAGGGTTTCTGTGCATTTAAAAACTATGATACCTATTCCCTGCAGCACACCAAACCTTTATAAATGAGAGTGCAAAGTGCATATTTTAAGGAGTGCTTTGTATATATACAACAAATTTACTGCCTGACATGCACTACATTTGTGCTTTTTAAAGGCTTTTTACTTATTTGCTGTTTGCTAGGATCACTGCAAATACCTGCATTTATTTATCAGCCCTTTTGGATTTGGAGGAGACAATGGCAGGGGAAAAAGAAGAGGAGGGATCTGATAATAGAAATATCTCATAACTGCTTGAAAAAAAAAGAGGTTTTTTTTATTGCTAGCAGCTGGTATTGAAATTGACATAGTGCCTGGTGAACAGACTAATGTCACTCATTAACCACCCCCTCTGTTCAAAAGCAGGCAATGCACAAAGCATTATCAATTCATTACTACACCGAGGAAAATCGTTTAAATACTGCATGAATCATAAAGCAACTCTAGAGAACTTTAGCTGTACTCATGTTCTCCAGCTGGAGCATGATTCAAATAACACAGCATCTGAAAGCCAATATGCTTTTGGAATTACCTTCCCAGGTAAGAGCTGTTTCATTAAGAGAAACAGAGCAGTGGTTTGACTTCTTAATGACACCAAACTTTTGTTTGTTTATATCTCTGTATACTTAGTGTGTGTGTGTGATGTGATATATATGTATATATATATATAAATACAAATATATATTATAGATATCTATCTATACATAAAATATAAATGCAGGTTTGATAATTTAAAAATAAGTTGGCATTCTGTATGGGGATCCTGTGTGCTTTAAATGTTTCCTATCATCTGAGCATCTTTTGGCTCAGCAGATATCATCCACGAGTTTAGCCCCATTGATCCCCCTGTAGGTTACCCTGCTCGGTCGAACCAAGACGCCGTGGTTCTGCTTGCAGGTGAAGTAACGCTTGTCCCCCACAGAGCCATCATTCTTGCCCTTGGCACTTCGCAGCTCAAGGCCAAGCCATATCCCTGGTGCAAAGTCTGTCGGACCAATGTACCTGATGGTGCCCATTTCATTGGAGCTGGTCAGAAGAATCTGCGAGCCTTCGTGCAGCTTCACCAGTCCCTCTGTGGTAGCTGTGCTGGGGTGGCTCCAGCTGTGCCGTGACACAGAGCTCTTGGATCTAGTTTAAAAAATAGGGGAGAAAAAGAGTCAGCATCTTTCTTTAAAACATCCAAGGCGCATTTCTAACTTAGTGCAGTGCATAAGATAAGTTGGGTTTAATCTCAAACTACTAGCAAAACATATAACAACTCTGGTGTCCTACAACAGAGGGCAGTCTGAAATACTTAAAGAATCCATGCCAGAGTTGCAGTGTTCATGATAGGTGGTACAGCAGGCAGGACAAAGTGCAGTCCTTTACCGAGGCCTGCTGAACTCAAACAGCTGAATGGAAATACAAGAATACACAGTAATGAGCAATTGGAAAATCATTTTGCTGCCACCTTGAATCCAAGGACTGTATCTTAGCATGCCCACAGAAAAAACAGTAGGCAACGGCTTAATTTTGGAGGAAAAAGAGTGGGTGTATACAATAACATCTAGCACCTCATGAGCACGCAGATTTTCTTTGCAGCAAGAAGCAGTAAAGCTATCAGCCGGCTCACCCAAACATCTTAAAACCCAAATACTCACCTAGCGAAGGAATTTCTTCTGCTTATCTCTTTTTGTGAAGATGCAGAAGTGGTGCTTAAACTGCGTCTAAAACCTAAATGAGAAAGTTAATGAGCTATGTGGGATTTACAAAGATTTTTGTTTATGAGTCCCTTATCTCTGTTTTCCTTTATACTGCTCCCACTAGCTTTGCTACACATTCTCCCTTCCAGTTTGGTAACTGATGAAACTTTTCATGAGTGTAAGTGTCCATAACATGCTTCATATGTTCTGAGACAAAAGAAATTAAATAAACTGACAAGGGGTAACTGGAAGCAGGCTTTTCACAAAATAACCTTGGGTTCCTTGAAAATCTCATGCTTTCAGAGCTGTGACCTTAGCAAGCTCTAATTAAGGAATGGTAGCCTACAGCAGGCTACATAAGCTACATGGTAAATTACAGCATCTTAACCACCTACCTGGAAAAGAGTGATTTATCTTACTCGAAGTCTCTGCAAGAGAATCCATCGAACTTGTTAATCTGAAAAGCAATAACACAAAGACACCATTTCAACACAATTTTTAGTAAAAACTACTGCTGAGTACTTCTTGTCAGACACTGGTTAAGTTCTAATTGTTTTCCTTCCCCAACCCCACTCAAAAGACACTAACTCCTTGGTGTAAGAAGGCTGGTATTTAAGAGATGCGTGTGGTTAACGACTATACTCAAGTTATTTTATTCAAAGCATTTATCATTTAGAGGTGATGTTATCCCAAATTCTTGGGGCTTCCATACAGTTAGCTGGAATGAAAATAGAATTTCCAGTCACATCCAAAAACAACTTCCTTTTAGAATTGAACTTTGCTCAGAGCATCAGGACAAGGTCAGAAAGGTAAGGCTGAATGAACACTGGCTGTCCTGGAGGTGAAGGCCATGAAATGAAAATACTTGAAGTAAATGGCAGCGAGAGAAATGGGGGAGCATCATTTCCAATTTATATTCTGCTTTCAGGAAGCCGATCTAAAAACCAGGAGATTTTTTTAATAGAGGTTACAGGCTTCCACTAGCAGAAGAAAACAGATTATTTCTTCCATATGTGCTCTTCTCTACTTCAAAACTGTTTTTCATGGGAAACATACTAAGAAAGCACCTGACAACAAAACACTACACCTGCTTCAGTGCTTACCTCTGAACACGAGAAGGAGGTGCAAATATTCCATAGCGAGGAAGGCAGCTGAAGTACTGGACACCACCCACGGAGCCATCATTCTTACCATGAGGCTTGTCCAGTTCGATTCCACACCAGAATCCTACCAGGTTTTAAAACAACCCAAAGATACCTCTTACCAAAACACTACAGGCTTTCCTTTGTCTAGACACTTGGTATTCATTTGCATTAAGGAAACAGAAACTGTCTAGCTAGGTAATAACAATAAACAGGTATAGATCTAAAAATACATAACACAAAATAACTAGGCAAAGAGCTGTATCAGAATAAGTCTCTCAGCATTTTCATATGCATTCAGAAAAAAAATGTTATTTTACTTAATATAGAGAGAGTAAAACATTTTGTGTGTACACTGAAATTGAATGGAATGGTATTGAATGTAACAGTGGCTAGTTGGACAACAGAAACATAAAAGAACAGCAGTAGATGTTCAAGTTTCCCTCCTCAGCCCTCTGATCCCATGCTTTCACCTGAGACCATCAGCACTAAAATTTCAGTTCTGATAATAATTTCTTCCTTCATCTATCAAGTTCTAATTAATACAAATTGCAAGGCCGACAGTATGACATGGAGAGAAGGGCGTGATTCAGAACTGGCCAGCAGAACACTGAGCAGGCATCAGCACATTAATGAGCCTGATCATTTGTAACAAGTGATAAATGTGAGCTAATTATGTAAATGCACTAAATTTCATACTCCATTAGCAGGCCTTATGCTATCCATCCCCAAAAGACTCCAAAATTTAATTCAAGTCACTTGGTACTAAGGCTTTGGATAAAATGCTAATTCTAATTATCAGCTCATGGAGCACAGGAATGACAACTCATGAATTAGAAGGTCTCAATTTGTCAGATATTCTCCCATTCCTGTTTCCAGACATAAAGATCTGCATTGCAGCAAAAATAATAGGAAATGGAGAGTATTGATGCCACCAAATACCAAAACAAATATTGCTGATTATGTATCAATCCAACAGACTTTGGTCTTACATCAATATGTACTGCTTTTGCATTAATGCTACAATAGATTACAAGGATTCCTTTATATATACACATTACTATATTATTATATATAATTATTATCTTATTTATGTTCAGTGAAACATAATTCAGACAGAACTTGACATTTAAAGTACTTTGGAGGGAGTGAAGATAAAGTTCTTAATGTCCCTGTTCTCACGTGCAACCTATTCCAAACAATTCTACAACATACACAAAGAGTGCTGTAATTACCTGGTGCAAATTTTGTCGTCCCACAAAACCTAACAGTGCCTGTCCTCTGTCCTACTACCAGTACTCTGTCTCCAACCTGAATTCCTCTCTCATCATAAAGGGTTTTCCTTGGCGCTGGAGAAGAACTGTACAACCCTGTTAACAGAGTAAGATTTGGCACTGTTAGCTTTACATCTTTAAGAAATTCTTCAGAGATAGTGAACCAACTGATTGGTCAAAGGTCTATCTTTACCACAGTGCATTTTAAACACATGGGAAATACATACAGATTTTGCCTACAGAATTGCTTTGCCCCAGCATGAAACTCTTCTCAGCAGCTGCAAGGCACAGTGGCAAACAAGAGTAACATTTTTTCTGCTTGAAGATGTTCCAGAAAACTTTTACCAAATTGCAAAGCTTAAAATGTACAGATGAACTACTTCCTAAGTGCCTCTCCTTAAGCACCTGTTAAGTTTTACATAAGTATTCAATGCAACAGTAACATTCCCTCCCATTTAACACAGAAACATACCCTACCAGCACTAATCCTAGATGAAGCAGCAGACACTCTGGTCAGTGGCTTTTTATTGCTGCCAGTTGAGTTCCGCTTCTTAGCGTAATTCTGCTTGCCTTCTAAGGAGGTAGTAGAAGAGGAAGAGCTGCTGTATTCAGGAAAACCTTGAAGAGACAAATAAATAGAAACAGTCCTTCAGACATGATATTTGGGAAAGAACAGAGTAAGCAGAAGGGAAAGCTTCTGAAAGGAGTTATTTGTTGTCCATCCAGTGGGCACAATACAAAGCAAAGGGTCAAAAATAGAGGGGTGTTTAGTAGTAATTGTTATACAACCACCTGTGAGGAATGACACAGGTATATCTGATCCTCCCTTGGCAGAAAGGTGCTAGTTTAGTGGTGAAAGAAGTCTCCAAAAGGCTCTTCTTTCTTACTCTATGGAAGTTCTTGCAGAAGGCCTCAAGCAGATTTACAGCAGTATGGAAGCATCAATAAGTGATCATATCACGCTTCCTCCAGCATCCAGCCTATTAAAGGCTCGATGAGAAGCATAAGAAAGGTGATACCACATGAATGAATTATTATCTGGATTAAAGCCTACTCTATCCCATTCTGTACTATATTAATATTAAAGTCTGCTCTATAAAATAAGAATGGGACATAAATCACTTTTTATATCCATTTGCAAACCTTAACATCTAGGCTGGCTGGTAACACTTACATTCAGCTTTCAGCCCTCACTTTCAAGACTCTCCTTCTGTACTCTCCTGTCCCTACTACCTTCTGCACAAAGTGAGGCACAGTACAAACAGTCTCATCTGTGCTTCATTTTATCAATGTCATAAATTAAGATAATCCTGCGTATCAAACACTGCAGAAAGTTGAGAGGCCTATGACAATCGTTTTTTGCAACACACCTCAAGATCAACACGGGATTACTGTATTCAGTAAGATTTAATCCTTCTATTTGGCAAAAACATTAAGATATGCAGAAAGACAAACACAGGGGGATAGATCAAAGCAACAGCTTTGGTACCTATGGGCAGAGGACAGAAGTCTGAAGACTCCTGAGGAACAGCCTGCAGCCATGCTACACTGAACAAATGAAAATGCATATTACTAAATGAATGATGACAGAACAGGAAAAATCCAACTCCAAGTCCACAATATAAAAAATGTGCGCATTTGCAATCACATACTACAAGTCTGTAGTTAGAAATCACATTAGATAGAGGTCAAACCACCCAGTTTTTTCACATGAACACAAGAACTGCTGATACAGCAGTACAGAAAACTAAAGCAGTCAATGAGATGCTTCATTTAATGGGAAATTATGGGATGGGAAGAGAAGAAACAGCAAAAAGGACTTCAGCAGCTCAAATAAGCCATTCCTCTTCCATGAGGCAAAACAACTGTTAGCTTTTCCCCAGCAGATGAGAGTTTGATCTGTTCTTAAAAGCCTCCTGTCAGGGAGATCTCACAGCTTCTTCAGCAACTTATTTCACCATATAATTACTACTGCTAGAGGATGTTTTTACCCATTATTTAAAGCCTAAATTACCAGACTTTTAGCTCAAGATTTCTTTTCTTACTCTTTACATATGCAGAAGATGTTATATTGTTCTTTACATTTGGAAGTCTCTTGTTTTATTCCTTCATGCTTTTGTCTTTTTATTCATTCAATCACAAATTACAGTGTTTTCTCCTAAGTCACATTTTATACAGCTCTAGTTATCGTAGTGTCTTCTCTGAATTCTCTCTCATACGGAAAGCTTGTTATTTTGATGAAGATTATCATGGAACATGAGCAGCACAGGGCAAAAGGGCTCCCTCAGGAACACAAGGAGGTACACCTGCAGATACTCTGTAAGATCATTTACTAGGAGACTATTAAAAATAAACAAAAAGTAACATTAATTTAGTTACCTCCTTTTGCAGGTACAGTTTTCCCCCTATTAACAGTCATGAATTTGTTTTCAGAACCACTGGGTTTTCTTGACTTATTTATGCCTGGAATAAATATACACATAAATATACAATTAAATACATGTATGCTAACAACAAAACAGAAGTTTTAAGGGGAGTCAGGTACAAACTCAATCTAAAAGACCTGCACCTTAGCAGATGCACAGATTAAATGGATCAAGCTGTGAAGTTCCTCCGACTCTTGCTAAACAGGTAAAACAAGGCTGCAGAATTGCTCTCACGGATGTCAGACACCTTCACGCATTTTAAAACAGTCCAAACTATTTTGTCACACATCAGAATTGCCTGTGAGATATTTATGTTTACACTGAAGGAGTTTCATTTAAATCTTGCAAACATTTACATCCATAGCATAAACACAATAAAGACTTTATAAGCACTTCATGTATATTATTCTCTGGTATTCATTTCCCAATTTCTACGCTGAAGACTTCATGAAGTTTGAGACCAAGTCCTCAGTCTACAAATAGTGAAGCAAGTATGCCAGTGCCATTTTTATGGCCTAGAAGAGCCTAACTCTTAGAGCAGCAATGGTGTGGTGTGCACGAACAGGTACTGAAACCTGCTACAAACAACGAACAGCTGTTGTGTATTTCTGCCCATTCCCTACCCTACCTCAAGGAGAATAAGCTGATCCTGATGCACCCCCTTCCCTGATACTAAAAAGAATTCCCATCTTTTTTATTTAAATGTATGTCAGCTTAATTCAGCTGCAGGGGCTGAATTCATGTGTAGATACATTTTCAGAAATTTTATATTTTAGCCATCAAAATATCAGATTAAAAAAACTACCATGCTGTGGCTAATAGTGCATTTCTCAACTTGAAGTCAACTTCTTTTCTAAATACTTGGGGAAAAAAAACCTCTATAATCAATCTGATGAATGATTCAAATCCAGCAGAAATAAATCAAACGTGAAACCTCTATACAGTATCATTTTACTTTTCAACTTATAACTGCATCTACAAAAGCATATTAATTTTTTTTTTTTTTAATCTTTACAAACTAGTGATAAGTAGGCATGGAGTTTAAGGGAAAGAAGAAATTTAATCTGGTAATGCACATGAGTACAGCCAAACTAAGCTATGCGTTATGCAGCTTCTTCCTCCCACTGCAGCCAGTGATCAGTCAGGCATGTTCATTCTAGCGGACCTTTCAATACATGCACATCCTAAAAGCGACAGCTTGAAGATTAGTGTTTGTGGATGTAAGCATCGCTGGGCAAATGATGCATAACTCACTTTGATTTTTTACCTAGAGGAACTGTCAAATGTTTTACAAAGACAGCTGTGCACCTTTTGGGACAGAAGTGGCAGCTCATGACTAACCTGACTTGAGCACTGTGTCTGTGACAAAGGCCACACTGCTTTCTCACAGTCTAACAAGTTCTAAACAATTCACAACAAACTGAATCAATCACCAAAGAACACTTGACAAAGTCAACAGAGACGTGCTCCTGAGCAGTACTGCTAACATAATATTCACAGGACTATGTTATCATAGAATCATAGAATGGTTTGAGTTAGAAGAGACCTTTAAAATCATCTAGTTCCAACCCCCTGCTACAGGCAGAGACACCTCCCACTAAACCAGGTTGCTCACAGCCCACTCCAGTTCAGCCTTGAGGGCTCCAGGATGGAAGCAATCTCAACCACTCTGGGCAACCTGTCATGCAGGACATCAGTTTACAAACAGCTTAAATCTTTGCTGATTGTAAATACACATGATTAGGGCTTACTTTCCTCTCATGTTGGGTTACATGAATAATCTACAGTGCTGCTAAAACACCGCTCTCTTACCATCCTGCACACTGTTTTATAGCCTGCATGATGCTGGTAAAGAAGGAAGGCTTTAGGTCACTTAAACATGGCAATGTGAGAGTATTCTTCCATCCCTGAAGCCAAGCTGCCTTAATAAGAATTACCAAAACAGGATTCAAAAGGCAAAAGACATCCTTTGCAATATGTAACATTACATTTATGTAACGTATTTAATACAAGAATATCCATTCTCTTCTCATCTGCCTATGGATTTACTCAGAGAATTTAATTAGCAAATAAAATACAATCAGTTAAATAGCTCCAGGATCATTTTGCCAGAAAATAAATGCACTCCATTTCGACGAAGTTGTATTTACATTTATTTCCAGATTTTCACTGGTTTCAGCAAGGTGTTCCCAGTTACCCAGGAACATCGCAGGAAATGAAATCACACTGTGTTTAGACATGTCACTGACATCACAGCCACGCAGGCAACACTTCAAACACTTGAGAATAAATGTCGTGGTGAGTGCCTACAGAGTTTATTATAAAGACTGCAACTTCTGAGCGCATCAGATCATTGTAATCACTGAACAACTTCAGTGTCCCACCAATACCAGGTCAGTGAACATCAAGTAACAGCAACATGTAGTCCATTATCACCTTTTCTTCCCATGCAATGACTTAATCCCAAACAAGTACATTCATACTAAGATTTACATGATTGGTGCTCGTTCTTGATCCCTCTAACCTGTCTCAACGTAAGAGAAATACTCACCAGAATTCACTTTGGAAGTTATGTGCGTCACATCTATTTTCTTGGGTTTGATCAAAGGTGAAGATCGTGTGGAAGAACTTCGTACAGAGCTTTTCTTGTGATCATAAGCCTTGCTTATTTTAGAGAGAGGTGCAAAGATACCTGGAAAAGAGGGTTGTGTGGGCCAAAAAAAAGCCACGGACAACATTAACATCATTACACTTTTTTGCTTTCTGTTAGAGCTGGTAAGTATTCTTTTAGCCACAACTGTGGCGTGTTCTGCTGTTGAAGCACCTGCAGGGTGCAAGGATTAACTCAAACAGAACAATGAAACCACACCCAGATCTATCTATTCCCCCAAAAGGTTCATTTCTTCCAATACTTTTTTAATTTGTGTTATAAGAGAATTTCAGAAATGAAAATAAAGGTTATACCACGTTTTGGTGCACACTTGAAGTACTGGACTTTTCCAACACTCCCATTGTTCTTTCCCTCTGCTTCATCCAGCTCTATGCCAGCCCACTGCCCACTGGCAAATTCCGTTGTGCCACAAAATCTTAACGTACCAACCTAAAGCATTAAGCAAAACACAGAAAAGATACTGTTAAAAATGCATGGTTCAGAACAATCTACTATAGCTTAGGAAAGACAGAGCTGGTAATTACCAAGCTTTTATTCAGAACAGCTAGAGAAATACAAACACAACGATCTCCCTCGATGACTGACATTCCTATCTTTCAATGCCAGCCACTGCACTTTCCAATACCTATCAGTCATGTGTGTCTGTTGAGCAGAAGCAGCTGTTATTGACAGATCATGTAACAGAAAGGAATTCAACAGTAAGCACTATTGCACAGTACAACTCAAACCCAGCAAGGTAAGTGCCTACCTAGTTCTACTTTCAGTGCTTTCCACAAGAACAGTACTAGAAGCCTGACTGAAAAACTTGCTGAATTGAAGATTACATGGAAATACTAGATTTGAAGTTCCTTAATTTATTTTTTGGAACTTCATATACACACATATACACAAACATAAAATTTTGCTCACAAATACCTTCAGTGTTTACCAAAAATATATTTTAAATCTTTAAAAAAAGAGTACTAATATTCTCCAATCGTTTCAGGGCTGTTGATATCAGAATAAGAAGTATGAACATAAACTACAAAGTTCAATTTTTCAAATCCATTTTTAAATAGTGTCTAACAAGCTTCTTAAAAGCTTGTTCTTCTACTTCCACAGAACACCACACCAATCCCTTTAGCAATGCTCTGCTTCAAAGATTTCAGCTGCATTGCACCAATGAAACTGGGTTATCCTAAGTTCAGCAGAACTGATGGTGGTTTTCTTTACTGCCTTCTGGAAGCTAGTAGGGTTAATTCACAAATGAACGCTAAGCAGTGAATATTACTATCATTCTGATGTAACACCAGAAATGTTAATAAATAATGAACTGTGCTGATGTAATACAAGAGACTCAAAATTTTTCACAGATGCAGACATTTCATGTCAAAACAGCTTTCCAAATACACTCAGGTCATTACTTTCCATAAGCAGATCCTTACTGCCATCCAGAGTTCAGACCTTCCAGAAGGGGTTTCAGACACTCAGATTCGAAATACACCTCCAAAGGAATAAATAAACCACCTGGCTGTAAGTTCTGAGTATAGTACAGAGTCACAGAAAGGCTTAGGTTGCAAGGGATCTTAAGAATTACCTCATTCCAGCCCTCCTGCTATGGGCAGGTTTGTCACCCGTTAGATCAGAGACCAAGACCCATCCGATGCCTGCAGCAACACGGCACCCACTCTCTGTCTGTTCCAGTGACTCATTACCCTCACAATGAAAAATTTCCTCCTAACATCTCATCTAAACCTCCCTTTTTTTCATTTAAAACCATTCCCCTTTGTCCCAGCATTATCAGACCACATAAAAAGTCAGCGTCCCTCCTGTTAAGTACTGGAAGGATGCAATAAGGAGTCTTCTCTTCATGCTAAACAAGACCAACCAAACCAGCCCATAAGCCATTGACAAGCCCTCACCCCTTCTTTGCAGAAGTGTTGCTCCAGCCCTCTAAGCACCCTCATGGCCTCCTCTGAACCCACTCCAACAGCTCCACACCTTTCTTGCCCTGGAGGACCCAGGCCTGGATGCAGTACTCCACATGGGTCCTCATGAAGGCAGAACAGAAGGGGACGATCCCCTTCTTTGCCCTGCTGGTCACACCGATGCTGCCCAGGATACAGCTGGCTTTCTAGGCTGCAAGCACACGTTGCCAGTTCACATTGAGTTTTTCCACCCACTGCTGCTCCAAAAGCCCTTCCCCCACACAGCTGCTCTCAATCCATGCTGACCTAGGTGCAGGACCTTGCACTTGACCTTGTTGAACTTTATGAGGTTTATTTGGGCCAACCCCTCAAGACTTCCCAGTTCCCTAGATGACATCCCTTCCCAGCAGTGCACCCAGCACACACAGCACAGCTCAGTGTCACCTGCACACTTACCAAGTTACTCATCATACCTTCTGTCCCGCAATAACGACACGATCTCCCAGCTTCAGGCCAAGCGATAAAAGCATGGCCTTGCCTGTGATATGATCATAGTTTGCAATCATGGCTTTTGAGATGTCACATGACAGGGGCATCGCATCCAGCAATATCTGCTTGATTTCTTTTGCACTGGCTGCTGCATCTGCCATTTCCAGTGGCATATCTACTGGATCGGGAACCACATCCACTGGGATCTGCCCTTTGTCATTCTATAAAAGCATAATGTAACACAGCATTTAATAGCATAACAAATTCTTAATTTTAAGAGCATTACCAGTACTCTGGGCACGTGGGGAAAGAAAGCACCTGGATATGAAAAAGCATTTTCAAAGATATCTAGACTGCATATCACATAGAACTTGCTGAACAATGCTGCCTCAAAAGATTTCATGCCATCAGATGATATATCATGTAGTGATTTTTGACAGTTACAACATCCCGTAAAAATGAATTTGAAAATGGAGAACTGAGATACCAGCTACACTTTACAATACATACAGGACAGGAGGCCTGCATATAGTAGCATTTTACCTCCATCAGGTCTACTCTATGGTTAGTAAGCAGAGCAGCTGATGTTTCTTTGTTTTCAGTTATTCTGCTGACCAAGTAAACTACTAAGTAATACAGTGAGTTTCCAGAGGCCACATGCTTCACCTCTGTATTTCTGAAAAGATCCACCTCTGCCATCACAACTGATGCAAGACACAAATTCGAGTTAAAGCACCAAAAATGGAAGTCTACTTGAACTACTGAACTACACATGGACATGGAAAAAACAAACTTCAACACACAAATATGACAAAGCATACAAAAATCATCCCCTACAAGTTACAAACAAGGGTGCTCTCTCTTCACATAATAGATATTTAGCTAACCAAACCTGGACAGACTGTTCCATTTTTCCAGCTATATTCCCCCCACATAAACAAATAATTACTGAGTTGCATACAACCTAACACCTTACCCTAAAGGCAGGATTTGCTCCATGTTCCAACAAACATTTGACAGCTCCTGTACATAGATTAAATGCAGCAATATGCAAAGCTGTTCCAAAATCGAAATCACTGCAGGTAGCATCCACATCTGCAATTAAATGTCACATGAGGTATGTGTGTTACTTGTACTTTCCACCCTAAGGATTTCCTGAGAGGGCACAGTTTTATAATTTATATTGACATTTATACAGAAACAAAATGAGCTACGTAGTGAATACATACAAGAAACAATTCTACAGAGTATCAACCTTATCTGCAAATGCTGATTCAGACCATGAGTTATTTTGAAAGATGAGCCTTTACTTTCATTTACTTTATAATTCTGAAGACTTAAGTGCAAAACTGTTGGTATTTGAGATACCCAACCTACAGGGATAAGATTAACAAGTAACATCAGGTTTGCATGTACGTTCATATTTCTCTGATACTTATATTCTACTTGACTTGAAATGTTTAAACAAGATACATCTCCAAACAGGTGCCTTCCTTTGTGAGCAGGTAACAGGGCAATGGAAAACTGCTTCTACCTCTGCTTTACACAAACGGATTTACACTGGCCAAGAATTGTGAGCTAGCAATTTTTTGTCATTCCTGTTTCCAAAGAACTGCACTCAGAAGGGTTTGGCACAGACAGCTCAGAAAACACAGCACTGCATCAGATGAGGTTCGTGATACATACTGGCATTCATTTTTCCCTGTATATCTTTCAACACGCTGTAAGTTAATCTTGGGTACTTCTCCTGAACTATACAAGAGAGATGTCAGCTTCAGTCAGTTACGTATATAACCATTCAAAATGCCAGCTGATTTCATCCACAAACCAAGTGACAAGCATATTTGCAACAGTGAGCCAATCTAAAACACTGATGAGGGACCCAAAACTTTCCTCCTAAGAGCTGTGGGATATTTTTGGTATTCTACAGCTGCAGTCTGTCCCAAAAAACACTAATCCTGTCCACAAACTAACAAACTAAATTCACCCTGATTTTATCAATATCCTAATACATTTATGTCAAATTAATACTTTTAGGGCACATAAGATGTGTAAGGGCACATAAGACGTAAATATTGGCATACTTATCCATATTTAAATGATCTGTATGTGAACTTGATACATCCTAAGAAATATGGACTGACTTTAAAAAGATGAAAGATATTAAAGTTTAACCATTTTTAAAATGCTCCAAACACATTTTTTTAATTTAATTTGCACATGCATGAAAAAAAGACTGTATTCCTTTTTGCAGCCGTAACCACAGATACGTATGTGAAGCTGCCTTTTATCTGTCAAATGTTAAAATACCACAAGTTTAAAGTCTGGTACCAGCTGTGTAGTAGTATTCGAATAATGAAGCTTCCACATTTGGTAAGAACACTGAAGAGGCATTTAATCTTCTCAAAAAGTATGTATTTATTTATGCCAAACACTGAAGTCAAGCTGTTTCTTAGATATAAACTTCTACATAGTGGAAATGTGGGGAAAAACAAGCAAGTCAAAGCTGCTTCGGTCATTAGTTTGTCACAGCTTGTAAGACCTCCACCTCTTCCTTTACCATTCTCCCAGTACTTCAAACACACTTCCCAATGAGTAAGGCATTTTAAAAACCCCAGGGACTTGCCACAACACCCACATCTTTCATTTTGTGTCCATTCTCTTATTTCTCAAACAACTTAGAATCATAAAATGGCTTGGGTTGGAAGGGAACCTCAAGGACCATCAAGCTCCAACCTCCCTACAACAGGCAGGGTGGCCAACGTCCATATCTAAGACTAGACCAGGCTGCCCAGGGCCCCATCCAACCTGGCCTTGAACCTCCAGGGATGGGGCATCCACAGCCTCTCTGGGCAGCCTGTTCCAGTACCCACCACTCTCTTGGTAAAGAAGTTCCCCCTGATATCCAGCCTACATCTTCCCTCCTTCAACTTGAAACCATTTCCCTCTGTCCTGCTATTATCTACCCTTCCAAAGAGTTGATTCCCCTCCTGTTTGTAGGCTCCCTTTAGGTACTGGAAGGCTCCCTCAGCCTGTCTTCGTAGCGCAGGTGCTCCAGCCCTCTAATAGTCTTTGTGGCCCTCCTTTGGACTGTCTCCAACAGCTCCCTGTCTTTCTCTTGTTGGGGGCCCCAGACCTGTATACACTACTCCAGATGGAGCCTCTCCAGGGCAGAGCAGAGGAACAATCACCTCCCTGTCCCTGCTGGCCACCCCTTTTCTGAGGGAGCCCAGGATACCATTTGTTTCCCAAGCTGCAAGAGCACACTGCTGGTTCATACGAACTTTTTAGATTTAACCTATTTGCTTTTATTTCTTAGATACTTCTCTATCACTTCATACAAAGCACAAGTGAACAAAATACAAACAACTACATGAAACAGCAGTAATACCACCTACCTTTTGGCTTTGCATTTTTCAAAATAACACTAATAAGTTCTGGAACATCAAAGTAAGCAGCATAATGCAAGGCATTCATATTTGTCCAACGGCTGCGTAAGCTGCTATCAGCACCCAGATCAATAAGCTGCATTGCAAATTTTACCGCGGTTTCAACATCACCTGCAAGGCAATTGTTTTGAAACATGCATCAGATTTGCTTCCAGGCCCTCAGAAATACGCGCATATTTATGTGTAAAACAAAACATAGCTTAGCTCACAGTTTGTACCTCAGCCTGTAACAAACTTTGCTATATTAAACAGATTCTAAACTAGTATTGCTGTTTGAAATACCTACACCACTGTCACAGCCATAACCACACTGCAGTTCTGTATCTTCCTTTCTGACAGCCCCTGGAGCCAAAACTAAGCACTACAGTTTACTTCAGGAAAACATTCTGTGATATTCAGTGGTAGAAACCTTTCCGAATTAATTAGGCTTGTACAACTATAAGGACATTTCTTGACTCACCAATACCATGAGCCCCTGATTTGCAAGTGTAATGCAGAAGAGTCATATCAGTCAGTCCATCTCTGTCATTCACGTTGCAACCTCTTTTAATGATCTGAGGAACAAGAAGAAAACACGTTAGCTGTGGTACAGCCCTGACGTTAGCCTTAGCTAAGGCAAGTTAATTCAGACATGGGTTCTTTTTGTTTGCTAATAACAAAGAAGCTTCCTAGACAACACTGTAACTGCAGAACTGAGCAACGTGCAGAAATGTAATAGATAGCATTATCTGAACATAGCTAACTTTCATTATTTAACACTTCTAAAACTTTCTTATACTATTACTAATGATATATATGACGTATGCTGAAAAATTAACAATTCTACTGAAGAACAGGAAAGCTGCAGCATTTAGAAGTCTCACCCTCCCATTATTTGGTTTCTCAATACTAATTTCCCCCCTAGAAAACTTGTTATATTATGGTAGGAAGAATTTTACCCATTAAAGTCTGTAATCCAGAAGAAAAATATGAATATAGGATAGAACACAAACAGCAGGTCCTGTGAAAGCAGCCTACTGTAAGTCTCAAAAATATTTTGGATTCTACCTCATTTTGTCCTTGGAAACATCACCCTTAAAGTCAGGCTTCAGTGAAACTTCATGTATCAATTTTATGATTACTCTTAAATAAGAAAATGAAGCACCAAGGTTGAGGGCCTCTGAGAAACAACCATTATGAGAAGAAACATTCATTTTCTACCATCTACCAAAACATGCTGAATTATCAACCAATCCTTTCCTCCTTTCCAATTAAAAACAGAAAGTATGTGAGATACAAGGCACTAACCAGTAATTGTGAGAAGGCAAAACCTATATGTGCATTCAGGAACGGTCCTACTTTTGAATGAACTGCTTTAAATTGGTGTCAATGAAGCATACATTTAATGCTGTAAGTGTCTGAGGACCTTCATTTATACCTCACCTCGTTTCCAATGATATCAATGTTCTGCTGGACCTGTGGAACCCACTGCCTTAAGATAGCAAACAATTCAGAAACAGACGTTTTGGGGTTGAAAAGTATTTCCTGGCACGCCGCGTCATTGGGGTCGAAGAAGGAAAACTCTGCTTAAAAGAAAAGAAAAAAAGTTTATGTACAATTAGAGGTTCTAACGTTCTCCAAGAATATGTATAGTTTTCAATCTCAGAGGCAAAGAACACAAGAGAGATTACTCCATTAATAACCACTAGAAAATTAGAATGTCTGATTAGCTCAGATAAGGCTCTTTAATGTCTGGTCTATTTATACTAAAGTCTTGCTTATCAGTTAGAAAGTTTTAAATTGGGACCAAATACAGAGGTATTACCAGCAGAGGTAAGGATCAGCAGAGATGAACAATGGTTATGCCAATAATGGCTCAGCCTTGTTTCAAGCTAGGCAATGCTGCTGACATCAAACTGCTCCCAAAGCACAGGCAAGCCTCTTGATATCTCAGTTAAGAGATGAAATATACATGCCATTTTTCCATATGCTGTAAAACCCCTTTTCCTTCTCTTTCCACCACAATGACATAAAACATAGCAAAACATACACATGTACAAATCAGGGAGGTGTTAGTAGCCTCCATTTTTTTCCTGTCATGAATGTATCCATCTCACCCAATAGCAACTGCGGGTAACAAACAAAACAAGCTATCAAATCAAGGTGAGAGAGGAGAAAAAAAAACCAACTACCTTTAAGATTTTAAGCTTCACATTGCTGCAGGCAACCCGAAGTTCAATCACTGGAAACACTTTATTATTCAAGAATGGTATTTCGCATTACTTTCATGCATATAACTGTGCATACACACAAACTGTACTGTTAAACTGAAGGAATTTCTTCCAACTCAGAAAGAATCTGGTTAGCAGTAGCTATTAGGAGGAGGAAGGGAAGCAGAATCTACTGCCATCTTCAAATGATGGAATAATGGAAAATACTCAACTTTCACCCCTGCTGCAGTTGTCATGGAGTTTCCTTCTAAAAAGGTTTCAAGTTAACATACATCAGCTTGCACCAACCACAGATCAAATGCTCTCTGAATGGATAATTAACAGAGGATAATTAACATATATAGCACCAGACACCTGAAACAGGACTGGGTGTACGTGGTGCAAGCTACACTCTGGATGAACCACCCTAAGCTTTCTTCAGAGAGCACACCACAATTCTAGATGGGATTAACAAACAAGAGCACACGCGCAGCTCACTTCCTGAGCACTCAGTGCTCCTCTAACAGCACTTCCTTGATTCAGCAAGAATGAATAAGAAAGACGCCGTCACTGATGTTTAGCACGACTTTATTTGCATTTCGCCTCCATGAAAAAAATAACACCACTCCTTTCCCCACACTACAGAAGGCATGCTGCTTCTTAACTGACGCCCTATGCATTGACACAGATCTTCTGCTTTCTCGTTTAATATTTAGCCTGTGTAGACCTCTGGTATCTCATGCTGAAAGCTATGAAGGAAGCACGACCAGCCAACAAGATTAATCATCTTACGTGACATGCATGAGTCTTATTCTGCCAAGTTTTCCAGCCATTTTTCCAGCTATTAACATGAACCAAATCATACCAGTAATCAACACTAACAGGCTGCAAGGCTAAAAAAGAGAATATATCAACGGCAACCACTGTAAGTGCTTAACAGCCAATCAGCTGCAGTGCTTGCAAGAGGAAACTGACATCACCATACAGAAAAATCTTTCAAAAGTCCTACAGTAAGATGATAATATCATGTAGATACCTTAAAACTTTAGTTTTTAAGGTATATAGATGCCATTTTGAAGACATTATAATTGTAGCTACCTATGAAGAGGGACATTTGAATCTATCATATTTCCTGTTTTAAATATTACTATAAACACCTAAAGACAATTGGACATTTTTTCCAAAAGCCAGTCACGAGAAGGTGCTATAGCTTCCCATTAACAACTATTCTGACAGCCCTCACCACTACAAACATCCTACCCTTCCAACAGAAACAATTTAAATACTGAAAGCCCACTGAGAAAAAGCTTGATGCACACACAACTAGGGCTGAAATTTCATTAATGCAATTTTGCACCTGTATAATCAAAAAATATTAGGATGTTATAATTATGAAATAAACCAGAGAGTTAGGCAAAGTAGACTGTGATAACAAAAGAGAATCAATAGAAGGCTTACCCCTATCCTGGGCTCACCCACAAAACACCAGCAGAGCAGATCTCCAGCAGAGATCCTTCCCCACTGGCAGCCAGCTCTTAAATGGGTCTAGGAGAGGTGCAGCCAGGCTTCACCCCTTCCAGCAGCACAGCTGAATTGCCTTCACCTGTGCTCCCATGGCTGACTCATGGCTCCCCTCAGGTGATCAATCAGAGGTTCAGGCTGTGATTCAGCAGTTCCCATACAGCACCTTAATATGATATCCAATTCTACATCTAGATCTATAAACACCCAACCACGCACAAAGAAGAAACCGTAAAAGTTAAAAGACATAATTAAAAGTATATGTAATAAGAAAAATGAGAAAAGCATAAGTCTCAATTTTTCATCAGTATTTTTTTTCTGAAAAGAGAGTATAAGGAATCAATAGTTTTTCTCAATATTTATCACTCAAATTTACTCACTGTTCACCACAAACTCTTATTCTGTTAACATACGTACCACAGTCTGAAGGCATCGGTGCTGCAGCAACAGAAAAAGTAACAGATGTTTCAGAGCTTGGAAACAGAAACCGATCTCTTTCAGTGAAAGAATCTCCTTCAAAGGAAGGTTCTGGAATACCCTCTATGGTCATCTTCCAGAAAGCCCCTTTAGGAGGAAGGAAAAAAGAACAGCTTGTTAGAAATCCTTTGAATTTGTTCTGTTACATTAAAATGCAACAGATATACAAATATCATCTTCTAGCAAACTAATAAAATGTATTAATTCTTGGAAGTGAGTGGAGCATGGTGTCAAGGATACCCAGCTTCTAGACTCGCATGTAATTAAAGTAGAGCATGAAATTTCATCACAGCTTCCCACTCAGGCAGTATGAAAATTACATTGTAACTAGGAACTACAAGTGCTAACAAACAAATTTAGATGCTTTACAACTTCAGGAAAAGGTTAAAGCATCAGATACTTCTCACACTTGGCACGTATCTTTCTCTCACACTATCAGCAAGAACACACTCCCAGCTACTGCTTTCTCCTCTTCTAATTCTCATGATTTGAACCGTCTGCAGCTTTATGCGGCAAGATTAATCACTGAGTGATTCACTCCTGGATGCATGATTCTATCACCTCCTTTCCCAGCTTCTCCTCTCTGTGCATTAAAATAGCACGCTTACTGCCGGGTTGGAGCACCCACCCAGCTGTTGTTTCCAGCCAAGTTTTCAAGCCTTACAGCAACCTAGGAGAGAAAAGAAAAACGAAATGGCCACACAAAGCTCTAGCAATGTGTTCCAACTAGGCTATGCTGCATTCTACTTACTGCCTTCCTGCTAAGAGAAGAGCTGGCTACCACTCATAGGACATCTACTTGGGCAAATCCAGCAGTAAACGAAGTTTTATTTCTGAATGAAACAGACTGGATCTCATAGCTGAAAATCTTGAACTTCTGCATATTCAAACTTCATAGCTAAGTAAAGCAAAAGGAGCACACCTACTAAACGAGCCTACATTTTCTTTTTGGAGAACACTATGCCAGTCCTCTAAGGCTTCAGAATTTGTTAAACACTTTTACTGAAAGAAAGGATTAATGGAGATTCAAGGCATGCCTGGTTTTATTACACTTTATCCATGCACAAGTAAACGAGAAGGAAAAAGTGGTGGTTTTTTTGTTATTTTGATTTTAAAGATTTGTTTCATCCCTCTTACACACATGAAGTGAATGCATTTATTCTCACATTTTCCCAAATAAATTTGCAACACCATTTGGGACCTCACATAATCAATACTCTAACATAGAAAACATTTTAGCAATGGTTGCAGCTGCCAATCTTGAAGGAAATAAAATCTCTTTCTCTTCTTCCACATCATGCACAGTTCACCTCCAAGTTTCCTCAGCTTGGAAAAGAGGCCCAGATGACAAATGATCATTTTTCTCCTACTAGCTAACTTCCTCAGTGTACACCTGTACAAATAAATGCATATGCTGGCACAAAAGAAAGATCAAGGGGGAGGTCACTGGGTATGACAGGACTATTTCTTCCAACTACATTATTAAATTGCACTGGCTTCAGCAGTCAATTCAACAGGGCCAAAATTGTCACTAATTATTTCCATTGGCATCTTCATCTAGCAATGTAAAGTTTACATTTTGAATAGCTTTATTATTATCATAAACATTGACAGCAATGACTTTCCTGTACAATGGACTAGGAAGTCTTTTAAAACATAAGATGGTAATTTCATGTTGTTTGCAAGGAACAGTGAAATACACTTGCTACCCTCTGATATTTGTTCAGACTGGTCAAAACAAAGCTGTACGAATCCACTCCATTTTTCCATGGGAAGCACATACAACACTCTCACAGAACATACAAGTAATATGCATGCATGTAGAAAACAACTAAGCCATTAAGCCAGAAAAAAAAAAAAAAAAAGGAATTAAAAGATTTCCACACAGCACTGCCAGTACAACAGTGAAAAAACAAAAGCAATACAATCAAAAGTAGCCACACCTGACTGAGCAGCTCCTAACAGGTGAGATGCATAACGTTTGATTGCAAAATCAGCTGGAACTAGAGATCAGCAGAGATATTTGAAAGGTAGTACAAACAGTGCTGTGTATTGCACACAAACAGACTGAACAGAACAGAATCGGTGCTTTTGCAAGTGGCCAAGTCATCTTTTACATGGAAGGGCCGGAGGGAAGAACACAATCCATCCCACACAAATGAAAGAAACAGCTGAGCAAAGCAGGCCGGGGAACAACCCGGGTTGCTGGGCAGATTACACTAAGACCCAAGCACCACAATGAATGTGCCAACACAACACCACTAACAATGACTTCAAATGCTCACACCAGTGCCAACAGCCCCTGGCCTACATCTTTACACCGTGAGATTTTTATTAGGATCTTGAAGTATATTACCATTTTATGATACAGAACTGAAACATGAAGGGTCGAGGCAACACGTTCTGCACCCGTGACTACCTGCAGAGCCCGCAAGCTCAAGTACATGAGCATCACAACAGTTAGCGTGACACACACGCACCTGGAAAGGCAAAAGGAAAGCAAAAGTTTGACGACAATTTCTAAGAAATGGAAAAAGGGGAAAAACACCATCTTTGTGATGACTTCTGTTCCAAAGAGAAGCACAGCACTGAGATATTAATAACAGCCAAGATACACTGACCCATCTGACTCAGATGGGAAATGGAATGAAATAGCTTCCAGAAATCCAAGTATGGAAGAGTCAGTAAGGGCAGAAGGAAAGGGTTAGAGATACTCAATGGAAAAAAATGCCACTTTTCCTTTTCACTGCATTATTAAATACTGCTAGATGCAGCTTAGCGCAGCAGAGAGCGCCATACTTACTATCTGCCAGCCATACGTTGCTGTGATCCAAATGCAACCTGAAAATGAAAGAGAAACATCACTAGAAAAAAAGAGAATTTGATAGTCATCATCTGCACATACAGAGCTGCTGCCAAGGCTGAGGGCAAGCATAGGCTTTCTAACACCCACATCTTACACAGGACGTCCACGGTTTAAAGAAAACAAAAAAAAAAACAAAAAAAACAGTAAGTTGTGTAACACTGGATCCACTTTTTCGTGTAGATTGCACAATTTCCAACCTTATCGCAAAGCAGCAGCGAACTGCTTCCCTGCAAGTACCGCACAACACCTCCAAGCTCTGAAGGACTCGAAGCAATAGCACAAACCTGTGCCGGGAGCCCAGCAGCAGGCCTGGTGAGCAGGTGGGTGCCATTTTGGACAAGAGCTACGAACAACGACCCGCTGATGTACGTCCGTGCGGGCAAGAAGAAAACCGCAGCCCGGGGCGCCAGGCCTCCGCCGCGCTGCCTGCCCGCGCATGGCGGCGTCCCGCTGCTCCCGCAGAGGGCACGCGGAGCGGCGCGGAGCCGTCGGAAGGAAGCCCCGCACAGCGGGTCACGCCGCCCCGCGGTGCCCACCCCCATGCCGTCACCCCCTCACCCCGTACCTGTAAGCACGGCCAGGCCGACCCGCGTTCCCCGGCCCCGAACCCGTTGCAGCGCTGGGCTCGGCCCGCCCCCGTCCCGTGCGCCTATCGGCTCCAGCGCCGCCCCCTCGGCTCGCCCCAGCGCTCCTCTGCACGGGTTTCGCGTTGCTTAAGCGGCGTAGGTAGTTCTGCACATCCTTGCGTGGCTGTAGAATAAAACGCGCAGCATTAAATACAGGTTTAAAACCGGTTTCACCCGGAAGCAGCTTGCAGCGGAGGTGGGAGCTCTCATCGCTGCTGGGTGCGGGCAGGGCTGGGAAGCAGCATGCTTAATCCTCTGCACCTGCCCTGCTCACCCACCCTGCTCAGAGCAGTCCTGGAAATAAAGTCAGGGAGAATTAAAGGCAGGTGTGCTGCAGCTGGATCCGTGGGCAAGCGGGGACCAGTCCCTGTGCTCCATACTCTAAACCTAATAGTGATGTAGATCCAGAGATCAGTAAACAGAGATCCTGTGATGGAAAATGCAACTCCATACAATTGGAGCCCAGGCTACTGGAGGGGAATAATCATAGATAATAACTTAGACAAATGCTGCTATATTTTACATTCCCATCTGGGTCACCGTGGCATAAATGTACCTGGTGTTTATAACCAGTCCTTTGGTTTTGTTTTTCCAGTGATAATTTTAATTGCGGTGGTGGAGGCAAGATGAATAATGGAAACAACAACTGCAGATTACCTTGAAATGAAGCAGTGTGCAAGGCAAGAACTGGAAACTACTCAGCTCCCAGAGACTTGAAAAGTGCAAGTAGAACAGGGAGAAGTGCGGCTGTGGGAGTAAACGTGATGCCAGAGATCTAGGGAAAAACTTCTTAGCTACGTTTCTTACTTTGGAAGAGGGCAGAGAAAATTGTAACTTGGGTAGATGCACATCTGCTACGCTCACCAGAAGGGTACCTTAAAGAAGGAGTTTGAAGTATAACAAAATACATAGATATAAGTGAGATAAGCTTGATACCAGCTTGCACGTTTTGTGTGGTGCTTGATATTAGAATCATAGAATCCTTAAAGTTGGACTAGATGACTCTAAGGGCCATCTGGGCCAACTACCCTGCAGTAAGCAGGGACACCACAGTTAGATCAAGTCGTCCACGGCCTTATCAAGCTTCACCTTGAAAGTTTCCAGGAACAGGGCATCAACAACATCACTAGACAATTTTAGGGCAGATACTAAATAATGGACAGTAGTTTGATAGGGAAATCATTAGCAATTCTGGAGCAGATTAGAATTCAAAAGATCAACAACATGGGTAAAGTGCAAGCACAGAGGGAAACAGTGCATTGGGCTGGGGGAAATTACCAATGACATCCAGAGGTGTTCTTCTTGGAACTAATTCTTGTTTCATATTTCTCTTCAATGATTCTGGCAGGGGGAAAAAAAAAAAAAAAAAGAAAACAAAACCAACACTAAATTGATGAGACAAAAGAAATGACAAGAATTGCTGTTAAGGAAAGGATGCATTTATGAGATAACTGTTATTATGAGATTATTATTATTATGAGATTATCTCATTATATGAAAGCAACTAAGAGACAGATGTGACTGTAGTCAACAGTTACTCAAGAAACACTGATGCCAATAACAATGGAATCACATAAAAGGTAAATGGCTACCTTAGGACGCATAACTTCCAGTTGTGTTCACGTTAGCAAGTTCTGCTGTCTCCTGGGGGAAATCCTAACCAGTTGTGACTGCCCTTCCCTCAAAGATGGAGCTCATCTCATATGTTCAGAGATGATTTCCTAGCAGAGCCAAGGAAAAGAACAGTCTATTTTAGGGGCTCACAAGAGCATGGCTTATTTAATGCAGCAAAATGAAAAGTGGGAGAGATGATGGTTGGTGTCTGCCATACACTGTGGAGAATGGTGTATGAATTCAAAGTGAACACTGAATATGAGGATAAAACTGGGCATGGATACTTTTCTGTTAGAAAGTGAAAGCAGGCAGCATCTAGCCAAGCATCTCAGGTTCATCAGAACCTTCTGGTTGTAGCAATGAAGGTAAAACCCAAACATTTTAGCCTGGAATAAATCCTTATGTCTTATGTCCTTGTGGCTGCAACCACAAGGGAGATCAGATACCATTGCTTGACAAAATGCCTGCACGTCCTGAGTTCCACTTACCAGCCCTACAATGGAAATTAAAAATAAAGCCCAGTTCTATGCCTCTTTACAAAATCTTTTCACAATATCAGGATGTGAGTCTAAATAAAATTCTGTCCAGCCTATCCTGTCTGACTCATTCTGTGATGCCATGGTCAGTATAGTTGCTGAGCACCTGGAGAGCTGTAATGTCTCAAACAATGAACTACAACCCCTCTCCCCACATCAGGAAGACGATGAAGAACAAAGCTCATGAGCAACAAAACTTTTTTTTTTTTTTTTTTTTTTTTTAATGTAAAGTACTATTTTGCTTTTATTTCTCTCCTTGAGCAGAAATAGGGCATTACTAACCACTTCCTTCACCTTCTCAAATGTTCACATCAGAGGAAAAGGGTCATTTAAATAGCTTTGGAAGACTTCAGCTTCCAGCAGAGCTACTCTGGAGCAAAGATCAGAATAATAGTGAGAATAGTGGAGCAGCAAGCACATTTGTAAGACACTGAATGCTGCAGGAGCTGCCCTCAGTCAGGTGCCTAACAGGAAAGCTGCGTATACACGTGGCTCATGCTTTGAGGCACCCTACAGGAGGAAGCCAATAAGAGTGCTTATCTTGATGTTCAGAGAACACCTGAGATGCTTTAGATAAGGAAACCTACTGTGGAGAGGCACAAAGCTTAACAGCTCCACTGTTTTCTACAGTGGCCTGGATTACTTTTTTGGGAATACAAGTCACTTCTAAACCTAACCTCTAAATCCATTTCCAAAACAACACAGCCACCTCCCAGCAGAAGTAACAGAACCAGCTGCCTGCCTGTTAAATTCTGTCACCTGATAGAAACTTGCTTTCCATGACGTTGCTCCACAACCACAAACCTGCATCCACTTGTAAGAGCTGTAGCAGCTACCGCTGAGGCTAGGCCTGTCTCCTTTTAATTATGTAAATTTGCATAATTCTGGAAATCTGTATTTGAAACATTATTCTGTTTCCCACAGTTCATAGCTCTAACTTTTACATCCTGGCACTGCCTTAACCATTGAAAACAGCAGTGAACATCTGCCAGACAGCTGTCTTTTAAATACTGGGGGATTTGTAGCAATGAGTAATGATGATCAAGTGACCAGAATACTCCTTTCAAAAGCAGTGAACACGTGTAAACATATCTTACAAAATCACTGCTCACTTTGAGCAGTGTTAGGTCCCATAGGATTTTCTTTATTCCCATGAGGCATCTGAGCAGTTAGCAGCCCCTGTACGGGCTGAACCACAGAAGTGCCTCTAATTTTCTACTAATATTTCTTCTAAATTTCCTGTTTGTTTAGTGATATCTAGACCAACAGTTTGAACACCTCTCTGGTTATATTCAATTTGCTGGTATTGAAAACAACACCACCACCACTCTTTAAAATTGTTATTATCACTGAAGCCCTCCATAATCTCTCAGTAAACAAAAATTCTCAGAAGTCATCCACAAATGCAAACCTTCACCTTTTAAGACCTGAAAGGAGCATTTATGCGCATTCCTCTTTTAAATCCTGCAGCCTCCATTATCCTTTTTTTCCTGCTTCCATAATTTTTAGTCTACATTATTTGTTTCATACTGAAATTTCAGTTTCTATCAACAGATTCTCCCATCATCCTGCCCTGAAATTCATCCCACAGCTACTTCATGGACAACATCTCTGAAGGCTAAGTACCATACATCTCCATCCAGACTCAGGCCTCGTTCTTGCATTTACAGTGCTTCTAGGCCCCTTTGCAGACTAGAATGGTTTTTATTATCTACTGCACCAGCTATTTCTGGCAGGATATAAGAATATTTAAGTTCTTCCCTGTAAGAGTGCCATGCAACCAAGCAGCAGTGAAAATATTGCCAATTTTAACAGGTGGAAGAAAGGGTATGAAAGGAGAAAAAGCATTTTAAACTAAATCCAACATTCAAGGGAAAGTCTCTATTAATCCTTAATGATCTTACCATGCTTCTCCCCTAGGCTCTGTTCCTCAAACATAGTCCTATGTTCACACGGGGCACTTGTAAAATGACTCAAGTCTGCAAGTTCACAGGTAACAACATGGACTCAGCCTTTCGATTTTTGTTCTGTAAATTGTAGCACTATAAGCCAAAGTATTCCTACAGTAACTCTACCAGGAATTACATCAATGTATAGCACTCATGAACAACAGATGACAAATTCATCTCATTACTTTAATGTCAAAAATCCTTGCTTGTCACTCTCCTCACCAGTAATCTCTTCTACCACAGTTTTCACTTGCCATCTCTTCTGTTAAATTGCCATGAGGCAAAGCATTTTATTCTGCATTTTCCATGTGGTAAAGCTTTTTGTTTCTGCTTTAAATACCTCAGACTTTCAACACAACATATATTTACTTAGTAACAAGAATATCAATGACAAATGCGGTTTCATAAGTGGTTGGAAACAGGCATAAAATTTCTTCTCTCTCACAGAAGCTAGTAAGTTTACCAAAACATTGAAGTAGTTATACTACATAGAAGTGCAAGCAACAAAGTTAGGACAAAACACTTACCTTGTTCAAACATGTTTTCTATTACTCAGAATCTCTATTTAAAAATAAATAAATAAAACAGCGTAAGTTAATATTAGTTAATATTAACTGTAGAGTAATAAATATGTAACCATCATAAATCAGCCACTGTGAGCAAGCCACGTGGTGGTGGGATGCAGAAGCATCTGGAGAATTAGCTACATGACTTGGAAGAAGCAGAGCCAAGAAATAATTACCTGATGTTTTCCAGAAATGCACTGAGGAAAATGGCCATCACATACATTAATTGCAATTAATATGTTCCAGAAAAATTACCTGAGAGAAAGGAATAAACATTTTCTTAGGAGTCACTGGCATGCCTTCTCCCTTGTAAAACAAGTTAAGTTTGCTAATCCTGTTGGACAGAAGAAATGTGAATAAAGAGGCTACAGAAAGTAATTATCTTCCAGGAGAACAATCTGCTACAGCACCAAGGAATGAGTCATGTAAGCAGCTCATTCAAGTCTGAAAACGTTTTAGAGGCTTGGCAGTATGGAAACATTTTGGGGAAGCAGATGAGTTACCTGCAATCACACAGAAATTGCTAGAGAGAAGCAGAAGGCTTCTCCCCAGAGATAGGTTTAGCCACTCTTGTCTTCAATCTTTTCTGACGCTGAGAAATTGATAACTTTGGTAGAAAAACTACTCTTTGAAATTAAAAGATGAATCCATCAAACGTGAATACTGAATAGGGAAACAGGAAGTCAGTGCTATTATCATCCAATATAGAATCATAGAATGGTTTGAGTTGGAAGAGTCCTTCATAAGTCATCTGATATAACTCCCCTAACATGAATAGGGACACCTACAGTTAGATCAGGATGCTCAGAGCCCTGTCCAGCCTGATACTGAGCGTCTCCAAGGACAGGGCATCCACCACCTCTCTGGGCATCCTGTGCCAGTGCCTCACCACCCTTAACATAAAAATCTTCATCTTTATATCCAGTCTAAATCCTCCCCTCTTTTAGTTTGAAATCATTTTCACATGTCCTGCATGTCCCCTTCTTTATTCTAGCTCCACTTTTGATACTGAAAGGCCGCTCTCAGGTCTCCCTGGAGCCTTCCCTTCTCCAGGCTGCACAGCCCCAGCTCTCTCAGCCTAACTTTGTAGGGGAGGTTTTCCATCCCTTGGATCACTTTCGTGGCCCAATTCTGGATGTGCTCCAGCAGGTCCACATCTCACCTCTACTGAGTACTCTTCATTTGGGCACAGTACACCAGGTGAGATCTCTTCTGCTTTGTCACAGGGTTCCACTTTCTGCTTTGGCTTCTTTAACTTCTTTTTCAGAAGTTAGGTTATCCTGGACGTTGTTTTTCCAAGAAAAAGATGCAGCAAGCGACAGCCAAACTAACAAAAGGAACAGTCCTGTTTGGGGTTTGTAAGTGGTTTGAATAACTTCTTTTTAGAAATGGGTCTATGTTTTTAAATTTTTATTTATTTATTTTCCTTTTATTTTTTTTTTCCTTAGAGTTTTAACTCTTGAAGTTAATTCATTAAAAGAACCAGTCTCTGGCAGATGAGGAAGAAGTAAAGGCAAGCAAGTCACTTTTGTGCCTGTGAAGAATACATAAGCATTTTATTCCAAGAAACCCCAAGGAAGGAAAACCCATGGTTTTTTTTGTTTGTTTTTTTGTTTGTTTAGTTTTAGAGATCTATTATCTTATAGAAAAGCGTGTGATTCTTTTTCTGTGGTCCTAACCCATACATTTGAAAGACTGTAACTGATAGTTCTGCCTGAGATTTGTCTTTTTTTTTTTTTTTTTCACAAAATTAAAATACTGAAAAATATTGAAGTCCCTTGAAGCAGAAGCATAACAAGTACCTCTAACCCATTTGATTCTCCTTGTATTCTCCAGCTGCTATATACTCCATCAAGGTCATCTTTTTCTTGGTTAAGCAGTATCTAATGGCATTTGTGCACATGTTCAAGTAGTTTCTCTTCAAAAAGGCTTCAAAATACAGTTTCTTCCTTTGGATCACTACATTCAATGATGCATTACAGTTTTGCAACAAGGAAAAGAAACAGGGACAGGTACCAAGTCCTCTTGCCACCCAATATAGTGCAGAAAAAAATCTGCCTATATAAATACAACATGGATGCTGACTGGTTGGTGCCTGCTTACCCTAATGAGCTTAAAGTCTTATTTGTAGTGGACATCTGTCAAGACAGAAGTGAGGCACGCAAGTCCTCTTAATCCATTAGCTCTAAATCCAGCAGAGCTTTCACACACTTTTTTTTTTTTTTTTTTTTTTAATCAAAGAAGAAAACCTGTGTGGAAACATACAGAACATACAGTGGGACAATGCACAACTGCAAGACCAAATCCTGGACAGTGAGCATATGAGATTTCAAGGCAAACTACATCAAGAACTGTCAACAAAACTACTACTGTGATGGAAAACTTGTGAGAAAAGGCCAGTCTACAGCTCGGGATGAGACAGTGAGTTTGATTCTTTGTTGTATTTTCTATAGTTATCTAGATTTTTAAATCAAAAATACAGCCAAAGACGAAGAAAAGATGGGCTGCACACCATCTCACAGTGAGATTGTCAATACTCTTGCAAGAAGTGGCCTTAAGGCTTTGAATAAGCCCAAAGGTGTTTTGCATATTGATCCAACAGACAAAGGAATTCCGCTGCTAGTTAAAGGTTCATCTTGCTACAGTTTTGATGAACTTCAGCAATATGGGGTCCAGAGGAATGACTGCCTGATAGAAACCAAGGAGAAAACATCTGAGCGGGATAAGAGTGATCATTTGCAGTGTTCTTCCAACTCTCATCCAAAGGTCCCCATTTCCAGGGAAGACAAAGTAATTGAGAGGACAGCCACAGAGGCTGAAGTTATATCCAAACTGATTGAATCTCAAAAACACATCACTGAGGCTATACAGATCAGAAAGCAAAGCTCCTGTGAATCAGAAGCATCAGTGTTCATTTTGGATAATAAGAACGAAAGCAACGCAAAGCAAATCCTAAAGAAAGGGAAGAAGCCAAAGAATCAGAAGTCAGCAAAACAAGGTCGACTTAGCAAAACTAAAGAAAAGTCCATTTTGTCCCCGTGTGAGACAGAGGAAAAGGTGGATTTCCCAGAACTGCTTGTTAAGGCTCATCAGAGTGCATACGCTTACTTAAATCCCAATCTTTCCAAGTATGAAGCAATACTTCATATGGCTGATCAGGCTGCCCAAACTCAGCTCTTCCTACAACAGATGGTAAGCTTCCTCGTGCTTCGCTTTGATGAAATCAACCAGCTCTTGGAAGAAATTGCTAATGATGGGGAAAATCTTCTCAAAAACGTGGGGGGGAATCTGGCATGGCCATCAGAAAAAGGTGATTTGAAGGAGCACCCTGATCTTCTGCAACAACTACTGCAATACACAATCAATAAAATGCAGTTACTGAATGGAACGCTAGCCTCTCTCACCTCCGATGCCCTGCAGGAGACATGCAACTACCTGCAGACCGCTGCAAGCAACTTGGAAGGAAAACTGAAAGCAAAGCAAATGTTTGATGAGCGCCTGCTTCAGACAGTAAGGCTGCTTGAAGCCTCAACCGTAGGGAACCCTCAGTTCCATGGTGATGACAGGACTCTCTGTTCTGAGGACAGTGGCATTGGTGTGGACAATGAATCCCTCAAAGACTTCAGTCCTTTCAGCCATCTTGGAGCACAAGCAAGCCTTGATTCCTCTGCACATGGTGTTCTGTCCCAGAAGCACAGCAGAATGATGGAGCATATCCACAATGGGACAAGGCCACCAGGCACAGCCACATCTCATAACTCCACACTCGAAATGCATTTTAAAGATGTGCTTCATTCATCTGTACAGAGTAGAGAAGGAACTACTTGTCGGGGAGGAATACCAGAAGGTATTTCCACCATGGCACAAGATGCAAGCTTGAGTAAAAGCCACTCCTGTAACTCCTTCCAGTCTGACTCTACTCAAGAACATGAACATTTCCAAGTTGGTGAATCAATAGATTTTCCTTCAGATGATGATGATGAAGGGAGCACCCTGGGGGAGGATGACAACACAAGTTTATCAGAAATGGGGAAGGATGCCCTGCCAAAGAGGCCCCAGACCTCACCTGAAGTCACTGATGACACAAAAAGGCAGTCTATCAAAAGGACAGAAAATGCAGAAGCAGAGGAAATGATTCTGAAGATGAAAGATGCCATCAGTGAAAAAATCAAATTTGTCCCAGCTAAGTCTAGGCATAAAGAGTGGATGGAGGATGAGAGTGGAACTGCCATCTTAACAGCAAGGCCCAGTACAGCAACAGGCAGACAGAAAACCTATGGTAAACACCGACGATCCCGGTCAGAGGAGTCCCTCAGAAGCCAGGCAGAGGACCCAACCCTCCTAGAGCTTCAGAGAACTCAAAAGGAGCTCAGCAAAAGGCTAGAAATGTTTTATGAAAAGAAGGAGACAGATAACAACAAAGAGCCTAGGAAACTAAGAACAACATGTTACTTGCAGGATGAGCAAGTTACTTCTAGGTCTTCTAGCAAACTGAAGGCATGCCTCTCAAAAAATTTCAGCATCCTGCCTAACCAGGATAAAGTCCCTTCGTACATAGTTGATCAAAATCCTGCCCATCAGCTGGATGAAAAAAGAGACAAGAAGCCTTTGAAAGCTACTATGCCCACCCAGGAGACGTCATCAGGGAATGAAGAAAACAAGCCTTCTGGAACTCAAACGCTCAGTGGCAGCAGTTGTGCCCCCCGCCAGTCTGTCAAAAAGCTCATTGAAACATTCAGTCCCACTGATGAGTTTGGAAAAGCCGCACCTTTGAAATCTTTAGGACCAGTAAAATGTGTCAGAAAGTTTGGACTTCCAGTCATCCCACCCACTGTTCCCTTTCAGAGAGGCCTAGTGCCTTTGAATGTTAAGCATCGCATTTCGCCAGTAGAAGGCACAAACCTTTCAAACAACAGTGGAGTTTGTTCTAACTTTCCAAATGCCTTTCCTCCTATACCAGCAGCAGCAGAATTAAGCAAGGACGCAAAGGAAGAGACAGATGAAGATATTGAGAACTTGCCACCACCACCCCCTGAAATGCTCATAGACAGTACTTTTGACTCCTGTGAGATGGAAGAAACTGCAAGAATAGAAGGAAGCTCATCAGAAGATGCCAAAAAGCCTGCCAAAACAGAATTTCAAGCTACTAAGAGAACACAAGTCTCCCCAAAAATGAGGGCCTCTCTTCAGTCCATTGACTTATTACCAAGCAAAAATATCAATGGCCCCAATGTGGCTGCTAACAAAGTTCTAAGGAACAGTGAACCCAGGGATGATAAACTGCAGATATATTCTCTGGAGTTGAACCCTACCAATGTGCACATCCCTAGTCAGGAAGAGATATTAGCGACCCAGAGAAAAGAGGCTGCAGATTTGTACAAGCAAACGCATAAAATTATTCCTCTTCAAAATCCCAGCGGGGTTTCAAAACCACACAGCAACAGCTCAGAGAGCATGGAGGCCAATTCACCCACAACTTCAGTGCCACACCAGAAGCACGGCTCTCCTGACTCTCTCAGGAGAAACGAAAAAGGCTCAGTGTTCTCCAGGAGGGTGTCCCCAGCGAGAACCCCTCCTCCTTCTCCGCCAACTGAGAAACGGCTTTTCAGCCCTCCAACACATCATAGACACTCTCTGCAAGCTTTTAGCAGCCCCCAGCCCAGCTCGCCCACCATGCAGAGGAAACCCAGCCCCCCTGCCAGCCCCAGAGCACCCAGCCCTCCCTCACAGAAGAAGCTGCCCTCTCCACCAGCCCAGCGCAAACTGCTCAGCCCTCCTGCAGAGCATAAGCAGAGCTCATCAAGCCCACACCGGCCACCAGGCTCCCCAGCATACCGCCGTGACACAGCCCCTGCTCCATTCCCCATCGCCCCATCCCCACCAACCTCCCCATCTCGCTCCTACAGAGGATCAAGAGCAGGTCTGGATGCCGGGGATGAACCCCAGCCTTCCTCCACCAAAAAGGGCAGCAACGTACATTCAATATTTTGCCCAGCCACCTCTTCCTTATTTGAAGCAAGACCTCCACCAGCACCCAGCAAACCCTCAGAGGAGGTCACGGGTCAGCCTGAAGCCTCAAAACCTTCCCAAAAGAGCAGCCTGCTTTTCCAGCAGCTGGGAGCTCGAACCAGAAAGCTGTCCCTGAGCGCTGCCAATCCTCAGCCATTTGTGAAGAGAAGTTTCTCTGACCGACGACCAGGGGTCCGGTTCTTCCTTCCAGCTCCTGTGTCAGCTGCCAGTGAACCCGCTCTTAACCAAGCAAGGTAAGAATCTTTCAATTTTACATCAGGACAGTAGAAATATTGTATTGCCTTGGCTCTATAAACTCTGATGGGAATTTATTGTCTTTAAGAGATTCCTCAGAAAAGTTCTCTTTTCCTGCATGTGACAGATGGCTGGGGAAAGACAACATCATCTTGCCCCAGATTTCTATAGACGCCTGTCAGAGTAAAGGGAACAGCTAACCTTGCACAGCTTGCTCAAGCATTACACTGCAACCAGAGAAAGTTCAGTGTTGGGTTCATGGTATTGAATTTCCCTTATTTGCTTGGGGACTAAGAACATCCACATTCAACTCTTAAAAGCTATGGAATAGTCCTCAAGTGATAAACATCTTTAAATAACTGTGAGAAAATAGGCTGAGGTGTCTTAACTAGCATCAGCTTCTAAGCCAGTAAACTGCTCAACAGAAATCTATGTTAAAATATTTCAAATCAACTGGCAAGAATAATGTGCAGATGTAAACATCTGTATGACTATAATTATAGCTGAAACTTAGAGCTTGTCGTGTAGGCTTTCAGATCGAGGCACTAATGTCAAGTCTGGTGCTTCCAAAGATCAAATTCAGTTTTCAGAGTGAAGAAATTTCACATGGCTTTCAGGGATTCACTATTATGAAAGCATTAGATACAAGAAATTCCATCTTTGCAACCACTGGTGGACAGTTTTGAAATACCTGGGCTTGACTTTAAATTTTCTCTATCAGTTAAAAAGAAAAGCAAATAAGCTATAAAATACATGTGAGTATTTGGGAATAGTTAAAGATCAGGGTAGCTGTCTGGAAGTACAAAATGTTGTTATTCTAGTTTCTTAGCATCTTAGGATGTTTTAGCCCATTAAGCTTTAAGCTACGCAAGAGGATTAAGACCCTTCCCAGGCAGGCTTTCCTCACATGAGGAGTATTTTTAGTCTTGCTGCAGAAGAGCTAAAATCACACAGATTGTCCCCATGAGTATAGCTTGCAAGATCAAGCCCAACTGGAAATAAAATTGCACTTAGGAATGCACAAACATACCCTGCACTGAGTGCAGAGACACTTAACTATACTGAAATCAAGTGTACAGGCATTCTCTTCCCGAAGACAGGACAAGAACCACACTCATAGTAGAGGAATTAGCTAAACAAAAGGAGTGAAAGCTGCTAGGAGACAGTTTTGCGTTCTGGATTCTAATTTTGTGTTGTATTCTGACATTTGAAGATCATCTGAAAGTTGTCTACGTTGCTGTTGGGATCTCTGCTGTTATGTGTGGTGTGAAGCCAGCTTTGTCTACTCCAATGCCCACTAGAATTAATTAATGTTTTTGCAAGGCAGCTTTATATCAAATATTTTAAGACAAAAGTCCTGGGAGTTTTATGGCTCAATTTTAAAAACAGTCTACTATAAATTGTTAAATAATTCATGCCTCAATGGTGTGTGTTATCTCTCTATTGTAGTCTGTCACAACGCAGACAGTAGTATGAAGAAAAAACACTGTAAATAAAATCATCCCCCTGTCATGAAAAATATGGTATCTAATGTTATGATATACACCATTTCTAGTCATTTTAGAATAAATATATCCTGAGCCAAATTCAGCTTATCACTTATATAAACAGAGATCAAACGTTGTCCTATTGAGTCAGCTCAAATTTATATCACTGTAAATAGAAGGGAAACTGAGCCCATTCATTACCATGTACTCTGACTCAAGATTCAATATGCTATTGTTTGCTTTCTTACAGTTAAAATAAGCTGCTTAGAATTGACTTTTACAGACCTTGCTTTGGCGTAATACAAATATCACAGCAAACGTGCTGATGGGCAGAGAAGGGCTATTTTAGGAAGCAGCACGTAGCAGAAGCTCTGAGAGCCCCTCACATCACTGCTGCCTGTCTCTTCACTGAGCTCTGAGCAGCTGCCACAGCTGTGAGCACCTCACACCATGTGCAGATGCTGATCTTTGCTGTTATAGCAGATGCCACTCCAGAATAACCACCACACTGATCCATATTTCTCCTTCCAGTTTTTAAGCCATGCAAGGCTTCCTCTGCTTTGCAATTCACTCTGCTAACAAAGGACAGTTTCAAAAAACATCTCCCTCAAACATGTTATATTCCTAAAACTCTTCATTCTGACAGCGTTTGCATCTGGTCTCAAATCGCATGCTATTCCCACCTAACTCTCAGTGTCCTTTCCTTCCTTCCCTCCCTTGCTCTCCCTCTCCTCTTCAAGTTCAACAATGCTTCTGTGCATGTGAGTTTTTGTAAGTTCTATGAGCATTTTCATTCCTTATTTACAGGAGGGAGGGGAGACAGGCAAACCTGCAGTGGCATCACACTTGCATAGGTAAAGAAGTTTGAAAATTGGCAATGTAGCCAGTTTCTCCCATACTTGTGCAGACTCTGTTTTTCCATTTCCAGATATATCACTCCATTTTCCATGCCCAAGTAAAACATCCAATTTCTGGGAAAATACTAAATATAATCTGCCAGGAGCTTGTATGAACAACACATTTCAGTGAGTCATCAGGCAGCCCTTTCTCACCTATCCCATTTTAACAGCAACAACAGAAGCAGCAGCAGCTTCCATTCAGCTGCATTGCCAGGCACTAGATATCACTGCTACACACAGATTTGCATCTGCCACATGCTCACTGCTCCTATAGAAGGCAAGAAGTGCTTCTTTTCCACGTATGTCTGCTGCCCATCCTGTGCTATAAGAAATACCAGGACTTAACACATCATTAGCCTTAAAAAATTATAGCTTTTGTACTTAGTATTAGGGTATCTGGACTATACTTTCAGTTTCAGATTTCAGTTTCTATGTTAAGCAACTATTAGTTGAACAAATCAAGTAGAACATGCAGTTCCTGTTTGGACAGACTGTGGATGGATTGAAGTGAGCTAACTTTGCTGGTTCCCATGCTTGGTTATTTGACAATGATCAATAGTTATTGGTATATTATCAAGGCATGACATTTACAATTGTTCTGCTTATAGAAATTCTGTTAACCTGTATTACACAAAACTCAAATGCAGTTAAAATAATATTTCATTGAGACTGCTAATCTTCCAAGTGGTAGACCAGAAATGGAAGAAATGCTATTGCCATTAAGATATTGTTCAAGAAAGTCTTGGCAAGGGACTTCATTCATTGAATCAGGCCCAAAGCAAGTATCTGAGTGCAACTTCTGCATTTGGGGGTCATCTGAAGCTGGATTAGTTTCGTGACTGGAAATCTATCACAAAGCCCTTTCATCTAGCCTTTCAAATCCCTGTAGTTCTAGCAGATAGAATAGGAAGGTAAAGCTTGCCTACAGTCAAAAGTTAATTCAGTTTATCAGTTCATGTGCTTAAAATACAATAATGATTTTGGATAACTCTGGGGTATTTCCTTATGCTTAGCTTAAACTCTTAATTAGCTAAAGCAAGATGGAACAAATCTCAGCATGAAGGCCTGCAGACTGAGATATCCATGACTAGCTCTTTTGCCATAGTCACTCTTATTCACAAAGTCTCTGTGCCTCTAGAGATTGCTTCTTTGATGTCAAGAACATCACTTGTACTCTGTCTCAGTCTTCCTGTTTGTAAAGGGGCAGATTTATGCCACCAGAGCACATAGCATGGCAACAGGATGGCATCCTCAGAAGTCGCTGTAACCATGCAGGTGTATAACCTTGAGGTAAGGTTATACCTTAAGGTAAGGTGTATAACAGAGGTAAGACCTTTTGTCCAGCAGAGTCTGAGTTTGGAAGAAGACTTCTCACTCAAATTAGTCTCCATCTGCAAGTGAATCTAGATTCATACTGATTCCCTGTTAAACATTTTAAACATTTACTTCCCAAAGAAGTTTTGGAAGGGGAGAGAGCACAGTGTGTTTGGCATCACAGAAGAGAGCATATGCAGAAAGCATGCACACAAAAGGAGATAGGCAGTTACGTAGTACTGTGCAGCATTCGTGCCTCGTGAGTTAACATGGCCTAATCAGTGTTGTTTTGAAGAATAACAATTCATTAGCCTCTTAACTTGAGCATCTTTCCTTCTGCAGCATGGACGAGAGCCCTAGAAAAGCAGGCGACTCTTGGAGCAACCCTTGTGCCCCAGAAATCAAAGAGTCCAACAGATCTGCTTCCCACCCGGAGCTCTACATTGTGGGCCAGAGGCTGCAGAGGGACTGACTGCAGAGGCATGAGGAGGGAACAGCCTTACCCAAGCTTCCAAAACGCTGCTCCGTTATTTTTAATCACAAGGAAACAATATGATGGCACTGCATCTGAAAACCCAAACCTCTCGACCTCCAGAGGAAATACCAGAGTGATAACCAGCTGCTTCTCCTGATTGCAACTCAAAGGTTTGCTTTCAGCAACAGAAATGCTTGCCAGTTCTGCAAGTCTGAGGCAAACCGATTCAGTATTTTCATTCCCCTGGGTTTGCTCAGTGCAGAGCAGAGGAGCTGAGCGGAGGCTTCATGGCAGCTGCAGCTCCTGACAGGGAGAGGAGGGCAGCGCAGAGCTCTGCTCTGTGTGACAGCGACAGGGACGGAACAGTTGAGAACCAACTGAATTCTACTGCAAAATACAAATGGCTTCAGCAAAGTCACAACTTCACACTAGGTTATTTATGAACACTTGCATAGAGAGAAAAAGGCCAAATACAAGTTAAAGCAAAAAATAACCCTTTTTATTTCCAAGGGATATTAGGAATGTTATTTCCTCAAAAAGACTTTGATCTTCTAAAGCATCTTTGATTACCCTGTAATCTCATCATCTCTAGTTCTCGGGATACAAGGCTTAATCCTGATTAGAGTAGTTTTGTAACAGCCTAATCAAACATCCTGAGGCACTTAAGGACATGTTAAAAAAAAAAAAAAAAAAAAAAGAAAAGTGAGAATCCTGTTCCCTCAGAAAGAGGTTGATATTCCAGTTGACACAGTTTGAATGGATTTACTGTGACTTCTAGGCAGGTTCTTGCTAATGAAAACACAAGGTACTGACATCTGGTTAATCACAGGCTGGTATAGCACCCACTAAAATACTTCCATAATTTACTGGATTTTACTCAAAGAACTAGTTTGTCATCAGAATTAAGATGTAACTTTTTAATTTACCTAATTTGACTTGATTTTATATGCTACTTCAGGGACAGAAAAAGATCCAGAAAAAGACCCATTTCTAGTCCTGCTTTGGTGGGAATAGCTTTAGTTTTTCCTACAGCTTTCATGATGAACGCTTCATCTACGTAGAGAATTTATAACCCTTTCCCTTTTTAACCACCTTCATGATGGGGGAATTAAGGCTTGCCTTAAGCTGTACAAGGGACCCCTTTGTCTACTGAACACCTCTGAGTTTTACTACAGTGCCTTCATCACAACCATCCATCTTCAATAAACTCAGTGCCATTTTATACCACATAAAAGGAAACCTTAACTGTAGTATTTAAGATGAAGTATTACAAAGAAATAACTCATAGCATATCAATGCTTTGGATCATCAGGGGTTTGTGAGCTTGAGGTGACAAAAGTAGCTGTACCCAAGGTGTACATGTAGGAGATGTCAACAGACCCACATTGTGATCACACAGAGAAATACATCATTCCCTATTAAATAGCGAAATCAACAAGGAGATTGCAAGGCTCCTCAGCAAAGCAAATTCTGCAAGTCAGTTTTCCCCCCTCATCAGAAGTTTTGTCTACTCCCACTGCATTAAAATTACACATTTTGTATGCATTTTGGATTTGTCTATTCTGGTGTCATTAGCTGTCAGAACAGAAATAAACCAGAAACACGACAACGGAAATCTGGCACTTTGCATGCCTACATGTAGCTTTGAAGATGAAAATGCAAGAGTGGGGGCACAACTTGTGCTCAGTTGCTGCAATCATTTCAGCCCTTCATGTCTTAATGCTGAAATGTCTCAGCATCCACAATGGATGATAATTGAAAGTGTGTATTTATCCCTGAGCAGCAAATTCTTCTGTAGAGTAAGAGCTACAGCAGCACATAGAGAAACACTACAGTGATCAAGCTGAAACCTGCTCACACCTGTGCTGGCTGGACATGAATTCAGCCAAGCCACTTTCCCCTGATTAAAATAAGGCTCTCCTGAAGACATGTCACATAAACCATCATCCCAGTACAGCATTTGTTCCAGTTTTGGCTAAGATCATGTCATCAGTACGCTCATCGCAACCATAGTCCCACTTGAACACTGCAGCTGTTGGGGGATTCTAGCATTGCCCTAAGGACGTTTGTTGCAGCAAACTGAGCGTTACATTCAAGAAACAGAGCTTCTCCAGTGGTGATCTACAAATATCTGTATCATGAACTCATGACTACGTATAACTAGAAGATTCTCTTCAGCGCAGGACCCTTGCAATGAGGTGTTAAACTTCAGCTCGTATTGCAAGCATGAAGTTGAGAGTAACTAGTACATAGAAAACAACAGCATGACCGATCACTTTTTAAATAAGTGTTATTGTTTGTTTGTTGTTGCATTACAGATTTTTTTATATCGTTTCCATTTTTCCTAAATTCAATGTTTCTGAAATACAGTTGTTATTAAGACCATGCTCAATTTCAAGATGTATTTTTTACTGATGTAAATAAATCAGTTTTATACACAGGTTATGAGTTTGTGCCTTACATTCTGTCTGAAGTTAGCACAGTCCTCAATGTTATGCTATTGATTCCTTACTTGGTGCACTAAGGAGTGCCCTCTGCCATAAAAAGTCCTTTTGCTTCATTCCTTCCCACCCAAATACAAGTTTGTCTTGTTTTGTGTTTCACTGGTATGTCAGATAAAACAGATTATATTTTCATTCTGCAAATATGTATTTTTGGGCTACAAAGTCCAGCCTGGACACCAACAGACCAGAACAGAGGTCAGCTGTGCTTCCACCTTTACCTCTTCTAATTTAGCTTGAACTACCTGGCAATTCAGAGCTTCTACATAAAACCACAGCAAATCCAAGGTAAGGGTTAAAGCCATAGCACACCTGTTGCACTGCAGTCTCATGCAGAAGGGCTGAGCACATAGTAAAGCAGTATCAATTTCCCAGCCAGGACTTCATAGCTGCAAAACTAGCAGCTAACAGCTCTATGCTATGCTTCATCTGCAGACCTTTGACAAGCTGACAGCTGCCTTTGCTTCTAGGGAAACTACTCAAAGCTGAAGCCTTTAATGGACTCATCATTTCACACTCAGCATCTGCAGATGACCCAAAAGTACTATACACCTCCAGTTACTTTATTTGACTTCAAGACTTACCCCAGATATTAGCAACACATTTCATAATTATTTGTGAAGTCTTATTATTAAGATGAGTATTCTGAGAATTTATACCTTTTGTTTTGGGAATAGCAGAAATCACAGTACAGAGATAAAATAACCTGTTCCTACTGTCACAGTTCATCACTGCAGAACTGGCAACACCTACTGAAGAGATACTCCTCTAGATTAACAAGTCATGAAACCTCCCACACCAGATAAACACAGAGTCATCATGACTGCACTATGCACATTGCAGGTATGAACTTCAAACTGAGATTTTGGTCTTGCTGTGCAAGAGGATACTTGGTTTATCTTCACAACAATACATTGGGTTATCTAAAAACCCAGTGCAAAGGTAGCAAGTCCTTTCCATTGCTCACTTTGAATGAATAACAAAAATATTTGTCAAAAAAAGAGTGTCCAGATATGGTCAGTAAGTGCTCAGAGGAAGATCAATCAAGACCCAGGATCACGTTATCTTTCTGATCCCTTTCCATTCATCTCATGTATGCCTGCCCTGCAGCTATCCTGTACCACCACTGCTTGCACCAGATCATCTGCAGCCTTCGTAGGTTCAACTGCTGTCCCCTTCACTGATTATCCAAATTTCAAAAAAACTCATCATATTCTTCCCTTTCTCTTTACCAGTACAAAAATCTGAGTGCATTAAGTAACCCTATGAGGATTTCTGGAGACGAATACACCCTTTAACAATGTTATTTTAAAGGAGAAAGAGGCAATAAGCCTATCTTGCTCCATACAAATCCCTCCTGCTTCAATAAAGTTTTCCTTAAGGCATAGATGAGCTGATTATACAGCAATTAAAAAGAAACCAAAAGCTTTTGATGCTTCAAGATTGAGCCACTGGGTCCTTACTATATGAAAGAATCAAAGCTGAAGCTTAAGGATGCTAACAGAGACCCGTCTTTCCCTACAGCATCACTGTAAAGCTATGACTTCCCAGACTTTCCACCACAAAGATAAGCCCCTAGGCCAAGATCACTCTAGAGATAAAACCTAAACCAAGCAATTCACTAGCTGCTCAGTTTTTAAAAGCAAGTTTGAGGCAATCTAGTAGTGCAATTTCCATCCTGCAACCTTACTTCCTCCTGAGCCTTCTTAAACTGGGCTTAAATTTAATACCTCTTACTTCCTAACTGGAAATTAAGCCTGCCAGAGCAATATAATCACTTGTTTTTAAAAACTTTTCTCCCCACACTGTGAAGCTTTGTCTTTTTGAATGCAAATATAGTTAACGCATGGGCAATCAGGGCACAAGGCAACACGTTTCTGGATTATTCTGGATACTGACATTTTTAAATCAATAGCCCAATATCCACATAGGTCCCTTTATTTTGTACTTCAGAGAGAACATATGCATGTACACGTGTGCATTTATCATCATAACAGCTCCAGCATGGAAGCGTGTTCTCCATATTGCAGTTTTCTCCTGTGGATAACCCAGGGAACACCAAGAATGCCCTCCTGTCCCAAAGATCTGCAGCCAAGCAGCCAGTAAGACACAGCAGTCTTGGTGGGCAGTTTCCTATTCCTGAGCCTTAGACAAATTTCATATCACAGCAATCCATATAGTCAACAGCAACTGGTAGGGAAGAGTCCTAGGGTGCAAAATAAAGTAATCTAGAAAATACTATAGACAATTAAAAAAATAGTAGCATATTCTTCAAACTGAGAAACCTCCGCTCTACAGAACTACTTCTCCTAGAAACAGCAAAGAGAAAAACCACATGCTGCAAACTCTAAGCTCTGCTAGCCCTGACAAGTCAGAGATTTTCTATTTCTACAGCATTTTCTTATTCCCTTGACAGCCAAATAACTAGATTAGCTTTTACACAGAGGAAAAAAAAAAAAAAAAAAAAAAGAAAATACACTACCCTCTGCAAACACCACAGCACTAGGAATGCAGGAGGCATTCAGATGCTCAGCGCATTCCCAGTTTCCCCCAGCAGACCACTGGCTCTGCATCTCTCTACTCCCAACATACAGCGAAGGTTGCTGCGACCTCTTCAGATGCTGTTTACAGATCAGCAAAAATAGAAAGGCATTTCTCTAAATAAACAGCAAGCTAATAATTTAAGAGTAATTTGATAGGTTTGATTTAGATTG